CTTGCTGTGCTTGACTCATTTCCACTTGCCTCCGCAGCCTCCGAAGCGAAAAGCAAGTTTCACAGCCTCCGCACTTACTTCACCAAGGAACTGAACAAGGTCAGGCACTCCAAGCTGCCGGGGAACGGGCCAGTCTACTCCTCCAGGTGGGAGCTCTTCCACGACATGCTGTTCATCAAAGACGCCTACCAGCCGAGACCGATCTATCCGTCCAGCTTCAAGCTGAGCGGCGCCTCGCCAAGCAACGCAGACGCCGCGCCGATGAACGCTGACGCCGCGCCGACTGACGTTGTATTCAACAATCATGAGCTCGAAATTGCCGGTGCAGACGTTGAAGTCGACACGACTGCCGTTGAACCGGCGCCGCAGTCTCCTTCAGGAGAGGTTGGAAACAGCGGCCTTCGCATTAAGATTCAGAGCCCACGGACTTTGAAGGTCGCGCAGAGAAAGCGGAAGAGGGACCCGGACTGTTGGAGCAACGGTTCCACCGACATTCCGGTCGGCGCCCATGAGGCCGCTTCGGCGCTACGGAACGAGGAAGTGAAAGACGAGGATTTTTATTTCGCAGCTATGATGGCGAAAGAGATGAAGCACCTACGGCCGCTTGACAAGGACATTCTCAAGTTGCGGATGATGGAGATGATCTTTGAGGCCAAGCACAACGTAGTGTTGGAGAAGTGCGAACGGGTGGTGCAGTTGACGGAATGATGAATTGGGAGGTAAATTAAGGTTTCACTGTTTTGGGGTCTCGATTTTTTTGTTAATTAGGTTGTAAGTTAGGTTAGTCAATTGCCTCCATAAAGGTGGGGTAGAATTTGTTTTATCTCAATGTGCACAAGCATTTCCTATATAAGGAGTTGTGGTCCTTTGGAAAGATGATGATTCAAAGATTTGTTTACATCAGAGCCTTAGTAATTACTGCCAAAAAAAAATTTTGATTGCAATTTGGAATGGCTGGAGAGAGATGTGCCTTCAGTGAAGATATGGAAGCAATCAAGTTTGACAGTGCGAACTGTCTGAATTTAATCATTCGTTTGAAATTGATGTGTGTGGCTATTCTTTGCAATTGGGCGAAAGATCTCTCCTCTGAGGAAACTTGTTCTCATCCTGCTCCCAGTGCCATTCAGATGCATAGAGGAAAGCACAAGTCTTCATCATTGGAGCTTGTTTTCTCTTTGCTCTTGTCGTCTAATACTGTCGTGGAAAATTAAACGGCTACAAGTGCTCCTATTTACTTTGATATGAAGTGAGTATACAGAACATTTTGCACTGTGCCGCACAAACTAAAATCTGCTATTCGGAAGTTTGTCGGGTGAAATGAAAATCTCCATCTGCGGTGTTAAGACTCGTTGTTTGGTGCTTTTGATGGTCGCACACTCGATATAATTCTTATTTTTGGGAGACTACAGTTTCTGCTGGAATTGTTGCACGACTCTGGTTAATTTTTTTATTTGTTTTTACTTTTGTGGGTTCAGCTTCGTCTAAACTTGTATTGTCTTCCAACTCTGACCGTGCTTCTTGGATTAAGGGTGTGACGAGGTTCAGCTGAAAAATGTTGAACTCTAGTTTTGGTGAAATATGTCAATTAGATTAAACTTCAACAGTGTTTTTGCATGGCACAATTTCAAACCATCTTTGGCCTTATCATTGAATTGGCATATTGAGAAGAGTTCTTTTTCTTGCATCATGTCGTGTATTTAAATCTCATTTTCAGCATATGCGTAGGTTATGGTATGGTGCGTCGCTATGAATGCAACTGTTTTACTACCATCTGTCATTCCCCACATTGTTTGCAGCATTAAAGAAATGCCTAAATATATTAAATGTCCTCTTTTTTTGTGTGTGTGTGTGTGCGTGCGTGTGTGTGTGCGTGCGTGCGCGCGCAACTGGCCTGAATGGAGCATTTTGAGATGCTGGTGCTTCCCGAGTGTCACATGTTAGTGCTATATCATTCTTGCCATTGAAAAGTTGCTTAGGTGCATCGAGTGCAAACCTTGACCAAAGATTTTGGAAGGGCAAAGACTACAAAGATTGTTGTATGCTAGCTATAGCCATGACTTGAAGATAGGTTATCTATGAAATGTGGCTAGTGCAAACTTGAGAGTTCTTACTCATCTCAGCTATGCCTAGAAACTGATTGTGTTGCTGATAACATAGCTGTCAAGCTCCATATTGACTGAACCTTAACTGTCAAGCTCAACATTGACCCAGGTTTGCAAACAAACTAGTGTCGAATGGGGCTAGTGTCAAATCCACCCTTGCCTAACGTTTCTTTCCAGCCACTTCCAAGACAATCTTAGATTGTGCCAGTTGTGGCGGGGAAAAACTGGATCGAGTGTAAATTGTTTTTTAATTGGCTATAGTTTATAAGCTGACAGGACCGACAACAATGTCGCAAGACATTGACATTTTCAGACAGATTCCAGACTTTCACAGACATTTCAGACTTTCCTAGACACAAGAAAATGTGTCTTGTGTCTGGGATAACTTGTTTTAGGGTCTGTTTCTGCTGCTACTAAAACTGAGCACTCACAAAAAGATTTTATCAGGCAGGTATGCATTTTTACAAAAAATTGCACAAGATTCACTAATAGTCATGGTACTAAGACACTCGGTTGGGAAACTCGCCCTTGAAACCCGCACCGCTTGCATGACCGAACCAAGATCCGATTACAGCGCTGCCCTTTTAGCAGCGAGTCAAGACGTAGAAGTTGCATTATATAGCTACTTCGAGACGGCACTGCGAGATGGCGCCACCAACCCTTGCACGACTCGACTGAACCGGCACATGCAGCTGTGCAGTTCCCGGGGAGGCCGCCATTGGAAAAATGGTGGCATTGCGATCGCGTCTAGTTTGGTTCTTCCTAGACATTATTAGAGACGTTACTAGTGTTCTTCAATCTATGTACAAGTATTTACACGAGATGTGCTCTTGGTACAGACCGGGCATCGGCAGCTAGTTGGGGCAGGCCATCAGTTCCATGATTGCTCGCGTGTTGTTCTCGAGGCTGTCTGTGGGTTGTCGTCGTCGTCAGTGCGACACCAGACGCACATGCGGGAACCAGCAGTTCTCGAGCGTGGATCAGAGACACTTTTTCAAAGCAGGCTCCTATGGTGGTTTTCCAGCTGAGTTGTTCTAGTATTATTGCTGACAACTTGCCTAATTCAAGCGTGTTAAATGTGATTGCTTTACAAAAGCTTTCCCCTCCTCATTTTTTGTATCTGTACCCACCCATTTTTTTTTTTCTTTTTGTCCTCTTCATGGTTTTTGTTACAAATGGAAGCAGACTTCTGCAAATAGCTGGCCAAGTAAATATATAGTGTTTTGTTTTCTAGCTTCGACCAAAAAATGACAAAAAGAAAACAATAAATTGTGTTTCGATCAATCTGCTATTTTACTGCGAAACACCAAACCGAGATATGAGATGTGCTTGTAGTTTTAATATAAGCCACTTTTGGGCCTTTTCTGCATCACGCACTGGAAAAACAGCTTTCGTAAGAGGGCAGTTCTGCCACAAATATTGAACTCGGACCGACCTCTCGGTTTTATTTGGTTAGTTACCATGCTTGTGCCATTCTGCTCATTGCCTCTCCAGGGCCTTGTGTCAATTTTCCCATTCTTCATCAATCACTTTTTCTACCGCATTTTGATGGCCATACACACAACAGGTCACATGTTGCAGCATTTTGTGCACGTGTGGATAGATGCATCGCCGAAATATCTCGATGATGCCGCAACATGATCTCGTTTCGCAAAGTGGTTGAACAGAAAGCGTTCTGTTGTTATGAGTACAAAAATCTCGGCATATAAAGTCCTAAAAAATATTGAACCTGGGAGGGAACCATAGCTGTGGAAAGCCTCTCGAGAGTGTCCGAAAAATACTCTGGTGAATGCTAAGGCTCCAGTTTCAGCATCTCCCAAATCTGTCCGCATCTAGAGGTAGACATGGGTCGTTTGCAATATAAGCAGGAGGCTCAGATGTGCAGCTGCATCGGGCATGTACATTTCTGAAGTGGTGTTCGTAGTCTGTGCTTGGGTGGCACATGGCAGTGGAACATTCATTCATTCATTTGCTTTGTTTTGTTTCAGTGCCACACAAACAGCTATACGCCTTCTTAGTGGTGCACGTCTAAATAAAAAGAATTTGCATCTCAAGAACAAACGTTGACATTTTGGAACGAAAGGAAGACATCAATGCACTTTCTAAATGTTTGTTCGCATCCAAAAATATCAATACCAAGTTCATCTAAGTTGGATTCGAATTTGTTAAAAACCAGTTGCAGTCGGGTAATAGGGTCAGCGTTGTGTAAAATGGAGGGATAGAACAATAAGCATGTGCGAATAGACCGTTGAGGAACTGGCAAATATACACTGTTCAGTAACTCTGTGCAGTCAACAATACCATTAACAACTTTATGCAAGAACATGGAATCACGCGTCATTCGCCTATTACACAAGGAGTGTAGGCCAATTTGTTTACATATTCTCTCATAGTCATAAAATACCTTGAACTGCAAGTAACGATCATAAAAGACACATACGTATAAATTTTCTTTGCACTCGCTCAATACTAGATGAGTTAGATTCTCCAATGCTGTTCCATACTACTGAAGAAAGCTCATGGCGGCTTAGCACAAGAGAGCGAAATAACATTAAAAATGTTATGTAGCTGTAGCTGTCCTATTCGTAGGACATGTAGCTGTCCTATTTGTTAAACAATAGCTGGTTTTGTCTGTGGTTTGTTGACAGCCGGAAGACAACTCTTAGACTCCCAGAAGTCTAAGGAGTTCCGCTGTGGCTCAATTACTTACCCATGCGATGATCTGTAACTCGGTCAGTAGCGACTGCATGGTGTGCACATTTATCAGTAAACTTATACGTGCCTCTTCCCCCCCTCCCTTCGTTTTCTTCATCAAAGAAAAAGTAGCTTGGTAGGTAGAACCTGAGTACTTGTGCGTTCAATGTCGACAACCTGGATTCCTCCGCTTTCTTTTTTCAGCTAGCTCTCAAGTACCACCCAGACAAGAACCCAGACAATCCTGAAGCAGCTGAAAAGGTGGGTTTTCCTTGCATGTTGGCTTTTTCGATGCGTGTGTTACTTGTACAAAATGCTGCCCCAGTACCACTGCAGATGAACCATTCAGGCATCCGCAGATCGTTACGTAGATGCAAGCCTTTAAATTTTGGACGGAATGATGTGTTTTGCAGATTGTTCGGTCCTTGTCGTCCTGAAAAATGGCAAAAACATTTCTCGGGCGAGTAAGCCTGTTTTGCGTTTGGGTCAGAAGCTGCAACTGTGACTGCAGCAGGAGATGAATAGAATAAGGATGCAAAACCGACATTTACAGTTAACAGACAAAGGAGATTTGTGCCGTTCGAACTCTGACAAGGATCGGAACATCGCTGCCATTTAAGTACTTAAACCTTCAAAATGAAGTGCGTAGAAACTTCTTATAAAGCAGATTTCAGACTATACAGATTCTTCCTATTTTGTTTTTATTCTTCGGATGGTTTGCATAAAATGGGCCTCTTTTAGTGCCACGTGAGAGCACATGCCGCACCGCTAGACTAGCCTAGAGCCACACTTAACAGTGTCAGCACTCCATTCTCCGATTTTCACATGGGCACCTCCATTCTGGTGCTAGCGCAGAGCAGGTGCAATCGGTAATCGTTACAATTAGAAATTGTGGCTTCCCGAGTTTTCAATGCGGTGCCGGAAAGCTGGGACAATATCGACAATATCGTAAGGTGAAAGGGAGTATATAGCTGGCTTGTGCTCGTGCCTTTGCACAGAGACTAATCCATGGTCTTTTTCTTCTTTTTTTTTTCCTTTTCTGCTTGGATGTGTTTAGTTCAAGGACATCAACAGGGCGCACTCCATCCTCACGGACATGACAAAGCGCAACATCTACGACAACTACGGCTCCCTGGGTCTCTACGTGGCGGAGCAGTTTGGCGAAGAGAACGTGAACACATACTTTGTCCTCACCAGCGGCTGGTGCAAGGTACGCTCGTTACAACGGTCTGGGGGGAGGACGTTGAGTAGTAGGGGTTTTGACGGGCCTTTGAAAAGCCTCGAATACAAAATCGCCGCTTTTCTCGAAAACCTGAAAACACTGTTTGCTTTGTTTGCAACTTCATTGAAGAGCCACAGTCCTTGTGTTATAGTAGTCTGGAAACGTAACCGGGTGTCATCACTGTTGATTAGAGTCCTCGTGCCAGCAGGTCAGCTCGGCTGCCCACGTGTAATGCAGTCAGAATGCGTGCTCTGGTGCGCTTGTGACCGGCTCTATTTAGAAGTCATCTCTGGGAGCCAGAAATTGACAATGTGCATCATTGATTGTGCATCGTTGACACACTTGCGTTTGATACTATCGCGTTTTTGCGATCTCTTGCAACGAGACAGCACTAAGGAGCCTAGATAGAAAGAGGGTCTATCTCGAACTGTGGGGAGTATCTGCAATAGACTACTTCCATAAAGCCCTGCATGCCACACGGCGCGCGTTGCACTCTGGGAACTAGTTGGCCTGGGAGGAGGGTGGCATGGTTTCGGTTTCAATCTACACGTCGACAAGAGGTTATACACGGAGCGTGGACTATTAACAACCGTTATCTCATGTTTTCTGGTCCCGAGAGCGGCATTTGTGATCTCTAAACTAACCTAAATGGCCAGACTTCGAAGGTTTAGTGCAAGCCTCATACACATAGCTTGTCTTAACACATGCTTGTTGTAATTTTGTACTTGAGCCTTCTTGTTAGCATTCCAATCGAGGTATGTGGACGAGCGAGTGCTGGGAGTCTCGACGCTGCGAAGCTCGGGGATCTTGCTTGTGAATGAATCAACAAGCTGTAGCAACCAATAAGTATGCGTACATTGAGCTCGCGCCTTTACATTAGTATTGTTGATCAGGAAGTTTCTTGGTTTCGTGCGCCGCGCCCATAGACGAAATATTACTTTTTGCAATCACTGTTTTTCTTAATATGCCTGAGTATGCGAGGTAAAACTCGGAGGTGCCATTGAAAAGCTCAATTTTAACACACTTCTTATCTCTTATCTGTACTGACCCGCAGCACTGCACGAAGTGAAGACCCCACCCGCTTGCATTCCACTAATATTGAACATTGCGTATGCGCATAAAGTTATCCTGCAATCATATAGGCAAATTCGCACATACAGACCATTTTAAGAAAGCAAAAAGTCGAGCATTTGTGTAAAGAATGCCGCACTGTTCGCCAGAAGTGCGCCGGACGGGCATGATCCCCTATGCGGTGCGCCAAACGAACGAATTCAAAGCGCGTTTGACGGTTGCTAATGACCATAATATTTGTTATGTGTTTGCTTGCTTTCTGACTGAGTATGCCGAGATAATTTCAGACACACCGTTCAGGCACAGATCTTGGGCGTCAGTAAAAGCTGCTCGTCCAAAAAGGCTTAGCGAGGAGTAGGGGACGCTTGTTAGGGCTTCCGTCGTAGCTAGCCGATCTCGGCGTTTGCGAAAAGTTAATCTTCTATCTGCATAAAATTTGAGTGGGAGATATATGATGACACAAGGAAGACATCCTAGTAACTTTTGTGCAGTGGTGAGGTCGAATTTATTGCGTTTCCTTAAAAGTTCATGCGTAAAGACTGGGCTCAACTTTGACACCCTGTGAGGATGCAGCTTGCTTTTCGCCCAATGAAGTAACAAGAGGCGGACATTTGGGAAACAAAATACGTGTAAGGCTCTAGATGAACAAATTTCAGTTCTAGTTCACTGGTACTAGACGGGATTATTGAAATTGAGCTCAAACATGCACTCGTGGGGTGAGGTGACTAAGCCACGACTTATTACGTTTGCATACGCACGCACAGTATCCGGTGTTTCGGGAACCAAGGAAAGTGCTCCAGTCTTTGTTTTGTATGGCTCGAGAATGGGTGTATTGTACGTTCGTGAAAAGTCCGAAAACGCAAGCAGCGCATTCGGTCGCGGCGTGATAGCATGAGATGAAGCTGCTCAGTCGAAACCGAAACTAAGTGGCCAACTAGTTCCCAGAGTGCACTGCGTGGTATTTCGCCGCGATGGGGCGCGTCGGTTTTGGAAGAAGTCCATTCAGTGGCGGATGCCTCCTGCCGAAAGTGGTTGCAGCTGTGCATGTGCTGCGTGGCAAGGAGGAAAGCAGTTTGGAGACAATCGACGCTTTCAGCACCTCCTCGCAGGTCGTGTTGGAAACGTGGCCCGTAAAGGATGTGACTTCGATCAAACAGTTGGAAACTCTGTAGTGCAGGCTCTCTAGAGAACACACTACAGTGAAACCAGTTTGGACGAACCCACGTACATCGAATTATTGTCGATATCGAACTCGCGGAAAATTTAAATAAAAATGCATGTAAAATGTACTTTTTAAAACGAACAACATGCTCGCTATATCGAACATTTTCTCCCTGCAAAGGCTTTAAAAAATGAGCAGAAAATCATCTTCCAGCCTGTCCTCCCCTCTCCCCCTCAAAAAAAAAAAAAGGAAAGAAAAAGTTGCCAACAAAATTGAGTGAGGAGAAGCCATTCAGAATGGGAGAAAGCTAAAAATACACTCTCCATGCACGCACAGAAAAATAAAACTTTGCATCCCAAAACTGTTGCCCACAACAGAAGCAATTCAAAGAGGGAAATAAGATTAAAAAAAAAAAAATCTTATCAGCACGTAGGTACAAGGCGGAAGCGAAGAGCTGAGAAAAAAAGAGATGCTCTCGCCTTACAACACACGCAACGTGGAAGTTCATTATAAATGATTTTTACTATATCGAATTACTTGCTATATTGAACGGATCGTAGCGTTTCCTGCTGTTCGTTATAAACGGGTTTGACTGTAGTACGCTGGTGGCATCTATGAGGCAACACTGGAACTGCATTTCACTAGAGCAAGGGTAGCCAGACTGCGGCTCTTCGTGGATCAAAGTGCGGTTCGCAGCCCCTTGGCAAGTGTACCCCTCCCTTCCCTGCAGGCGGAAGGAGCGAGGGAATAAAAAAACGGCTTGTGTTCTGACAGCCTTGTCCCTTAATACCTACATCAGACGAGACTCGTTTCACGAACAGGGACGCGCAACAATAGAACATAATGAGCAATCGCTTTACGGGTGGGATTCGGTGTGGCTACCAGCTGAAATACGGTGAAAACAAATTAAACAGTCTCGCCCCGTTTTTATTGCAACTTTTCACTTAAAATTATCCCTTCTTACGGCTCTTTACATATGCCTGTCTGGCCACCCCTGCACTAGAGTGGAGGTTTCGCAGTATCGCGAGATCAGACATACGTACCATCTACGAGAAATGGTCGTCTATAACATTTTTTGACAGTTTTTCGAGTGAAAAATGATGCACAAGAAATCTAGGGTACATACGGAAACTGAAAGTGTTCCACAGCTACCCGATAGAGGATGCAGGTGTGTTGAGAGGTCTTGAGGCACAATAACTTAAGCAGTATTGAGTGTGTGAACCAGCCTTTACATGCGGGTCCTGTCGAGTGAGAGTGCATGGGTGCTCATGTGCCGCATTTTCCTCCCCCTCCCCGTACAGGCGCTGTTTATCTTCTGTGGAGTGATCACCGGGTGTTACCTGTGCTGCTGCTTTTGCTGCTGCTGCAACTTCTGCTGCGGCAAATGCAAGCCCAAGCCCCCAGAGGAAGCTGGCGACTATGCCAACCTGCACGTGAGTGCTCCCCTTGACGACTTGAGTCCCAACCGAAATTTGGATTTTGCAAAAAGGCCTCGGGAGTAATGTAAAGGACATTAAGAACCCCAAAACATAGCTCGTACATCGATATCTCCAGCGGATGGCCGTAATTTTGGAAAAGAAGCTGCGATAAAGCGAAGACTTCGTCGCAATCCTTCTGGAATAGTCGAGAATGAGGGTAAGCGGCCTCGCTTCTCTTCTCGCTTCGGTTCTCCAGCTCGAAAAGACAGAAGAGGAGAGGGAATGAGAATCGTGACGTCGAATGTCTCATGGGCCGTGTTCAATCGCGTGCTTCTTTTCCAAAAAACGGCCATCCGTTGGAGATGTTGCTGTATGAGTGATGTTTTTGGGTTTTACAGCGTCCCACGTATCGCTCCAGCCTTGTTTTGTGAGCTCCAAATTTTGGTTCAGTATCCCTTTAAAAACTTGCAGTGGTGGTCTAAGCTGTGGAGTTCTGGTGAACTCGTTGCGCAACGTTTCTATCTGCATAGTTGTTCGCCAACGTCTTGAAGGTCCTTTCCCTTTCTGCCTCTTGCTAGTTCCCCCTGCTTGTTTCCCTGGGTTGCCCTGGGACGCGGTGTCAGATACTCTTTTCGTGAGGACGCGCGGCACGGCGAATGCTGCGACACGATCGACGAAATAGCTTTATTGGTACGCGCCCAAGTAGTCCGCGCCTACAGCGTCTCCGCCAGCCAAACGTTGCAACTGAGAAAGAAAGAAAAAAAGTCATCGCCATGGCACTCAGGCGCACATGCTTTCCACTTGGCACGTCTGCTTTGACCGCGACAGACGTTGGCTTCAACATACGCGTCATAGATCTCTCTGCTTTAACGTGTTCGTAAAATTGTCCTTGCCACCATTGAGGCACGAAACTGGGGTCAATGACGGAGATGTGTTTAAAGGAGTGGTGCAACGATATTCAATTAGAATGTTTTTCACTTTACGCGAGCTTACTGGCACTAGTGGGACTCAAGGATACTCGCACGCAACGCCACTGGCCAAGAAACTTTTTTGTTGCGGTGTAATTTCAAGGACAAAAGTGAGCGTTTTCATTCAATCTCTCCTTTGCAAAATTTGATGACGTAAAGTGGGGATCGCAGTCCACCCCAATGACGATATTTGAATTTGGTTCATAGATTGGACCCGAGCATTGCGTGGGCACTCGATTTGGGCTCGTGATAATCGATAGCTCGAGAAGCATTCGGGTAGTGGCCCATGTCCAATCGCTGCAACGACGACAATAGCCGAGCCATAGCAATGTCTGGAACTCAGCGCGTGTCATGTGCTTTGCCAACCCCAGTGCGTGGCTATGATCAACATTGGCGGCATATAGTAATCGGCTCCAGATCACGTTGCCGCTTCTTCTGGCTGCGAGTTGAGGAGATGAACGCCACTCGTTTTTATTTATTTTTTTTTTTTTCTGGGACTTCTATTGCCTTGGGTGAAAAACGAATGTGTGTTTCATAGGTCATTAACGTCGGGGATCTGTTCTAAGCGGTATTTGCACAAAGTACAAAAATTGTTGCATCGCCCCTTTAAGCAACACGCGTAGTGGTAGCGCAAGTACCAAGTTCTACATGACAAGGCACACCCAAATAACGACTTCAAAAACAAGCATGTCGTCCATAAAGCAGCATGGGATAGGCTACCACTAGCTGCTTACCGAAAAGTCACCTGGTGGCACTGCTTGCAACCGAGGCAAGGGGAGAACTTTATCTGGCAGCTGCAATGCGTGCGATCTCCACACCCATATATCTTACGCTGTGTCCTAATGTTAATTGAGCTGTCTACATGCTTAACACCTACCTATTTAGTTTGTCCCTGTGGCATCCGGTTTGGGATCCGCGCATTGCAAGTTGTCTTGGAAAGTTGGGCTCATCAAAGACGCACAACTGTACAAGAGTGAAGGTTTTATGCTGACATATGTCACTGGATGCGTTATGTTTGTGAGAGTTCGGCACTCTGGTCGCTAAAGCAGGCAGGAGCACCACCAGGAATCGACAATAGAGTGCACTTCCATGTGCACCCACATTTTTTCAGAGCATTATAGTTCCTTTTGCTTAGTGTGCGAACGAAGCCACAGCTACAACGCAAGCGTGCTGCCTCGAACAATGATTCCTGGTGGTGCTGTCAAAGTTGTTTGTCAGAGTCGGGCTTTGCATCACCAGTAATCGAGCAAACGAGCAGCAGTATGGCATCTATTGATTTATTCAGATTACTTTGCAGAGCCTGAAATACGTTATTGCGAGAGAGGGACACTAGTACATTTGGTTGAGGTTACAAGCATGGTAATTCGACAAAGTGAAAAGGCACGGGCACAACAAAGGAGGCGTCGATTCAAAACACGCGCATAACGTACGACTGAAAAACAGGGCTGTGAAGGTCATGGAGGCAATTTCTCGTTGTAGGGCTTAACTTGTTCATTGTAGACGAAGAGAATGTTTAAGCACGACTGTTCTACACTTGTGCTCTTTTCTTAGTGGTCTCGGAACATTGCTGCATCAACGCAGTGCGGCTGTGTAGACAAATGAAAGGATATTCAGCCCACAGTGAAGACATGTGCGCGTGTGCGAGCATCTAGCTTTGATAAAACACTTCAGCGACATCCCGGTGTTTGGTGAAAGGCTGAGAATGCATTAGAAGCTCTGTTTGCAGCATGCACTCGATGCCTACCGCCGGGCTTTGGCTGCGCATGCGATGAAGCATTATTTAAGCTCTCGTTGGAGGTCACGGTTCAAGATACTCTTTAGGTGAGGACACAGCGGGGCTGAATGCGCGGCGCAAGGAATCGGATAGCGTTCGTTCGATGGGCATCCGAAAGGTTGCATCATTCCGCGGCCACCATGCCCACGGCTGACAGTGTCGTCGACGGCCAAACGGCGAAACTGTGTGAGAGCGAAAAAAATTATCTCGTTGCCATGACACCCCAATTACACCATGGTCTTTCCGCACGTGCCACAACCTCGTTGGAGCTCTGCGCGTGTGGAGCATGAGGCGGCACGAGGCGGCACGAGCCGTCTTGTGCACCGTTTTTTGCCTCCTGCATCTTACACCGTGCCCACGGGTCGACGAGTCACCTGGCGGCGCCGCTTGAAACCATAGTGAGAGTGAGAAAGAGAGAGAGTGAAAAGCGAACTTTAGCAGCATGTCGCGAGGAGCGCACTGTCATCACCTGAAGAGTATTATCTTACACCGTACTGGAGGTGCAGCATCTACTGCATTCTTAACTTGTCAGACTTTAGTCACGCTGAACACTCGGGCAGCCTCATGCACGAACAGCCACTCTGCTTCTCCATCTCAACGATGGTCATTGACATTTAGACGAGGAGGATTGCAGCCATTTCATTTTACGCGCTTTTTGGGTTTCAAAGCATTTTCTTATTTTCCAAAAGTGTCAAGTGTTCATTTATGAAGCTAACATTTTGCGCTCGAGTGTTTGTTTGTTGAGCAGCAGATATTAAACACGCAGTGCACGCTGTGCATCTGAGCTGCACCAAATCCTCGACGGGCTGAAGCGGATGGATTTTGCTCTAATTGGGGAAAGGAATTGACAGAATGAGGAGTCTCCCTCTCCCACCTCCTTGCTTCCTCCCCCGCTCACCTTTTCTCGCTACACAAAACGCCAGTTTCACACCGCCGTAATTCACGTGCCACCAGTGGCATAACCCACTTTGCACTGGTACGAGCAAGCCTACTTGCGAGGTTCAAGCCAGGGTCACTGTGCCGCAGCACGAGAAAGTCTGGGTTCTGTTTGGACGCGCCAATTCGTCTCCCGTGGCTTTGCAGAGTAGTTTGCTCAACGTGAAAATTACTTGCTTGGGGAACCTTTCTGCTACCAGCTGCACTAAACTCTGCACCGAAATACATGCACTAGACTTGACCAACCTAAGCTGTTTATTAATTTGCCTGACCCCACGGCTTTTTTTGTTTGTCCATGTTTCGTCGGGCTACTGACAAGGCGACTGTTGGGCTTCGGTGCGTTCTCCCCGCATGCCACATTTCTCGGCGTTTTTGTTTGCCGGCTTTGTGTTTAGCAGAAACTTGTTTTTTTTTTTTCCCCTTTAGGGCTGGGCGATTTGTGTAGAGCTGCGTGTTTGTTGTGTTTGCGTTCTTTGCATGGGCTGGTTTCTTCATCAACCCCTCCTCCTCCTCTCCCTAACCTCATCCCCCACCCGCTTGTCTCCAGGAAGGAAAAAGTGAAGCCGCCAGGGCTAGCGCCGTCCGCAAGGTGAGGTTCCGGTTGTGGGAGGGGCCGAGGTAGGGTCGCCGATTGCTCGCTAAAGCAGCGAAGGGTGCTAAGAACCGCTGAAAGTTCCTGGCATCCGCTTTTTAATGCCAGACAGCATAGGCTGTCTCTGGTATCTTAAGACTATTGTAGAACTTCCTCTTCTCCCATACCAGTTGTGAGCAGTTAATTGTGGTTTAAGAGCTCTTTTTTTTTTTTCTTTTTTAACCCGTGGGTGCCACTTGACACCGATAAGGCTTGTTTTCGTGTGGCTTGCGAGACAGGCATTCACATGCATTCTTCTTCAGTGCAGACATTGAGTCAGTTGCGGGCAACTTTTTTTTTTTGTTCTGTTTCACTAGGGCTGTACGGTCCAGAAAAATTAAATAATTTCTTAACAAGAAATGTCATGCTCAATCATTAAGGCAAAGCTAGATTTCACATAATTACTAGGTTGAGAGACTGAAGAACACAAAGGTGTCAAATCCTGTGCGTGTTTGCCCTTCCTCGGTCTCATGTTTTCATAATTATGAATAGTTGCCACCTAGCTTGTTCAACATAAAATTAAATTATGCATATTTGTAGCAAAAACTTCTTCAAATGAGTCGACTCAAATGTTGAGTCCAGAAAACTGTCTACTTTATAAAATTGTAGGCTTTCCAAATGCTCGAAAGCACAATGGTCTAGAAAAGGATGGAAGCAATCTACCGTGCATTCTATGGCTATAGTTTGTTTCACTTTGTGTGCGAGCAAAGCTGAAGCTACAAGCAGGAGTACATGTTGCTCCGAACAATGCCATTTTGCACGAGCTCGCATGCTTTGGCAGAGACCTGAAAGCTTGAAGCTTGCACTTTCAGCTTCTGATATGCTGACACCTAAAGTGAAACAGAGTAAGTTTATGGTAGCCTCTTTTAGCTGCTTTAGCAGTTAAATCTCGATTACTTTAAAGGTTTGCAGAGCGCAAGTTCGCCTGCTTCTTTCGCAGAGGTCGTGGCGACGTCAGAATCGGGGCGTCCAGCGACCAGGAAAACCGAGAATTGTCAAGGAAATTTCAATTACCGGGAAACATTGGGGATATTGTCGAAAAGCGAGCCCAGTCAGGGAAAATAAGCCGGAAACTCCATCGAGTGCCTTGAGCAAAGACTTGAGGAATTTGGGGGCAGAAAAATAGGCAACAAATTCTGCTTAGAGCGGAGCGCGGACTTTGCTCACCCGATGTAGTGTGCTACCCGATGCAAAAAGAACAGCTGACAAATCCAGTCCAAGCCTTGGATTGGATTGGATCGAGGGTGGGGCACTAGTCTAGATCCAGTTAGAGCTACTAGATTTAGTAGCAAATGGGAAAGCCGCAGACCCCAATCCTTAAGCCAGAAGTGTCCGAACGTGTTCATCTGGCGGCCTTGCTGCCATTCGGTTGTTGAAGTGTATGGCTGAGCGTCGTCTTTTCATTGTGTTGCCGGAAGTGGCCTCTTCACTGACGATGTCGGCGGTAAGAAAGTGCTCATTTAATCTGGACTGGACGAACCCGAATATTTCAGAATATGCAAGTTGGATTAAGTCCGTGCAAAATGACCCTCACAGTGCTCAATGCCTTGTGTTGTAATGTCTTGCATATTACACTGCCTCTACAGTGGTCAGGGAATTTCACCTGAAAGTGTCAGAGAAAACCTGGAAAAGTCGGAGAATTTCAAAATAATTTGCGACACCCTGAGAATGGCGAGCTGCGATAGATTCTGATTGAAGGATAGTGGGTAGGCCTCTAAGCAAGCTGCCTTGAGGTCTCCCCTGCTATCCTTCAATCAGAGCCAATCGGAGCTCGGCGTTCTGATGTCAGAACAACCACTGCAAAAGAAGCAGACAAACTTGCACTCTGAGGCAATGGTTCCTTTTCTTCGCAACCTTTCATTTCGTGATGGGTCACAAACTCTACCAGGGAATTCAAGTGGAGCGTAACTGGGATGGTATTTCCTGGTGGCGGGCCATGGCTTGCGGGATTACCCAGACGACTTTTGCTCTGCGTCTACAGGAGGAGTACAGCAGTGAAGAGGGCCAGAGCCCCGTGACCTCGCAGCCGACTTCGGCGGCCAAGATGGACGCCCCCGGCTCGGTGCCCATTGCAATGCCGCCTCCCCCGGCGGCGGACGGCACTCCCAGCGAGACGACCAACCTGAGCTCGAGCCAACACAACACCTACATGACGCACGAGGCAGCTGCATTTGGTTCTGCGCAAGTTGGCAGCAACCTGCAGTAAAAAGCGCCGCCATTTCCGCCGCCGGCGTCGTCTGCTACCTGCACCGCCTGCTGCTGGACAGCGAGCTTTGCTGCCAGAGTTTGTTTGCCAGGCGATTATTGTTGCTGTTGCTTCTGGTTGTTTGGTGCCGGGGCACATTCCAAAGAGCCACACTTTTCTATGTTCATCTTGTTGCCTCGGTCTTCAAATTGGAGAGGTGTGAACTGGTTATAATGTTGGGACCTTTCTTTAAAGTTGCTCCTTAGTCTTGGTGATTATCTTCATTCACTTTTGTGGCCTTTTAGTGGTATTTATTTTTGCAAGGAGCACTTTGATCCAAGCATTGCTCCTGCAATGTTTTTTGTTAGTCTTCTTTTTTTTTTTTTTTTGTGTTGTAATTGCAGGGTTACTGAAGCAAGACAAAAAAAAATGGCAAAGTTAAGCTGTAGATGTTGCCGGCTGTCTTCGGTAGTCCACCACGAAAACTGTTTCTCACAAATGTAGAGTGTTGGACTGTTTTGTTAGGTTGTGTAAGCAATGCCCGCACAGGACGTTTTTTTAGGTTTAACGGGACATTCAAAGAAAAGTGTGTGGCTCGTGAAAAACTGCAATTTTTTTAAACTGCCTTCGCAGTGTGTCATGTAGGTGCGTTGTTCGGCTCGTGCTGTCAGAATTCAGGACGCACTACTGCCGGCCCTTTTCAAACTCTACAAGGCGTCTTAGAGGTTTTAACCGTGTAGCGTATACAATTCAGGTTTTCTTCGTTTTTTCCGAGATTTATTCATCGCTAAATCCTCGTTTCCCGCACTGTCACAAAACAATGGAATGGACCTGTATCGTGGGTTTTCTGTAAATATGTAAAAGGTTTGTTCCTTGGTGTATTTCTCAGTTCAGACAAAATTATAGTTAGGTTTTTCTTACAATGCCTGCCTAAAATGGAATCTTTCTAGCCTAAAACTAAAATGTTTTGAAAACTTGTCGCAAGAGCAACTGTAATTTTGTCGTAACTCGCTTGAAGCCTAACGATGCAAAGTGGTCAGTGCATGGATCTATCGGTCTTTTTTTTTTCTCATTAAAGTGTTTCAAAACTATCTCCACAAAGTGAATAGTGCAATGTTTGAACAAACTCCTACTGCCTAAGGCTCTTGTTAAAAGATTGTCCACCCAGTCTCCAGTTTTTTCGCCCAATCGCGAAAGATGTCCACTTCCACCACGGCCTTTCCTTTGGTGCAAGTTTTCGTCTTTGTCTTCGCAGAATGCGAGAGATTAGTAGCCGTCCCTCCCACCTTGAGTAGTCATTTCTTTTTTTCTTTAATTCGGAGGGCATGCCATATCAAGTACAGTCGCCACAACCGTAACTTCACACCACCCGAGCCTATAGTCCTGTGCTCCTGAAAACGGGAATGGCGGCAACTCTGTTATCTCGCTGCTGGCTGTTTTCGCGTCCTTCAGGGCATTGCCGCAAAGGGTTGCATGGTTGAGTAGCGCAACTGGAGAAGCTCTTCGAGGTCTCGTTCGACTGCATGGTTGAGTTGCGCAACTGGAGAAGCTCTTCAAGGTCTCGTTTGATTGCATGGTTGAGTTGCGCGTTGTTGGGCCGCCTTTGGGCCGTTTCGAGTCTTAAGGGTAACTAAGGGGAGTACATGTCTGTGTATAGCTCTACTCTCGACATTTCCTTTATATTTTTAGTTAAATGTCGAGATTCAGAGTTGATCTTGGTGTCTGTGGTTTAACAAACTCTGAAGTGTGGTTGTGTGCTTTGTCCTCTGCCAAGAAAGCAATCTAGCTCCCCCTCTCTTTTTCTTACTGTATTCTCCTGGTGTATTGCACGTCATCACCCGATGAACGTGTGCCATTAAAAGTGGATTAAATTTTAGGTTTCGACGAGTGGATTTGCTGTCGACATTTAGTTTTCTCCCGTAAATAAAAGCCGGTTCACTCGTTCGCGTTTTAGTGTGGTCTACTGCATCGTAACTGCTTACAAGAGAACATATTAGAGGCATCTCTTGGGTTGTGCTGGCACATTTCCAATCTACGTATAACTGGACCAAAAGCTTTCCAGTATTGAAGAGATCAAGTCTACACTTCGAGAAATTATTCCTTTTAACTTAGTCAAAATGGTGCCACTGGGTTGCAATGCACTCGATCACTCTTGAAGACAAATGTGTGAACCAGCGTTCGGAGGCCTCACCAAAGGTTAGATCCATCTAGTTTCGCTGTCCGGCGGTTACAAGTGAATTTGCTTTTATTACAGGACACGACCAATGTGTCCTTCAAATGATGCATATTCTTGGGAAGTTGTACCACTGCAAATTGCCAAGTTTTTTTTTTTTTTTTTTTTTTTTTTTTTTCTTTCTTCTTCTTTAACTGCGTTTGAATGAATTGGAGTTCACATTTCTTGGCAGCCATGGCTCAACTTTTGCAAGTGTTGCCCAGCATCTTTCTGAAACACTGCCACGAAACTAGGGCACCTTTGGCTAGTATAGTTTACTCCTTGCCATTCCCAATGTCTTTCTTAACTAACCAAATGGTGTTGTCATGATTTAATGGCCCTGTAAATAGACGAGCAGGTTCAGCCACAACTGTGAATGCCTAGTTCAGTCTCGGAGAGCTACTAGTAGTATCGCGTAAATTACGCGAATGTCGTCTTCTACTCTACCGACCACGTTGGGTAAGCAATGCCTGCTAGATGACGCGGACGTAGTGCAATTCTTTGTCTCCTGCCGAAGGCCAGAGTGGGCCAGAGATTGAATACGAGTGACTCGTCGGTGTTCGGCTGTAATTCGTGTTCTCGCTGAATGAAAGAGTGTTCCATCCAAACGCCGACTGCACCCGTGTTTATCTGTGCCCCTCTCGGACCTCTGGTAAGCAACATAGAAAACCCAGCACTACAGGCTTGTTAGTACCTGGGCGTCGAGGTGTGTCGCCATATTTGGAAAATAATGTACACTAAGGGCTTAAAAAAAAAACAATTTAGATAATTCAATCATGTGGAGTAAAGCCGTTTTCTGCCCTTCGTGGGAAGCTCTTTACTATCGACAAACCAATGCACTCGACTCGGTGGAACTATATGTACTACTGCAAAATACCGGGCAAGCGCCCACTCAAAATTTGGAGACGATTGCAAAAAAAATGGAGGATGGGCGCTTGCGTGGTCATCAGTTTTACGTATAAATGTATTGTGCATATTTTCTGAGATCTTGCAAATTTGGGAATGGCTGGTTACTGTGGAATGGGCGGATGCGCGGTATTCTATGGTAAATGGCTACCGTGGTTTTCTTGGAGCTATCCAGTGTTTGCCCGATTATCCGACGTGCACTTCAGACTAATATTTCCCCGAGAGTATACAGAGTTGGCAAAAGTCAAACTACTGTATTCCAAAAGTGCGAAGACTATTTGCACGATCGCCAAACTTGGGAAAACTTACTAGTAGTGTGTTGTCGACTTTTTTTTCGAAAAAGTTACCATTGGGGAATCGCGCAAAGCAAGTCATTCGCAATGATAGATGGTTGTCCATTTCCTTGTGCGACTAAATCTCAACCTCCAGACTGTCCCACACATGGTTCGCGTGCGACATCATCGCAGTACGCTGGCGGTCATTTCGGCTCGTTCCTATTTGTTCTTGCCAAGAGAAGCTGATTCAATGGTGCAAACTGGTTTTTTTTTTTTTTTTTGCTGAAGGTACAAGCTTGGCAGAAAGTGCACTACAATGGTCGCCAATGTGACACCAGTGCAAGCCATGTACTCAAAGCTTCTCGGCTGCTTTCCGCATCCAAAATTTTAAAGAGGCTAAAATGAAAATTTGTTGTTTGGAATGACGTTTCTTCAATGTTCGGAGGGGAAAAGGTGCTGTTTTGCTTTCACTCTGGACAGAAGCTACGTTTCGACTCTACGTGTGGACCTTCTATGGTATTGCTCGCTTATGAGTGGCTGACTAATTAAAGTATACCTAGTTGGGTGATGTGTTGTGCTTGTGGTCAAATTACTCGTGCAAAGGAAAAAAAGGAAGGCCATCCCAGAAAACGCAAAAAAGAAAGCTTTAATTAGTGCTTTCGTCCTGCAGAGGTCTCTGTTATTCCGCAGAGGATGCTATGCAATGACGTCGGCACAGTTTGCTCTTGGTGTGTGATTCACAGCCAAAATCTTTGAACAATTATTTCGTTGTTACTTGAGGGAAATGACAGACATACAAATTGCGAACACAGTTTCAGGTGGGTATATAGTGCAAAAACTTGCTGGAAATTAAAAAAAAAATAAATGGCAATTAATACGGTTGTCGACAGCCTAAGAAAAACAGGCGTCTTGTTGCTCTGCAGTCAATGGGATTGGGGCATTATCCAGTAAAAATTCCAAAAAACAAAGCATGAACATAATAAGCGTCTTAATTAAGCATTACTTAATTTGTCAATGACTATAGTAATAGAAATGGTACTTGCCAAGTTTCAACACTATGCATATGTGAGCCATGCGTGGCTACGAGCTGGACTGCACCAGTTGGGGCATCATTGCCAACATATTTCAGAGACGACTTCAACGGTTTATTGTAACAATGCCAAAGGGAACAGGGGTGCCTCTGCTGTCATTCAAGGCAGACCATTTGGAGTGGGATTAGGCAACACTAACACTCGACGAGCTTTGTATGTAGTACAATAGGAACTCAAAATTAGTTCAATCATGTGCGTGCACATAAAAATCGCACCCGAGATTGTTTGTGCAAGCAAAGCAGTACGACTGCTGAGGTTTGCACTACTGTTTGTTCCCTTTTTTTTTTTAATTTCGTGCACTAAGAAATTTCTTGCACTGCCTACGGAAATGGACTTGCGTTAAGGTAGGCAGTGCAAACGGACAAGGCAGAACATTGCCGCACAAATGGAGGCTTCTTGGTCCACACGGGTTAAGGCATTGGCGGTATTTGTAAGACACTCGCAGTTCACATGAAACAACGAATGACGATAATAAAATGGACTCTGCTTACAAACATTGTTCATCGAGGCACGTCACTGCTCACAGAATCGTGAAGTAATTTGAACTTGGGTACGTAAATGCTCCGAATAGAGCTTCGATCTCCACTGAGCATGGAATATGTGTCGTAAACTTTTCACACTACACTATTTTTTCAGGGAAAGGCATTAACCGCTTTCTCGCTCAACTTCGTGCAGGAAAGGAAGGCTGTGTGTAGGGGAGGCGAATACAGTCGAACCCGGATATATTGAATTCGAAGGGGATCAAAAAATAATTCAATATATCGATAATTTGATATACAAAAATATGTTAACTTAAGCTCCAGTTGAAATTTCCGCGTGTCTGCTAATACCGAAGGCCGCGACAAATGGGACCTTTCCAAATAGAGCCTCTAAGAGCCGCTAAATACAGTAAAGCGTAGTTCGTAAAGATCACAAACACCGCGGCGTTTACGCAACAGTGTTTACATCGAGCGCCAACAACAAAACTCGAAAATAATAAAAAAAAATTAAAGAACGGAAAAAGCGAGCTGCGTAACAAAGAACTCCATCCATAGAGTAAAGTTAAGCAAGCAAGAAAAAGAAACCACTAAATTGAGGCAGCAGAAAAAAAAACGGGCAAAGCAAAAAAGGTAAGCAAAGATAAGGCATCCAAAGTGTGATTACTCGGCTGTAGTTGTCGACACACTCAACTTGACGAAGACTTTTTTTTTTTGGGGGGGGGTTAAGAAGTTGCGCAGTGACACAAGCGACAGTGGGCGGTGTTTGGGGAAAGAGTGCACGCTACCGTTCGGGCGCTTGGACACTCCCTGCTCCCCCTCCCATCTTCCACTTTTTTTTTTTTTTCTTTTTTACAACTTTTTTTGTTTTGTGCGCTGGATTGGCGGCCTGCCAGCCCCGCAACGCTAGGTGCCGCCGGCGCAATCTGACCGCGGGAAAAGCGACCGGCGGCTATATCGCTATATCGAGTGACCCCGCCATGGGAGGCTATAGGAGTTCCATGCAGAAAAACAACGCTCCTACACTTTTACATGTGATTTTCAAGGGGATGTTTGGACTGTTCGATATAAACAATAATTCTAAATACCCGGGTGTGATATAACCGGGCTCGACTGTAGCTTTGCATCATTCATGGCTTCACAGTTCTATGGGAACCCACAATAAACCGGCTCCCTTTGCAGTGTTCAAGCTAGGGGTTTAATTGGAACCAGTATTTGCACATCTCCATACCCGGTTTCACCTAAAAAAAAGTAAGTTTTGAGCATTCTCCATACGCAGCGCAAAGTAGTTCCAACGGGATTTGGTTGTCAGAGGAAAAAGCGATGGTTTTGGCGTTTGGAATGTGTGCCTTAATAAGAGAACATATATCTAATCTACAATTCACATACATTTATCTTAATTCTCTACATAAAGGGAGAAATCAGTAATGTTCCACAAGAAGCCAGACTTTTTTTAATCTGGTTCTTGAGGTGAAAACGGGTATACAGTTGAATCTCATTAATTCAAACTTGAGGAGGGCCAAAAATTTGTTTGAGTACAGCAGTTTGATTTATCTGGAGTTTCCTCCCATAGAGACACATAGGATGGGACCTGCATTTTAGTTTGAATTATATGCAAGTTTGAATTAAGAGAGTTTGAATTAATGAGAGTACAATTTCATCAGGCAACAAGATTGTGAGCAAGACATTCTGACCAAGGCCTTTCCGCTTGTATCACAAAAAGAAAGGGTGTCTAAGTCCCCCTTGCTGTAAGGTGGCCTTACTGGAGATGTGAACAATCTGCTTTTTCAACAAAGTGAAATGCCTTTTCAAGCTTCCAGATGTTCAGACGATTGTAAGACTGTGAAATAGTTAACTTTTTGTTTCCCGGACTACTCGGTAAACATACGGCTCCCAATTGAAAACCGCCATGTTTCAATACACATTTTGGACTATGCAAGATACACCTAACAAAACTCCACCTCAAAATTTGTTTCATGGCCCCTTTTGTACGTGCCTACCCAAAGCACTGCTTGCATCAAGCAAGCATTGACAATGTGCTTTGGGCTGATGTGCACAGACAGTATATAAATGTGAAACGACAGAGACGTGGTTGTCTTAAAATGGTACTACTCGATAAGACAACCCAGCAGCTGAAGTGCTCGCACACTCGAGGATGCACCACATGTAAACAGTGTATGATAATACAAGAGCTTGCAAGCATTGTGGTTGTTCTAAAAACTGACGGGGAACACTTCTAAATAATGTTCATTAGCATCTTTTAGCAGATCCCACTCCAGATAGAATGCATTGCACAGATTAACTCGTCCGAGACATTGTCATGAAAACATGAATACGTATGCTATAGCTATAATTTGTTTCATTCAATGTTTGCACTGCACAAGCAGGCATGCTTGGCAGAGCCGCTGAAAGCCCGGAGGTTACTCTCATAGCTTAATTCTGCTATGCTCACATTTAAAGTGAAAGTATGACTGTTGTTTCAAGAACCTTGGGTTGAATTCCAAGGTTGGTTCATGACATAGTTTAGTTATTATTAGTTTCACAACCTGGTGTAGCCACACCTTGAGTACACTCCACTACACTGATGAAACAAACAAACCGTCCCCGGTTTTCTTTTTTACTTAACAAACCGTCCCCGGTTTTCTTTTTTTTTCTTTTTTGCTTATTGAAGGATTGTTAGTAAAACTACTATAGAGGCAAAAACGGCTCAGTTGGGGTACTAGCTTAAGTGGTGAATCTTGATGCCCACAAGTACCCTTTCGAAACAAAAAGCAAAAAAGCACAGAAGTCACGTTCGAGCGTACAGAGTCATTCAGTGTACACGATAATAAAAAAAAAGGCCAACTCACTTGCACTTCATCGCATGTGAATAACCGATACAAGTTTAAAGAAGGCACTTTGTGATGTTTCATGGAAAAGGGTAAGATCATGTGGCACAAGTTTCCAATCACCTTGATTGCATAATGAATGTGTATACATGTAGTATATTTGTTCTAGACGCTCATTCGCACTCGCATAGAAAAACAATCGGAAAACGCACCCTCACATTACAATGGACACTGGCATTTTGCACTCCATTATAAATTAGAGTAAAAGTCGGGTCAGGATATAAAAAGGTACACATTGCTACAGCTCAATGCAATCTCCTATTTTAGCTTTCTATAAGGTTGTAGGAAAGCTAAACCAATCTTTTTTTATGTTTTCACTCGATAAGCAAAGCCCAAAATAAGACATATTCAAATAAAAGCAAGAAAACATTTGATCTTTTCTACATTTGGACCCTGGCTCCTCGGTAAACATCTAGCGTGACACTCCGGTTCTGGGGACGCCTTTTGTTGCCACTTCGGGACCACCGTCGATGCGGGGACGGAACAGGTTGCCAAACGCGCCTGTCAGAGACGTGTTCCGCTCACCACATCCTTGCCGCCCATTGTGTTGCCACGACATAAAAAAAGATGTTCCCAGGGGCAACGACCGCAATCCGTCTACCGTCACAAGAAGGTGGTCTTGCCGATGCCAAAGGGCCTGATGAAGGCCTTGCCGCTGAGCACGCTGCTCAGCTCCATGGGAGCCCCGTTGGGCGGCGAGTTTGTGGGCGGCTGCCTGACCGTGCCAGGCTTGACCGGCGGCTGCAGCTGATGGGCAAGGTACTCAAAGAGGAACATCTCGACCGGGTTGACGCCGTGAAAGGTCACCGCTCGCCGGCTACAGCAATGGCCACCCTGGGAGCAGATGAAACCCTTTTTTTGTAAGAGGCCCTTGTCCAAAGCCGTTTATTGGGAGAGTTTGGCCATACATTAGTTTGAATAGGCAGCATCTCTCGGTGACTGAAAACTTTGGGCATGTGAGGTTTTCGACACGCGAATATTCAAGTGTAGAATAAACGAATGTGCGCTCCAAACCGGGGCCGACTTGCTAGAAACAGCATCTCAGCTGAGATGGGGAAAGAAAGCACTGCCAAAGCCAGCGCACGAGCCAAGCGGCACTCCGCGTCTCAAGACGCTCGCGCGCCCCACCCTTTGCACTGTTTTTTTTCAGCCAGTCTCTGAGACGCTGTTCTAGTAATTTGGCCCAGAGCAAACTATCACCGATACTCCATCTGCACAAACATCAATGGTGCAGACAAAGGCGTGGGCATGAGCGCATGGCTTTAGAAAGTGCCTCCTATGCACGACTTCTCGTACAAACAAAAGCGTTTCGCTGAGCTAGGCTCACGCGCCTGTGCCTTTGTCTTTACTGCTTTAAATGTTGTTTGCAATATTAAGACATTGCGGTCTCCCGATTGGTCGACGCTGTGTCGTACCTTTAGTTTACGCTCTAACCGCGGGGGGAGTTTTCGGCACTGGCGGCGGCCTTTGCTCCGCCCATTGTTCCATATTAGGCATATTAGGAGAGTTTTCTCCTAATATACGGCTCTGCCCTTGTCTAAGAATGCACGCCACCGACAGACCCCTTTTTGCGTTTCCGAACACGAGCCGTCCCTTGCACCCCGAGCGACTTCAGATCACTTCGTTTGCACAAAGAAGGCTAATCTCCCCGTGTGGAACTAGCCCATCACTTAAAACTACCCAGAAAAAACATTTTCTGGTCGCCACAGATGTGATGAAGACAACCGCCCGGGATTGCGCCTTGGCCCGACGGAGACATTGACACACAGGAACACATCTAGTGGAAGTTACGAATATATATTTGGTTTATTTACATATATTCACAGACTGGGTTTTAGGTGTTAAAACTTCGAGCCTCGCGAGTCCTCTTGGAGTCTGGTAGATTCTTGCTTCCTCCGATGCTCAGCGGCGGCCGAGTTTCCAAGAACCGTCCCCACTCACTCACTCACTCCCCCCTGCCTCTTCCCCCCTCCCCTCGCTGTTTCAGCTCGGGGGCAGGCTCCGTGATCCCACGTGCTTCCATCTCAGTCTCGGTGCCCCAGTGCCATATTCTCCGGGAACCCATTAACAGCCGACATTTGGGTCTGCGACTCCCCCTCCTCGTAAACATGTTAAAGCCCGCATTCCTTGTCCGGTCCAACCCCACCAAAATCCCCCAAAATAACTACCCAGAGGTCTTTGAACCTAACAGCTATATTTATATCCACCAACACCTAAAGAGTATTCTCAAAAAGTTTCATTTGTTTACACTACATAGTTATTTGTTTATGAATTATTTTCGGTCCAGCAACGCTAAAGAAAAAGATGTTCGAGCACCTTGAACAGATTTTTCTTCGTTTTACTTTTTGGAATAAATTTCACTTTAGGAAAACTATCGTTTGGTAACGGGACAAAAGGAAAGGCTTGCTTATTGTTCTTTCTTAGTGGAATTTAATAGGAAATGCAACTGTGGCTTTTTTTTTTTTTTTTACTCAGTGGATGTCTTTTATGAAAGATGTTAGGATTTTGTCAACGACATAGAAGGTAAAAAATTTATTTGATTTTTCAGCGCGATGTTAGCATAGATTACTTTTTGGAAATTTTGTTTTCACAGTTGCACTCTCCAGGCATTTGCTGCATATCTAGTGATGAAGAATGTTGGGTATTACATTAGTTTTCTAAGAATAGTTTTCCTAAACAATGTCAATGACTTCCTGATAAAAACAACTCTCCTTTCACAATTCATGTACACAGATGAAACTTTCCACTGCATTCTGCTTCACAACTGCCAGCAAATACAGTGAATTTCATTCATATTAACCCAAAGGTTCAAAAGTTGACCCTTTTGGGTAGTTCCCTCCCGTAAGCGTCCAGAGCTTCTTTATGCCGCAATACCTAGGACATTTAAGTGCTACAGAAATGGCCAAGTTGGACATTTAGCAAGATCCTTCTGCTGTCTTAAACATGTTCCTGAGGATTGGTTGTCTCAAAGGAACATCCAAAACACCCCGTAAAATTTCTCGTTAACCAATCCTTTAGATAAGCACTAGCAGAACTGGCAGTGAAATATTTTACAGACGTTGCAGAGAGCAGTGTTATGACAAGGATTCTTTCTCCTCCCATTTGACTGAAAGTCCGCGGTGTACGTAGGATGCAAAAGCACCTCCTTGCAGCGTGCATTCTTGCGAAAAGGGTCATACCCTGTCTCGCCATAACTTGACCAATGGGGAGGGCTACAATCCCACGGAGCCAACCGGCATGTCGAAGGGAAACGTTTGACTATCTCGCTAGTGGCACGAAGTGCTGCCGAGGCCATGGGCAGGGGAGAGTGGAAAGCCGCTTTTATACAAATTTCAAGTGATTGGCTGGTCCCCGATAGGGAGATTAGCCTTCTTTGTGCGTCTGGGACGCGCAAAAGAGGGTCCGGGTAAAAGAGAGTTCTTCCTTCCTCTCTTCTCCAACTGATTGTCTGGCACTCATGCCCGTCTACCTTCGGTAAAGGCCGTCACATGCTTTGCCTCGTTGCTACGATTGGCTCAAGCGTGGCTGTACCATTCGCTCCTTGCCAGGTTAAGGTGAATTGAAGTATAGTACAGTGTAGACTGCATATAACGTATGTCGCGGGAGTCCCGAAAATCCGCACTATAAGCGGTACCGCGCTATAACCAAAACATCAATCTTTCAGGCCAAAATACATGCCTTGAGACAACTTACCTTTGTAAAAGAATTTATTTTATGTTAGATGAAAAATAAAGTTTAGTTTGAGGAAAGTCGTTATTTCACCAGACTAGTACACTTCTCTCTCAAGTGTGTCACACATTTTGAAAGAAATGAGCGACTTTTGCCTGGCGCAGCCTTTTAACGGCGTCGGGGGTTGCGGACGGACGTTGCGAGCGTTCAGGATTGCTAACCCTAATCACTTTTCTCTGGTGATGAAAACGCGTGAAAATTCACATCGTTTATATGGTACGCGCCAGTAACACCTTCAACTTGAGCACAGGCATGAAATGCTCCAAATAAGAAATCCGGGCGATGTTCGAAAACACAAATGCTTAGAAAGCACCACTGTAGTCGAAGTAAACAAACACGACGACACAGGCGTTTCTGCCGTCTTGAGAGTGCCGCCACGACATCGCCGCACGAGTATGTGGATCTTCCCTTCTGGTACGTGCTGGGTTATCATAGCGACACACAACGGAAATTCACAGTCAAGAATAGCGCTTTTACACGGAACGATGAGCTTCCACCACGCTGTCTACGTCGACGATCACAACCGACGCCATGTTTGCGGATAGAAGAAGCTGTCCCGCGACCGGCACGCAACACGCGAACACTTCCCCTCGACCTGCGATTGGTCTGTCGTTGCAGTTGTTTCCAACTTTCCAACGCAGCGGAGGGACGCATGCACGTGAACGACACTTGCGTGTGTCCCTCCGTCGCTATGGACATGAAGCTTCTCTCTTCGCTTCTCCCCGCTTCTTCGAGCAACCTCCTGGCCCCGCGAGTGCCGCTTGCAGCTAGCGCCGTTGTCTTGGTTATCTAGTGTCGCACAGGGAAGCGTGCTCGCTGCGCCGGTCAGTGCGGTTGGCAGGCTGTTCCAGAAACCGCACTATAACCGGTATTTCCCTTCACGCGCCTGCATTTTAAGCAGTATGTAATTACATGGAGTTCTATGGGAGGCGAACCGGTGGTTTACAAAAGCCGCGTTATACCCGGTCCTGCACTATAAGCGGTTACGTTGTAAGTGGTCTATACTGTAGCTGCTGTGTCGATTATCCGAGGCAACCATATCTTGGAAACACGCGAGGCTTGGGTCCAATTGCATACTTTGCACACCGACCATGCGAAGTACGCGTTCAGCGTATTTTAAATACTGCGCCAGCAGCCTCCAAGGTGGACGGAAACACTAGCCGTATATTTAATAAAACAAAACTTAGGCTATGAACAAGTGGCTGCTTTACCGAGTAAAAAAAAATAATTAAGTGGAGTTTGCTGATAATTTAATTCAAGCATCAGTTCCCCTCAAACTACTCCAGGCATCGCAAGAACACTGCCACGACCGCTGCACTCCACTTTGTTTCGAAGCAGCCATAGGATGTTCCTTGTCTCCACAGTCGTCGGACTTTCCTAAGGTGCCTCTTTGACGTCGCTTCGTGTTAGTACCGGCCACACGCAGAGACTACGACCGCAGTATCTGTGGCAGAAGCGATGGGAATGTCCGCGTCGACAAGCACAATCGAATCAAAGTTATCCTCAGTGGCTTCGCCAACATGTTTGCATACTCTCCTATAAAGATTGTTGCAGCCCTGGTAATTTTGTGTCGGCTTGACAAACATGCCCGCAAGAAAAAATCTAACGTGCGCAAAGCAGTTGGCCATCTTTCATTTTCGGTTTGCGGGCGCGCTTAGTCTTGCATGAGAAACTTCTAGAACCCGTCCAGTATGCCTTGGCTGTTCTGCAAAATGGTGGACAGTGTTGAACAGCCGAAGCCGGAATGGCGAATTCTTTAGCGATTTCATACTTGGACCGGCCACTTTTCTCGACCTCGCAGATCTAAGCGACTTTCGGCAAACACTCCTGTATGCTGCAGGCGCGCGCATCGGGTGCTCCCGAAAGAATGATCTCCCGCGGGCTCCGTCCCTTCGTTGACCCGATTCCGACAGGAGTTGGGCAGCGTCAACTGGGTCGGCCGCGGGCGCCACGAGTAGCGTCGGAACACGGATGCTGGTCCTGCTGCTCCCCGCCTGTGTCGGCGCATTGGCATTGGAAGCGGCGCTTTGCCCTTCGTCACCCGTTTGCTTCGTTTCCTTGTTTACCGTTTCCCCAGTTTGCCGTTCACCTCAGTGAAGGGGGAGAAAATGCAAAGGTCTTCTCGCGCCTTCGTCTAGGCTTGCGTGCTTTCGGCACTGCGGCCTTCGTAAATGGCGTGGTTGGCCGCCGATACTCTTTGAATTACCCGGTTCGAAGTACGTGCATTTTGGTAGGGGATTATGTTGAACTTCGATAAAAGCGATAATTCGGAAAAAGCAATTTCGTTATAACGAGGAATTACTGTACTTTGAATTCAAGCTCTTTATTTTTCTCCATTTGAAAGAGGGAGGCAGGGAAAAAAGCAACTCAAATGTTGCTTGATAAGCGCCCCGCCTTGCCCCGCCCTGCCCCGCCCCCCCCCCCCCGCCCCGCCCCGCCCCGCCCCGCCCCGCCCCGCCCCGCCCCCCCCCCCCCCCCCCTTCCCCCACCCCGACAGCAGCACAAAAAACAACACGAACACAGTACCATCCTGTTTTAACGATATTGACGAAACCGAAAATTCAATAGTTATAACTTATAACCAATTATCGTTGTGTCTGGACTTGACAAATGTTGCAAAAAATAGATCACGCGAATATATTACCCCAGGGTAACGAATGCATAACAGCCACTCGAAATCGCAAAATGTTGAGCCCGCAAAATATACCTGAAACCTAGAATTGGCTAAATTTGCTAAATACTGAGCCCGTGAAAATGTTTACGGTACATGTGTTAAGAGGAAAAAAAAACAAAGCTATCAATTAATCCAGATGTTCGTTAATCACAACTCCGGGAGACTCTTTAACAAACAACAAATGCACATTTTTCCTGCTTTCACTCATATTCTTAACTCATACTTGATTTTTCCCTACTTAGCAAAAACCAATCTCAGCCTTTTGTTCAAGAAGTCGAGCAGCTTGTCAATATAGATTTAACCCATGATTACAGAGTGAACTAAAGAAATGTACTTAACCCATTCACAGTCAGGTTTTTCCCCCAAAAATACTATCCTTTTGGGAACAAATGGATAGTATAAGAAAAAAAGTTGATGGACAAGTTTGTTTATTCATTTTTTACCTTCGTAATATCCCGAGTCATCGCCCATCCCCGAGCCATCGCCCACCCTATTTTTTGGGCCAATATCGATTTCCGAAAAAACACCGAGTCATCGCCCACCCCTTCAAATACCCCAGCGCGGACTCCGCGATCCGCGAACACTCATCCTACCCGAATGACGCGGCCGCGGACCTTACAGTTGGAGGACGTCCGTGACAAAGTAAAACGAAGGAGGGAAAGACACTTCTTTTTGTTTACGCATTTCCTCCGTGAGCGACCCCAAAGTGGTCGTGTATCCGTGCGAAAAGAGAACGATGGAGATAACAAAATAAGAGTTTGTTAATGTAACCGCGGAGTGTTAGGCCAAAGTCTGTCTCCGCCGAAGTAAGGTCACCGCGAACCCGCTCCTTCTTCCCGCCCGTCGCGACCGCGGTTGTGCAATATTTTAGGCAAAGCCAACGCGTAAATAAAGCTTTGCTGGAACGCCCTACACAGACGTTTGCAGAGCGTCCCAGCCGTGCATTGATAGCCCGCCGTGCACGGACGCACGTGTGTACGCACCAAACAAGAAAGTTGCGCAAGAGCTTGCGATTGACAAGGCGCCCGACTTGGCCCGACGCCAAAGTATTTGCCAACGCGACCGCCGGCTTTCCCGCTTTCCCGATTTCCCAGCATTGCTCTTGGTCGCTTCTTTGGTCCGCTCGCTCGCTCGCTCGCTCGTTGCGCCTGGTCGGTTTTTCTATTTTCTTGTAGACTGTTCTTTCTTTTTTTTACTAACTAGGAGAACATTGTGGTGACATTCTTTGACGGAACAAACGTTCGCGCTATATGCAGATCGGCAGTGTTTCTAGCGCGTATGCAGGCAACGGACTTCGCTATAGTAAAATATTCTTTCGTGAGCATTTTTTTCTATAAAACAAGGAAACTAAATCGAGTTTTGAGTTTGATGTATCTCCTGTGCATTAGCGCTAGATACGCAGAGAAGAATAGGCGGTTTTTTCCGCTTTTTTTTTCAAGTGTTTGTGCTCACCCACTGAGACATGGCCCACCCCACTTTTTTAATTAATTTCAGGCGGTAGGGGGGTGGGCGATGACTCGGGATATTACGGTATTTAGTTTGAGCATGTACAGTGCTTGCAAGCTGGTCAGGTTTAGAACCGTTGAATGAAAATGTCGAGGGCGAAAGGTTGTCACCACCCTTCCCCTCAGTTTTATTTTGGTGCGTCCGTTTCCACGACAGTCCAGCAGTTTCAGATTCTGAACCGAAGGTACTCTACAGAGCCTCTTCATTAAATGACGAGTTGTCATCCTCTGAATTCAAATCTGAGAAGTGCCAAAAGCCTGAACAGGAAGAGCTGACGCTCCGGTTGCCACCACCGCCGAAGCCACCGACACACTAAGCTACCAACTTGCACACATCACAGAGCGTCTCATTTTGACGCTACAACTAGCCCCAGCAAAACTAAACATAGTGCGAATATAACATTTATAGTACACCAGACACGACAAACAGCAACACCTTCAGGGGTATGCACGGATTCCCATTTGGGCGGAAACTTTCGGATGCGGAAGGTCCTTTTTCCAGTAAGCTTCTGCGCATGCATACAACGCCTCTCCTGGCCTTGCTTCCCACTGTCGCCATTTTTGCAGGGCAAAGTTCCAGTCGACTGACATATTCAGCACTTATCTTTGGACATATTTCGTCTCTTTCAGCCATTCTTGCTTGAGTATACGCTAGTATGGGGCATAAAAAGCAACGAAGATCAATACAGCAGTACGATGTCAATGTATTAATTCTGACGGGCGGAATCAAGTTGGGCTGCCCTTCATTTGTAGTTGAAAGACAACTCCGAAGACGGCGCTCGTAACCGGAAAAAGGTCCATCGCCGCAGTGTACGTACGACGACGACCATCGACCTACCGCACTCTCCCGACAAAGTTTGACGGGCGGCCCTTGGCCTCACCTCCTGGCTGAGGAAGAGGCTGCTCCTCCAGTACGAGTTGAAGTAGGAGATGGAGCCCGGCATCAGCATCTTCTCGACGCTGAAGGGGTTGAAGCGGCCCCTCGCCAGGGGGTCCCTCGTATCCACCGGCCTCAGGGGGCCGCCGCCGGAGGGGCCTTGCAGCAGCAGCTTCCCGACGTAGCGGTCCATGGCCACGCTCGTCTTGCCCAGCCGGTCGCAGCGCCGACCCATCGTCCTTGACAGGCTCCGGACGGCGCCCTCGCTCAGCACGATGCCGCCCGCCATCGAGTTGTAGAAGCCGCCGGACGTCTCCTGTACCTGATGAGACCGATGTAATGAGTGAGCGAGCCTCGAGGTACAGTGCCCAGAATGCGTCTCAGACGGGCGCATTTAACGTTTTATTTCGCCCACGCATCAAAAGCGGTCCCGAAGCGGCCACAAATGACGTCACAAAAGCCCGGAGCGTCGCATCGTCAGACGTCGCAATCCCAGCGGTTAAGCGTGAAAGTTCTTAAAAAAGAAAAAAAAATCACAAAGGAACATGCTGGCGCCACCTATCGGGTTGCCGCAGAACACTTGGCATCTCTGTATATTTCCTCTTTCTTTTTCTTGAGTATCATTCTTTCTTTGCTGGCTCGGAGAACTTTTGCCACTGTGTGCTCTCGTCGTAAGAGGTCCCAAGGACTCCGTCGTAAGCAGGTGCAAGTGTGTGAACCAGCCTTGACACGAGCTTCACATTGTTGTCAACCCCCTGAGTGCCATGCCCAAGTGTACTCGGGCGCAACCCAGTGCGGTTTCAGTTTCGGTTTGCTCCCTGCTCCTTCCAACCGAGCTGTCACCTTTTTTCCTTTTTTTTGTGTGTGTGTGTGAGGTGGCGTGCATGAGCAAGCAATGAAAAAAATGTTTTTTCTTGTGTCGTTGCTTTTTGATGGTACATTTTCTTTTCTTTTTTTTTTCTTCTTTAGGCAACTTTTGTTTCACTATACTACTTAGTTGATACAAGATAGCAAACCTGGCATGTCGTTTACCCTTGCGCTTCGCGGTGAATGCCGAGATCTAGAAATTACTAATAAATTCGGTATTCGACGACTGTGAAAACAAAGAGGTTACAGTTACGAATTGACGGAGGACAATAAGGCCACTCAAAAGTGTGACCTCAGGACGCGAGGTCGAGGTGCCACTGCATAGTACCTGTTCTTGAAAAGTACAATACGAGAGAAAAGTCATAAGTTGGAAGCATGCAGACATCAATTAAGTTTTTGGCCATAAAATAGTTTTATAAATAAATATTATTCACGGAGCATGCTACAGTCTCACTAAGACAAAAAAATTGCATTCGACATGCAAGAAGAAAAAAAAACGACACTTAAAGGATTATAATGCAGAATCCCACTGCTACAGAGGCAAACTTAGATTTCGCACTGCCCTTTGCGTGCATCCAATGCCGCAGTGGGAGCTGGAGTTGACCAACTGTCAAGGATGTTTGGGACAAGAAAGAAGAAAAACAGAAGAAGCAGGAGAGCAGACGCTGAGATGCCAAACAGGCTTCGAGAAGAGTTTGCCAGCTGGGAAAAGCTTTAGGAACAAGCTGAAAAGTGGTTCAAAAGGAGGACATAGCGACGCTTAAAGATACAATGTCGCATACCAGAAAGGGCAAGACTGGACACACGTGCACATTGTGTTCCTTGCGAAATTCAATTCTGTATGCGATGGTTCGACTAATAGACTGAGATACAGCTGCAATTCTTTTTGGGGGGGCCTACTTCAGACAGCACAACTTTCCCCAGAATTCCAGGGTTATTCATGAGTTGTTGGCCGCTACTAGATGCGTTGCTGGGATCAAAATTGACGACTCGAATGTTGCAACTCAAAGATGTTTGAGGCAGCAGCAACCAATCGTGGATGAGATATTTGCAGAGACCCGATCTCGTGGTGATGGTGATAACTGAAGACAAAACCTGGCTTTGCTATGGTTTGATATGAATTCTTTTGGGTGCTACAGGAGAATTGTTTCACAACGCCATTTCAAGACATAAAAACGGGATCATTACCACATAACTTTGCTTCTAAATAGTGCAAGAGAAATATAACAAGGTAGGAAATTGGGCCAGTCGGCATACGTCGCTGCTGGACATGACAGTGCTTGCCGCGTGATGCGTGTTTTTCATTAGCTGTTGGATTCCTATAGTGTTCGAGAGAATTACATATTTAATGATAACGTCAAAATGTGCTGGTTTGTTGTTTCAGCAGTTGCTGCATGTGAGCATGGGAGATTAGAGTTGTAGCTGCTGCAACGCCGCTAAGACGTCGAGAAAAGGTGCTTCATTTGAAGCAGGTCAGTGTTTTAACTAAAAAGAAGTCAAAACAGGACACAGCAGATGCCGTACACAGCAAGAAAAACGCACATGCTTCTCAAAAAGCGTGAACGTTGCAGCACACACGTCCATGGGCAGTGAGGGCATCAACTACACAAACAACACGGTCGTCCTCCTCTCCTTCCCTTGCTTGTTTTCGGGAGATTAGGGCCCACAATGACAGCGGAAGCCTTAACGATAGCCAGTAAACTACAGCTCAGGGATTGAAGCAGAGGGTTGCCTTCCTCTCCGGTAAACAAAAAATACCCATCCCAAAGCAGACCGGAACCGGAGGAAAACCTCCACGTCCAGTACAGGAAATGCCGTGACCGCAGAAAACGCATCCCGTTGGACAGCCCTTTACCGGGTGTCCCAGGTAGTAGACGGCACTCGAGTTGAGCGGCGCCACGTAGAAGCGGAGGTTCTCGACGATGGCAAAGGTCTCATCGTCCACCAGGAGCACCCAGGAAAACTCGCCGCCGTACTTGTGCAGGACATGGCGCAGAACCAAGCAGGTGACTTGAGCATCCGCCACGGAGAGCGGGATTTGGTGGACCGGAACATATGGATCCTGCACATGGTGATGGAGCCTTCAACGGGGTCGTGTCTGTGCCCACTGTCGTGCAACTCTTGTGCCGTCCTGGTTGAGTATGATTCATTTGTTTTGAATTCGCACGAGTTTATGAGTTTGACTGCATTTGTGAGCTTCACTGAATGAGTTCAAGCTTGTGAGTTTGGGTCCATGAGTTTGACGGAGTTTGTGCAGCTTGACTCAATTTGAGTTCAAGAGTTGGAGTTTTGAAGTGGAGTTTGTGAGTTTGACAGTGCATGTGAGTTCAAAAGTTTGACTGAGTTTGTGAGTTTGAGATCATAAATTTGTGAGCTTGAATAAGTATGAGTGTAGAAATGATGGCAAATAAGTATGAGTGTAGAAATGATGGCCAGTCAATTTTTTTTTTTGTTTCTAGTTATAAATCTTGGGATGAAAAAAATTGCAGTATTTTCTATTTTAAGCCATTTGCGAGTTTCGGCGAGTTCAACCCGAACTGCCAACCTCTGGATATGTGCCTAAAAATGCCCGTTTACATTAAAACCGACAGATACGGTACTTGAACTCACTATGTGTGAGCCTGTATGTGAGCCTTTGCTTCACATGCATTCAAACAGCCAAAGTTTAGCTGTATTGCTGAGATGAAACCTCATGGCTTTGTCACAGTATATTAGTGCCTGAAGCACTAGACTCTAAAAACGTACATGTAAAAGGTGTTTTTTTTTTTTTTTGGTAAGGTATTTGATATCCCAACAAAGCTTGTACTAAAATTTTAAGGGAAGTTTAAACTGCGAAAGTGACTTTGCTAATCGGCAGCCGAACATAGCTGGGTCGAATTTTTCTAGTATTTTTGTTCGCACACCTGTCAACTACCTGTGCGAGAACCTTTTCACGCACTGCAGTTTTTGTACTGTTTCTCCTCATAGTGTTTATTTTTTCAATAAGTAAAATACACCTTTGAGGGAAATTTCTGTTGTTATGTCCACTCGGCAATCTCTTGTGGCTGTCTCTTTTACATTACGAAAAACGCCGCTTTCGGGCATACATGTATTTGCAGTGTCTGTCACGAGGCACTTCAGTTTGAACCTCATGAACACTATCACTGCTTATTGGATTGTAGCTCCGATGAGTATAGTACCTGTATGCTGCCAAAGAACACCAGGCGGTTGCAGTGTCGGCCCCAGTTGTTGTAGACCGCCCGAACCTGTTGCCGCGTCTTGGCCTGGACGAGGCACAGGACGGGCACCTGTACGCGAGGGATCAGTGGTTGCGTGTGTTAGAACACCCCAGCTCGTAGCACAAGGAGCGAAAGAAAGCACGCACTGTAGAACCCAGGGATCCTGGGCTCAATCCGCACCCCTGCTTGCTTTGATCTGGTTGAGCATCGTGCCGACGTGCGGTTGTGCATCATTACTGCGTGATGCACGTTGAAGGCCCCTGGTACCGCACTGGCTATATTTCTATGCACTGTAGAACCCAGGGATCCTGGGCTCAATTTGCACCCCTGCTTGCTTTGATCTGGACGAGCATCGTGCCGACGTGCGGTTGTGCATCATTACTGCGTGATGCACGTTGAAGGCCCCTGGTACCGCACTGGCTATATTTCTACGCACTGTAGAACCCAGGGATCCTGGGCTCAATCCGCACCCCTGCTTGCTTTGATCTGGACGAGCATCGTGCCGACGTGCGGTTGTGCATCATTACTGCGTGATGCACGTTGAAGGCCCCTGGTACCGCACTGGCTATATTTCTTATCTAGAGCGTAAACCAGGGAGGTTATGTTCGACAAATGTTTAATTTCTCTTAAAAAGAAATGGAAGTGACGGAAGTGACAATATTGCATCTGATTGGCCATAACGGCACAAATGACGAAAAAGGGAACTTTCGTCGTTTGAGCCTCTAGCCAATCAGACGTGATATTGTCACTTCCGTTTCTTTTTAGGAGAAACAAAACATAGCCCTCAGTGTCACCATACCCGAAAGGCAGATAGACCTAGGCTGTTTTAACACAAATGTCCATTCAATTTTTTTTTATTATAGTAAGCATTGTATAGCACTTGCTTGTACACTGTATTGCACAGCATTGTACAGCACTTTCTAAAATCCTCATGCCCATTTCGGCTGACTAACAATTGTACCTCCGACTGTCTGAACAAAACGAACAATTACCTGTCGATACAGGAACTCCGCCTCGCTGACGGAGTCGGCGCTACTCGCAGAAGCGTCCGGACTGCAGTCGCGCTGAATGCCCAATTCGGATAGCCACGACGCGTAGCTCGGAGTCCGGAGCTCGTAGCTCACCGGGGTTGTTCGCGCACTCTGGTCACTCAAGAGCGCGTCATACTGGAGAGTCATGAGCGCTACGAAAACGCCAGAGATCGAGGCCAGCAGGAACGCTAGCACACGGGTAATCACGCGCATTTTTGGGAGATTTGAACGGATAGCTTTTGATGTTTTGTTGTTTCAGTGCGTCGATGATGTTGGTGGGATGTCAGGCCGTCGATCGTCCCGCGGGTAGGTCATGTCTTCGTTCGGGGGTTTGATGCCAAGTTCATCGCTTGCTGGACGATCCGTGCAGATGGGAGACGCCCAAGTTTGTGACAACGAACCATGTCCTACGCGTGTTTGGAAGTTCACTTGGAGCCCATGAATTAAGACAACACGAAACAATCACACTACAACCAAGACGAAAACAAAACAAAAACAACACAAGTAACAAAACGACAAAACTTTCAGTTTCACTGTTTAGCTTGGCTTGGCTTGGCAAGGCTGATCATTAGTTTTAGTCATTAGCCTTGGCCACGAGGAGCTCTGTTTGCCACAAGGTTTGCCATGACTTTTGCTCTAGTTCGCTCGGTTGTCAGACACGGGTAACTAGATATATTAATGAACGCGTTGTTGCTTCTTTATAAAGTGTATAAATGTTTTAGACAAAATGTTTTGTCGTGCACGTAAAGGTATCGCTGTCGACTAAAGCGCCACCACATAATCTGGCGCCATACTTACAAATTAGATTTGGTGGTGGAACTGAACCGGGTGTGCAACCAATCAACTTTTTTTTATTTTTAAAGATGCATACAAAGACCTGAAACGTGCGACACACATTTTATTGTAAGGTGACTATGGTACCCCACATATTTGACCAATTTTCTAGAGTGGACAATCTTCAGAATTTAAATCTGTCGCTTTATACCATGGTATAATTTTTATCAACCGATGGAACAAATATGTTGACTTGTCTACTCGCAATTTGCATTCAAATAAGACAAACCATTTCCTCGATTTCATGGTGCTATCTTGCTCTAAATCATAACTTCTAGTCAGAGTCCCACTGATGTGCAGACGCTGAAGCTGATTGAATGCTAGCAGGGTTCATACCGTTCTGATCCCTCCTGTCACCGTCCATCAAAGTACCATCCGATTCTGAAAAAATCAAAAAGGCCAAGGGATTCGTCATCACATATGCCTGAACCTTACAAAAAGGTTTTATGTCCCTTCCTTGCCTAAAGCGGACCTGCGCGCCAAAGCCATGTTGTTTTAGCTGGAACGCTTTTAAAGAGCACAAGCAAGCAAACCCAAGGTAAATGGAGCAACAGGGGTGGTCTTGCCATCTGCAGTAGGGAAGGGGTATATGTGAGTGTATACCAGTTGCTGCTCTAAGCATCTCGCTTGACTGGACAGCCTAGAGACTATTCTCCTCCTGGCTCACAGCAGTAGTTTATATCCAGAATTCTCACTCTGGAGTTGTTACAAATTTCTGGATGTGGGGTGAGCGGGTGTTTAAATCACTGACTCGGAGAAACTGCACCAGCGAGTTTGGAGACAGCTAATATGCCACAGCAAGTACCAGCACACCTTATCAAACTTTGGATGCTTGGAGACATCAAATTGCAAATGTTTTTGTATAGATTGTCCAAGTTCAGAAGGTCTCTGTATACAAGTGAAATTTTTAATAAACATATGCATGAAGTTCCTAATAAAACTAATATCAAGATTGGAAATTAAATTATACAGTACCACACAACAAGCTTAGGAGTGGAGACAGATTACAAAAAAATGGACAGCACATAATAACACCGACAAGGTACCGAAACATATTTGTACATGATTTTATTCGGTAAAAACAATCTTCAAAATAAATTTCACACTTTCGTAATGGAGCAAAATGCGCTCATGTTTTTCACAATTATTGTTCGAAGAAAACTTTATTGGGTATATTTTAATTATTCCCTTGTGCAGATGTTACCATAAGCTCCAATTACTGGCAAAACTGTGTTCTGTCTAAGACCACTGAACTAGTTAATATAAAGCGCCTACATTTCTAAAGCGAACCAGAGGGATTGGCGGCCAAATGTATTAATGCACCGCAGTTCAGAGTGCCTGTAGCGAAAGCTTGCACTGCAGAACCCAGGGATCCTGAGTTCAATCCCCACACCAGCCCACTCAGATCTGGATGAGCATCGTACCAGCATACAAACGTGTATCACTATTGCATGGTACACGTCAAAGACCCCAGGCTAGCAGTGGTACTCAACTGGTTAAATTTCTCATCTACAACCAAGACTCCAGATCGCCCAGTGGGGCTAACTAACGTCCAGCAGTATAAACATACACACAACACAATTACTTTAATCAAACCGCGATTTCATCAGGCACACACAAAGCTCAGTCATACATTTGGATCCAAAAGCAAGTGCTATCCACAAGTATCAATTAGCGAGTATACTATAACCATTCCACTGTTCACAAATCAACAGCCCAGCGTACGATCACCACAGCCCAGCGAATGCATGTTCATCGTTTCGGAAAGCGAGCAAAGCGCGCATCATATGCACACATGCTAAAAATGGCACCATCCAAAAGCCCTTTTCTGAAAGAAATGGGGATTCATGTCTGCTGGTTTCAACCGATACCATTATTTTAATTAGCACCACATTTCTTGGTACTCTTCCAAACAAAAACTTAAGGACTGTGGCTCACACGTACGATGCACAATGTAAAGCGTACCATAACACACATATATGTACACATTTTATCAAATAGGGCCTTAGTGGCTGCACATCACAGCTCGTTCATGTCATCATGCATTGCGTTCAGGCACAGGCCCTAGACGTGAAGTCGCATCAACACCAGCCTTTACTTGGGTCACATTAGACAATACCTATTTCGACCAATAGCTGTATCTTGAAGGCCATGATAGGCGATCAGAATAAAGGTGGCCAAGGTTCTTATTGTTGCCATTTTGTTCACCGCACGTTCGTCCAACTTCGCTGGTGCGTGTTGGAACAGGTGGCAGTCACCATCACTTGGTTTCCATCAGCTACTAAGGAAACACTGCATGCAGCGCGGCACGTGGAGCATTGTCGGAAGAGCTGGAGCAAGCAGTTTTCGTCCACCGTAAATTCGTCCTCTCCGCGCAGTGGACAGTTGGGCGTGACATGATCCTCCCTGCGACAGTGGACAAAATTTAGTACAGTGAAGCCCATACGTGGCCACATTAATTAACTGTTTGAGTGCCAGGCATTCTTCACGCGTGTCGAACACAAATTTTGGTCATAACACAGAAACACTGTAGAATGCTTTATCGGGTATATCTACTTATTTAAGACACACTGATCTATGGACTCAAAGTCAATTTATGTCCGCTTGCCTCCAACCTAGGATATTTTTTCAAATTTTTCTTTACGAGACAGGGTTGACTCTTTCTTAGTGGCCTTAACCAACACTGTTTTTATTTGAAACTGGGGCTTCCTTGCTTAGTTTATCACCAAAGTAGTTTATTACTAACTTCTAGATCTCAAGGCCGAACACTGAAACTCCGCTCAAACTCCACGCAAGGTTGGTTTTCTGCTTCGTAGTTCCGACTTGACTCAAAACTCCACTCGACTGAGGAAATACTCTACAATTTCCTCCAAGATCTCAAGGTGACTTCGAAGCTAGCTCGAGATTTTCCTCAAGACTCGAGTCGATTTTGGGGCGTCGTGGCGACCGACAGATTGTTTGCTGAGTTTGTGAATTTTGTACTCAAAAGCAGGCACATAGCCAGGATTTTGTTTCGGGGGGGCCCACCTAGGGTGCCTACATGTCTGTCTGTCTGAGGGTGAAGACATCCATTGTTGCCCTGAATGTGCCAGCGTGTGACGCTCTAGCGCACTCGGTGAGTGATTTGGGTGGTAAAATGGCGTCTATGCATTAGCCAAAGCAACGCGCTCGAGCCGTGTGACACCGAATTCTGCGCGCTTCAAAATGCATAAAAAAACGATTGGGCGGAAAAATGGTTGAGGTGTCACCACTCAAGCAAAAGTGCCTGTGTGTATGAAGGCACTCTAGGCCCACCCATCACAAAATGCTGTATGAGAGGGAGGGGGGAGAGGAGGCCCCAGCAAAATGGAAGATTTCGGGGGGGGGGAGCAGGCCCTGTGGGCTTGTTCCTGGCTACGTGCCTGCTCAGAAGCGACACACTCCTGCACCACGGCGAGGACGAGAGGCTTCAAGTGTCGCAGCATCATTTCGGGAACCGGGCTGAACGCGACAAAGGCCTTCGACGACTGCAAATGTTTTGCGCCCTTCTGCTTTACAAAAGTGACGGTGGCCAGCCTCTTGAAGTCCCAGTCGCTAGAGGAGTGCGAGAAACAATCGCGGTCTGCCAGTCCCTCCAATGCTCCGGCTCTTAATCACCCTGCAGTTCTACGGCATTTGGGGCACACAGGTGCACGGTAACTGGCAGCCCGGTAAATCTGTTGCAACCCACAGTCTGCCGGCGTAGTTGGGCAAGTGTCGCGGCTCGTCGCCAGCATGTTGTGCCGCCATTCTGTCAGTTTGCTGGGGGCGTGGCGGACTCGGAACTTGTGACGTGAAACTTTTTCTCAACTCGGCTTATGGAGTCAAATTTCTTGTTCAACACTGTACGAGTAAAAAGTGCCAAAGGATGAATTCGCGTTGATGCTAAAGGCCCAACCACGCAGTAGCATGTTTGACAGACGACTACCTCAGCCAAGAGTAACAGTCGTGCCAATCATGCATCAATAAACATGTTTTCAATCACGTTACGAGAGCTTCCGTCGAGTTATGATCATGGGACATCAGGACATTCGTGTTTCAGGCATGGCAACCGATTCAAAAAGTAGCTCTGCAGGCTAGAGTCACCGGATGTTCCCAGAGTACCGACACTCCCAAGCTTCGTTTCAGAACCGAGTCGCGGCAGAGCAGTCGCGACCCCCAATATGGCAGAGCCGTATATCGAGAGAGTTTGGCCATATATTGGGAAGCTTAGGAGGCAAATGAGGAGGCGCCATTGGTCGAAAGAGGGCTGGGCATGTTTTAGGGCATCCTCACAAATTCGAAAGTGGCCAGCCAGAAGCCACGAATAATACCCTGATGGTGGTCGCAAAAAACTCAATTACAGTAAAACCTCACTGATTCTTTCTCAGTTGATACGTTTTCCCGGCTGTTACGTTAAAAAATGCCAGTCCCATTTTACTTCCATAGGAATGCATGTATTAGTTTCCTGCCTGTTACATTCGCTTTCCCGGTTGTTACGTCCAAAAGTGTCAGCACCACGGTGCCTATGCCCATTGACAACATTTATGGCATCGCGAAAGAGGAAAGCACTCTCTTCTAAAGAGAAGTTTTACATATTTCAGACAATGGATTGCAATCCCAGCCAAAAGAGATCTGACATCGCAAGAGACCTTGGACTCGCGCCGTCAACTTTGAACAGCATCATCGCCAAACGAAAGGAGATCAAGGCGAAAGCTTATTTTTATCAAACAGGCTAACGCGCTTTTGTGAAATTGTCTGAGTCCTCAACAGTTCTGTAAGTACACATAAAATAACCCATTGTATGATAGTTGCTTTCTATCTCACGTAGAGCCCCCTTAAGCGCATTATTGGTAGTTACGTTTTCCCAAATGATACGTTTTTGTCCCGCTGTTCCCTGAAAAATGTATCAATGAGGTTCTACTGTACTAAGTGTGCTGCAGTAACTCTCAGTGACTGAAAATATGGTGCACGTCATTTTTCGATCACACTCATGCAAAATAAATGCAAAATAAATAGCAAAATGATCGATGTAATCCGTACGCCACGCGCCGGGGGCCCGGAATCTGCCGTTTGAGCGGTCAGTCTTTGTCTGAGAAAAACAGAGTTCAAGTGGTTCAAGCGGCACATTCGATTCTTACATCTTTTTGCATGATCCTAATTGAAACATGAGGTGCACCATATTTTCAACCATAAAGAGTTACTACATTTAACGCTTATGCGCTTATTAAAACTGCTTCTTGCTACTACTGCTAAGGGATTATTTTCGGCTTCTGGTTGGCCAAGAGAGCATGTCAAGCCCTCTTTCTGCGTCTGGTGCACGCCCTGGCTCTGCCCGCTCCTCCCATTGACCAAACCCTCTCTACATACGGCTCTGCAATATGGCGCTGCCCTATGCAGTCGAAGCGAAGCGCGTACAGTGTAGCGTTCGCTCTCGTGCGAGCTCTTCTATTCAAGTCCCTGGCCCGCGGCGACGCTGGTTTGTTTTAGAGCGCAGCTCTTAGGGGCCCGTTCCCGGCTTGAGCGGCGTCGGCGTAACCAAGGTCACGCGACCCCCAAGGTCACGTGACCCCCCCCTGAAGTCACGTGACACGCCCCCCCCCCCCCCCCCCGAGGTCACGTGACCACCCCCAGGGTCACGTGACCTCCCCGATGACGTCATCGTCACTGATGACGTCACCGGCATCCGCATCGTCATCATCACTGATGACGTCATCAGTGACGTCACTGATTACCTCACCGGCATCCGCATCGTCATCGTCATCATCGCTGATGACGTCATCAGTGACGTCACTGATGACGTCACCGGAATCCGCATCGTCATCGTCATCATCACTGATGACATCATCAGTGATGTCACTGATTACCTCACCGGCATCCGCATCGTCATCGTCATCATCGCTGATGACGTCATCAGTGACGTCACTGATGACGTCACCGGCATCCGCATCGTCACGAATGACGTCATCAGTGACGTCACTGATGACGTCACCGGCATCCGCATCGTCATCGTCGTTGATGACGTCATCGGAGTCCGCATCGTCATCGTCACTGATGATGTCATCAGTGACGTCACTGATGACATCATCAGCATCGTCACGTGACCCCCAAGGTCACGTGACCCCCCCCAGGTCACTTCACCCCCCCAGTACCCTTCCCTCCTCCTCCTCCTCAAGAGCTGCGCTCTAATTCGGTGTTACAGGGAGTTGTAAACGGCTTTCACTTTTTTATTAAAGTTCTTTCCTTCGTTCCGAGCGGTGCGTGACTTGCTCCTCGCTGTCTCGTCTTTCTCTCTCGTCTCGAAACACATCAAAGTCGAGTGTTAGGCTTAGCGTCTGAGGCGTAGAATCTGAAACGCAGCACCAGCGTAACCAGACCGAGCAAGCGAACCGGCAATCTTCTTTTGCGAACCGGGTAAGAGGCTACTTGACATAAAAAAAACTAGAGAAAATTAATGCACCATCCATTCTTTCCTAACTCATCGAAGCCCAGAGCTTCTCGTGCATACCCGCCGTAACCGTGGTAACGCGAAAACGTTTTATATACGTTTTTTTGTTGTCTTGAATTGATTCACAAAATGGCCGACCGATAACTTCCGCCACAGGCTAAACCAGCCAATCGAAACTGGATTTTGCAGGATTGACTTCCGGTAATCGGACTGAATGGAATTCAGTACTCTGGAATTCAGTGACTCTGTTGCAGGCAACATATGAAGCACGAATGTGGTGGTGACCCGTGTTCGCATCAACGCGTAATGTTAAGAAAATGCAGTCGAACACTAGTGAGGGCACAGGCCCTGTCTTTTCTAGCGGGTGCTCTGTATATTTACGTGCTGCAATAAAAACACGCTAGAGCAGTTTTAACGTGTTCATTAGTAGCAGCTATTCTGCAGACACGCATAAGCTTTCGAGCCCACAGGTACAAAGTATCAAAATTAAATTTCAAACTCACACTAAAATTAGCATGTTGAATATGTTGGTTTTCACTGACACTGGACACATTCATTACGCTCTTTGTGCCTGATGATTGCAGTATCATGCCAGCACAAATACCTAAAACGTGTACTTGTGTTGCCATGGGATTGTCAAGCGGCACCATACTTGCTATGGATGATACGGCTACATTTCGGAGGATGCCAAAGATGAAAACTGGGCTAGTTAGCAACCTCTAGTTAAAACATCACGGTGCAGAACATGCCTCTTAAAAGAGCAGTTTGCAAAAAGGCTCGATGCTTCGTCGAATTCGGGCGAGGAAAAACTGGATGCTGCTATTTTGCCCCCCCCCCACCCCCCCTGTTGCCAGACTAGAAAAAGCTTATGCTTGTTTCAACGATAAAGCAACTGAAACTTTCACGCTGGCTAGGGGAAAGCTTGAAATCCACCAATTCAGTGCTTGTGAAGCAGATTCTTTTAGAGATAACAAACACATATATTTATATTTTGCACCAAGACTATGTTTTAGATGAAATATGTAGGTATAATCTCATTTCCAGACACCTCTGGGAATGCTGCAGTGGAGTATGAAATCTCGAGGAATTCCTCCGTGGAGGAATCGCAGAGAAGTATCTGCGAAGCCAAATGCCTCTTGAGTAGAGGTGTTAATTTTTTCTACACTCGACTAAGTGTAGTTAAAGTTGAAGTCGAGTAACATTTAAAAACACGGCTGTCAGTGTTCGTTACAATAAAGCACGAGGTTGAATGACGTAGATGTGCCTTTCTGGAACAAAGAAGAAGCAATCCGAGACAGAAGTCCCCTGGACAAAACTTGCCACATGTTGTCAACAGGTGTCATTACCAGACAAAACATTGCTCTACACATAAAAATAAAATTGACAGCCCAGTTGGGGGAGGTCGGGAGCAAATCGAAACGGAAATTTGCATGGGTGCGCGCCAGATAATACTCGGGCATGGCACTCAAAGGATTAAGACCAGACTTGAAATATAAGCTGAGCATGCTCGTCTGCTCCTCGCACAGGGGGTGGACAGGGAGATCGAAGTGCAGGGCCGTGACCGGATGATGCAGTGGGTATGCAAACATGTCGTCGTCTGCTAGTCTTAGCAATAGGAACCTTTTAGAATGGCATACCCAAAACCTTTGGATGTTAAAACAAATACCGTTGTTGCAACACCGCATGCGCCGAACCCAAACTGTGTTTGTGGACTTGCGCGTGGCAACGACGCTATTTCTTTGCATACGCTATTCTAAAACTAACTAATGGCTGCTTTTGGCTTTTCTGTGGATTTCTAAAAAAACACTAGTTCTTTACAAACAAGGCCTTGGGCTACAAGAAAGAAGAAAGGAAATACGATACATTGTTTTCGTCGACTAAGAACTGCCAGAGCAGCCTCAGACCTTTCCAGTACGTTAGTTAGTGAAAATGATCCCTGGAGAAGGGGAACCAAGAGGACAAAGGACAAACACAAATCTCCAAACACAACTGGGTGACTGGTGCACGACCGAAAAAGTCCGCCTGGTCCTGGTATCGAACCAGAAACCTCTTCATTTCCAGCGGAGCGCTCTACCTATTGAGCTAACCAGGAATTAGACGTCAGCAGAGCAAACGGGTTTTATCAGCTGCCACCAGTCTAATACCAACAAGGGTGAACGGCCTGCATTTTAAGGTTATTCTCCAGGAATTATTTTTGTCCTTCTTGTCAAGCTCGCTTGCACATTTGCGTTACTTGCATTATCATCACATTAGTTAAGTTTTATTTTTCGAATCAGATTAAAAAATTTTTCCTTACAGAGTCATACTTTTGTTTCAGCAGTAAAAACTTTATTTTTGGAATCCTTTCCTTCCTATATGCCAGATTTTGTACACAATGTTTTCAGATGCTGTTTGCAGCCCCTTGTCCATGGGACCAGGCAAAAAAAAAACCTAGAATGATCAGTTCGGTCAAGCCAGGATCAGGATTAAAGGATGGCTAGTGGCTAGTTAGTTGTTCATCATGGTGTAATACGGCAAAAAAAAAAAAAACGGACGAAAACGAAGGGAGAACGGGACAGGACGCGGTGACCCAACTCGTCAAGCTAAAATGGGAAGGCACAGATGCGAGGACACAAAGATACCTGAGCGAGCTCTCCTCCGATGCTCCTAGATGGCCGTTGTCCGTAACTTCCGTCTTGACGGTGACCAAACTTTGATCCTGTGGCGGAGACTCCACAACCTCCCTCTTTACGTTTACGTGGTCCGAATCCGGGGGCGGCCTCGACTCCTTCATCTCCAGAACTGCAGAGGACGAAAAAACAAAAAGTTATGTTGCATCAGCGTCAGACACTGAACAAAGATTCGAGTAAATTTTGTTGTTTAGTTCTGTGGCTGAGACAAGGAGATAAATCCCCACCCATAGAGGCCAAGCCCTAAATCAAATAATTAATATTTTCCCCTACAAGTTGAGAGAAGACAAAACATTGAACAAGTTAGATCACTGGGATTGGCCCATGAACCTCTTACACAAATGATTTGTCAATGAACCAATCACAAAAATATTGTTGGTTCACTTGCAATCAATTACACAAATCTGATTGGCCGATGGACCAATAACATTGATTTGTCAGTCAACCAATCGATTTCCCATTATGTGCACTGTGTAGTAGCAGCACTGCATGTAGAAGAGAAAAGGGGGAACGCATGTGTGACATGTTTCCTCACCCATAGTTGCCTCTCAAAAGATTTCTTTTCTTTCTTTCTTTCCAGATCACAACAGAAGCTTTGGCTTCAAGTGTTTCTGCACTTTTTTTTTTTTTTGCACGGTGTATTTTTTTAACAGTTATTAAGTCTGAAAACACTGAAGAAAAATTCAGTACCATACTGAGCCCCTCCTAAGGAAGTACAGAACACTGGATTTTAGAATAATCTTTAGTGTTGCTTTATAGGGAAAATGCAAAGGGTGCGACAGGCAACAATTATTCTGCACCCTTTCTCTCCAGGACTCACTCCCAATGCAACTTCCATGCTATATTCTGCCAGCTTCAATGGATGCAGAAGTGCAACACTTTAACGTATCTCTAATAACTTATTATTGAAGCTACATTGATAGCTCTGTGACAGCTCACACATCCAGCTACTGCACAAGCTCAATTCTCTGCAGAGCAGAACATACTCATAGCTTCCTCCTCTCCCCAAAAGCAAGAATTGAAAGGGGAAAAAACTGACAGGAGAGCACGGCGATAATATGAGAAGTGTACCAAATTGATTAACATTTTTTTTTTGCTGCAGACACTGGTCATTTACAGGTCTGGGTTAGGACACAGAAATTGAATGACAACCAGGCAACACTGCTGAAGTTAGTCAGGCCATGGTGCCCATAAATCACATGATCATTATATTCAGTTGAACACTCTCTCATTCTAGGTGCCGCCAATCTCGCCTCGCCACGGTACGATCACACGCTACAACGCTACTCGGCCATTCCGACGTATACTCTTGCTCTTGTCCCTTTGACCTTTTACCGTGCATGCACGTGCAAGATCGTCGCGGATGATGGCGAGTTTGTTCGTGACAATCTCCTCGTCGTCGCTCTACCTGGTCGCGAGCGGGTCAAAGTCAAAATGACCACCTTCCAACATCTTTTTATAACAATCACTCTCATCGCTGCTGCGATCAGTGTCAAAGATTTAGACGAGGCGAGTGATGTCGTAGACGTCATCGTCTCGCAACCGCGTGCTCGAAAAGCGGACGGCAAACATGGAAGCTGAAGCGCGAGACGCCGAGGGAGTGAGAGAGCCAAATCTGCAAGTGCGTGCAAGGGGACGCCGTGCTAAGGGCGAATGACGTCACCGACTCCACAAACATGACTATTTTTTAATGGGGTGGATCTGAGGGTCCCGCATATAAATCGATTTACCCACGAAACCTTTTGCAGCATTTTCAAAATAAATTTAGCACATATACGGAAGCATACAATGGGTCCTAGCAGTATAGTAGTTATCTAATATTTTATTTTTGCCATGTCCCAATCTCTTTAATGAAACGAAATGGCATCCTCGCAGGGGTGTTTTCATGCCACCCCACAGGTGATAACCACTGGGGGCTCATCAGGCCATACCCATGCGCAGCCGAACGCCCGACTGGTCGTACGAGGTGCCAGAAAGGCGGTCGAACCTGAAACAGACACCGGCCAGTAACGGCCTCACGTGACGCAGTGACTGAATGGTGCCTGGTCGGATTCGGCTGTCTTTCTGGCACGTCGTACGACCAGCCAAACATTTAGCTGCACATGGGTATGGCCTGACCGGGCCCCTGTGGTTATCAACTTTTTGGGTGGCATGAAGAAAGCCCCCCTGAGGTAGTCATTTTGTAATCATTAATAAGCTGGAAAGAGCTGTCCAGGCGTGGGAGTGACGCACTCCCAAAATATGGTTCCAGCAGACCATAGAGAGGCTGCCACACAGGTGGTGAGAAGGCATTCGGCTCCAGGGGAAGGTCATAGAGAAGGTGGACATATGCACAGACCTCTAAGTGATTGCCATTACAGCAAAAAAATTTAGTCTAGATCAATATGGTACTCCTCTAGTAGCAATAATTTTACCACCTAATGTATCTGGAGTACAAATCATTGGCCCCCATCGAAGCCTGCAGGGCTTTTCCGACATGGCTCTTTGATAAGAAAAATCTAATCACCGAATCACCCCTTACCTTTTTGAAGTGCACTACGAGTCTGGGCCAATGCTGACGTTATGTCGGAATAAGGAAGCTCGTTAGCAGACGCCGCCATCTGGGTATGTGGTGATTGGGAGCCCTGCAAGGTAGATGAACATAGTAATGTAGCTATTCGAAGACCCCCTAAGGTCAGCAATACACTGCTGCATCCACCAAATGATTTGTGCTATTTCTGTCAGGGGAGAACTACGCTAGAAAACTTGCTGCTGGTAAGAAAGCATAGCAAAGGCGTCACTTACACCTTCTCGTGCAGGCATCCAAACCATATGCAGTCGTTTCTGCGGTATTTCCTGCGGCAGCTCCGGCAGGTTCATGCTCGGAATGGCGTCCCTCTTCAGGCTCCGCCTGTTGTCGTCGAGATCTGGTTAGAAAAAAAGCGGTTGCTGTCGATCTTATCGTATATAATTGTGTTTAATCTCGCTGCCCAGTTCAAACCCCCAAACCTAGGGCCACCAAGAGCGTCCCCCAAAGCAGAGGTGTGCAAACTTCTACGATCAGTGACCCTTGGGCGACACCTCCCACTTTCCAGACAAGTTTCCGAACACCGGGTCAAAACACCTCGACACAAAACTGCAGCAGGGCTCCATCTGCATATGTAAAGGGGTTCGAACATGCAAACTATTAAACCTGAGATGACTATGTTGCTAGAACCTATTAGACGTCACAGTATATTTGCTAAACTTGTTTTATATGAACAATGTGCTGGAGGCCCTCGGATCCACCCGTTCGGGAAGGCCGCCAAGTTTGAAAGGTCGGTGACAGAGTTCGTCACATCTTTCCATATGTCATGCATATCTCTGCCTGCGTCCCTAGCAGTGCAACTCCAACCTCACTCGCGTCGTCGAAAGTTTTTGTTTCAGCAGACTACCGTAAAATATTGCAGAAGCACCCACTTCGTACAAGCACCCACTATTAACATTTCCTTCGTTTGGACACTGAAAATTATGTGCTAAGCGTACACCCCTTTCAAAGCGCCGGCATCAACTGAAGACACCTGCCCCGTTGCAGGAACCACGAGACCGCCGGCGGCGGTGACGAGGATATCACGTGGAAATAAATGTGCCTGCTCCGATTCCATTCACCCCACATTCAAAGCTCTTTATTGGCCGCCATCTTGGTTCTACCGATTCGACCAGACAGTCGCCTGTGTCTGGATTGACCCAGTTTTCAGTGAAAGTGGGGTGGGCACTTCCCCGCAATTTTGCAGTGAAAGCGAGGAACAGGCAAGAAAATTAGAGTAGTCGCAAAACGTGCGAGTGCAACAAGCATGGATAAACTAAGAATGACGGAGCATTCAACAATATTATTACAGTCACGTGGTTCACAGGCACCGCGATGCTACTACTTTGGGCAGGTGACGTCATAATCTTGTCAGGGTTGCCTGGTCGCCAGGTGGGAATGGTCGACATTGGAAAATTTATTTTTATAATTACTAGAGCTCTAGAAATCGCTAACATTACGTGTGTATGCTAAAGAACCCACGAGTATTCCATATAAAAAGTAATTTTATAGTTTAAGTTTCGTATCCTAACCCCTCTAACGCATCGAAACTAAACTTATTTCTTATTTTCTTGTTTAAAGGGACAGGCACCACCAAGAAATTATTAACTTTTTCTGCACAGAGCACTGAATTACATCGTCAAGACACTACCGAAAAAATATTCTTGCTGTAGCGATGCATATTTGCGAAGAATGCACAAAACCGCAAAAAAGGGAACTGTGACATCAGAGATTATGGTAGTTGGCACGGGGCCGTCTATAGTCTGTTGCAACTCAAGAAGGTAGGGCGAGGGAAAGACAGAACGCTGGAGAGAACCTCCTCCCCTCTCCAGCTTTCCGACTGCTTCCTCCTCCCCGCCTTCCCTCTTGAGTTCAACGGAATATAGGTAGCTTTGCTCTCCGCAACTAGGCATGCAAAATTTCTTTAAATTGGTGTGTGCAGCCCAAATCCGTGTTTCACAGACCATAAAATTGATGCTTCATGATTGTGGATTACAGGCGTTCTACCTTTCTTAGTAACAACGATGTGCGACAGATGGCTTATCATTTCTCAAATATTCTGGGCTCTGTGTAATCATTGAATATAAGTGAAAAACAAAGTGAGAGAAGCTCTGGACAGTCAGCTCTTGACCGTGGTAGTTTTCTTGGAGAAAAACAAACAGACAGATCCTGTATGAGTCCTGTTTCTATAAATATTTAAGGTATGCATTCATGCCTTGCCAGTGTCTCTTTGTCACCATACACCTGGATATAGCGCACAAACCTGCCCAGATTGTTGTGGGCAGATATGTGCACATATGTGATTTTGGCTTTGGTCGGCCATTTTGGCACCAAAACGTACGCATACAGTGGAAGGGGGTTTCAGGGATGCCAACCCCAATCTCCCAAGTGGACGCACCACGAATGATCACCGAAGTTACGAAACACCCCAGGTCGGGACACACTACCTGAAATCACTGGTGAGACACGGCTGTATACAAACAATATTAGTTGTGCCGCAAAAAGGTGTAACCTAAACTTTTATGCAAACACCATGTTCCTGTAATTTTGTACTAATCTCCAATAAAATTTCCTACAAAAAGAGCTTTTTCCATTTGGTTTTATGCCAAAACATGCTTTCTAAAAGCTCATAGTAACCACAGTAAAGAAAAAACATTCAGCCTTTCTACTCTTGGGAAGAAGGAAGACCGGCGAAGCTGTACTCGATACACTGCCGCAACGTGCGCGTGCCCGATTCCCGCTTTTTTTCGTCCGACACGCCGCCGATCGTGGATACGTCTCCGGCGAACCAGAGTCGGTCGCACACAGCGCACGTGACGCCGAACAAGTTCTCCACGAACTCCCTCCGGAACCTCGCCGTCGCACCCGGGAACTGTTCAGCCGGCGTGGAGTGCAGTCGTCGCCGGGCCTCGCGCTTGCGCTTGGCCTCCGTGGCACGATCGTCGTCCGTGGCGTTGGCTAGCCGGCGCCCTTTACATCGCTGGTTCTGTTCTCGGCGGAGGCTTTCCAGGCGAGCGATGTGCCCTTTGGCAAGGGAATCTGAAGCGCTGGACGCAGTGGAAGTCGAGGCGACAGCGGCTTTGCGGCGGTTGCGTACCATTCGCGCTGCTGCGTTTGTTGCCGCTCCTTCCGCAGCCTGTCTCCTTTCCCCGAAAGGGCGCGCGGCCGACCCATTGTGAGTCCAAACCAAAACTGATAAGAGCGTAGGAACATAGGAAACAGCGCGCAAAACAGACAAGGATGAAGAAACAAACGTGACAAGCGCTGCTTTGTTACGTGTGCTTCTTCTTCGCCGTCGTCTGTTTTTCGTGCTGTTTCCTACAATGAATTTCCACCAACGGCGCTTAACTATCAATTCTTCTATGATAGCTGGAAAAGTTGCCGCCATCTACAAGCGACGGCGGAAACCATACTGGTTGTGTGCTTGCCGCCGTCCCTTATAGATGGCGGTAGCTGTCCAGGTAGGTTTGTGTCGACATACCGGACACGATCCTGGGGAGCCTAGCCCCTAACAGCTGCGCTGTAAAAAGATTGAGCACCTCAAGCCTGGGAGTTTGGGTACTCTGGGAACATTCAGTGACTCTAACGGCAGCCATATAAAGCAACTTTCATGTTTCAACTCATTGCTAAAGGGTGGTGCCTGTTATTATATTTAGCTCGGTCTCAGTAGAAGCGGTCCAGGTTTCAAGGGTGAGTTTCCCAACTCAGTATTTTAGTAACATTGGGTTTAATGTCAAGCAATGGCCACATGCAAAACAAGCCTCGATTCGCAATCCAGCCTACTACAAAAGACATCAGTGGTTTGAAATTCTGATAACACGTTCTAGTTGGCAGACTCCCAGCAGTGCTGGGAGTCTCGCAATGTTACTAGATTAGCTCAGTTGTGGAACCCCCGCAGAGAGAGGCACCCCCTTCACTCACTTCAGTCTGCTGCCCATTGTTTGAAGTGCCACCTAGATTTTCATTTCAAAACTGTGTGCTTTATAGAGTATGGTGAAACGCCATCTAGACGCTGTGCTTCGAAACATATGTATTCAACAGAATACACTACAGTTCCCACAGCAGCCATCCCCCGCAAATGGTGGCATGTCGAACCATGGGAAAGGAGCCATGGGGGGAAAGGATCGGTTCTGTTAATGCAAGCAGTGCCTATACATGGCTTGCATTGACGTCACATTAGCCACCACAGCTCCGAACCTCCTACAGCATATATTTGACACAATCGAATTTGTTCTACATGGCAAGGATTGCTGAGAAGAATGAATTTGATGGTATGAAATATATGCTGCAGAAGGTACGGGCACAAGAGCATGGTACGGAGGAACGGCGACTGGTATGGTGCCATATGACATCCCATGCAAGGTATGTCTGGGCAGTTCCGTAACAGGGTTGATCAAGTGGCTTTAATAACATTGGCATAAACCAACACTCCTAGATTAGCTCAGTTAACGGAACTACCCATAAACGCTGCTTGCACGAGCAGAGCCCCCCTCTCCCCCTGCGGCTCGCCTCACGTCGTTCGACACACCACAGTTTTGTGGCGGCTGCTATGGTAGCTGCAGTGTGTTCTATAGAATGCATGTTTCAAAGCACAGCATCTAGATGCCATTTGATCGCACCCTATGAAACACACAGTTCTGAAATTAAAATCTAGGTGGCACCTCAAACGACGGGAGGTGGACTGAAGTGAGTGAAGGGGGGTACCCCTCTCTGTGGGAGTTCCGCAACTGAGGTAATCTATTAACGTTGGCACCAACTCAACTCTGACGTCACGCCGCTACGGCCGCTGTCGGCACGGCGCATGCGCAGACGATTCACCTCACAAAAATCCGGTTTCTGCACCCGCGCAGGGCACGTGATGTGGGCAAACACGGATTTGTTTGTAAACAGCGCGTTAGTGAGTAAAAGTGTGCACCTTCCACGCTTCAGCGGCTCACCTGGGTTAAAATAGTCCTCCCGCTCAAAGTGCTTGGTGCAGACGAACATGCTCTTTGTCACCTCTGTCTTGGTGCTCAGCCCCACCATCCGGAGCCACTCCTCGCGTCTGTTTACCCACTTTCCGTCGCGCATGAACTTGTCCTTGGGCTGCGGGAACGAGTGAAGCACAAAGCCCGCGCGCATGCGGCTCGCTTTACCACTGCACCCCGGCACGCAGCAGAAGCGAATCATTCGATACTTCTTTTTTCGTCGCACTAATGGGACTAGTTTCTTCGGCAAGGGCGCCTCCTCGGTCTCGGCTTCGATTTCACCGTTCTCATGATCGCAGTAATCGCAGCCGCTGACAGCATCCATGGTGTCCATGATCTATCGCCTTGGTGGGCACTCGGCCACTGGGCGGTGTGCAACTAGTTGTAGCGGCTGTAGGTAGCCAAGGAGGTTGTAGCCACAGTTTGTTGTAGCAGTTGTAGGGTTGTAGCAAAGAGTATACAGGCGGCTATGGTTCTAGGCGCCGGCAGTTGCCAGTTGGCAGTTGGTGCAGTGTTCTAAACGTTCCAAATCTTACTCTTGCAGGTTATATGACGTGACAAACCAGCTTGAGCGACGCCGGACGCCAATGGGTTTTAGAACGCCGAGGTAGAAACGTTTTACGGTTTTACTTTAGCACTTTAGTGCAAGATTGAGCAAATTTTGGAACACGGCCAACACGGCGCTCTTGTTCGATGCTCGGAACATCTATGGCTATGGCGGCTATGGTGGCTATGGCTCGGAATCACGTGCTTTGAAACTTGTGTGTTTGAAACTTCTACAAATTTACGTTTTATTACATTAAAAAAAATAATAATAAATTAGGTTATATAATATATGTAATGGTCGTGTTTTAAAATTTACGCACTTTTACTTTTACTTTAGGTTTCGTACGTTTCGTACCTTGGGGTTCCCTGCGTCCATCGCTTTTCAATATGAGTTCTCACGTGACACGACCCGCCGGAGTAACTCTGGTAACTCGGTATTTGGAACACAGCCATACAACGTTCGTGACACGTCACGTGAACGCAAGTCTTGAACATTCGAACACTAACCCCGCCAGCTGGCTTTAAAAATGGCGACTCCAAACACTGCCCGAATTATTGATCTGGAGGTAAACCGTTTCTTCTTACATTACGCTACATAATTGCCTGGGTAAAACATTGCAGAATTATTACGGAACAAATCCTCAAGCTGCGCATTCTCACGCCAGCATCCGCTAGCGCTCGTGCAGCGTGCACTAATGCTCGTGCTGTATTCCTACCTATCAGATCCAAGGATCGTGATCGTCCGTTTTGCTGTTTTTGCTAGCCGTCACCTACCGTGAGTTCAAACCGTGCGCAGGTTCAGTCCACCACCCCTGCTCCTTTCGATCTGTATGAGCATCGCACCGGCGTGCCGTCGTCTATCATTACTGCGTGATGCGCGTCAAAGACCCCATGCTAGCAGTGGTGTACTGCACTGGCTAAATTTCTCATCTACCGCGGAGACACTCATCGGGGCCTTGCCGCTGTCTAAACATAGTATACACAGTATAATTACTAATCGTACTCAGCTCGATGTTGAGGGTTTTAGCGCAGTGCTTGTAGTCTAGAAAGTTGGCTGTCACCTATGCTAGATATCTGTGAGTCGGCGTCGGGGCCGGTGTTTGCTAGGAAGCTCTCAGGTTACAGAAGATTTAAACCGAAGACGAGATTAGGTTATCTCTTCTTTTTTTTTAAATTTTACTTGTTATGAACCTTAATATTACTAATATTTTCTAATTCACAGACGGACCAGTCCGAGGCGCAAGCAAGTTTACAGTTCCAAGGTAAATGAGATACTTTTTGTCTTGTCGGCCTCGTCACACTTTAGTGAAAGGGAGCCAACATTGCACGATCGCTTATACCAATTACTTCACCTTTTATTTTTAATGCGAAAGCATTAACTGTCCCATGGAGCGAACCGGCATTGTCAGCTTTTAAAGCCACGCCAAACGGCACCCACATTCCTCTGTCCTATAGAGCGAAGCCTGTAGTCTGTAGCAGCCACCCCATTGGCTGACACGCGGTGTAGTTCCGAGAAACGCCACCCCACAGAGAAGCGCTCTCCATGGCGCAGCGGCTTGGCTGCCGGTAAGAGCTAGCAGCCGGCCACAGAGGCATCAGAGCCCGCCCGGGCAGGCTCCAGAAAGGCCACACGGCTGAGCTCAGCGCGGCGTGCAGCTTGTAAGGAATACGCTACTAGAAATGCTTTCACATTCCGACACGTCAGCAGTCTTAAGTGTCTTTGTAGTTTTATGCTGTCGCTACAAAAAATACTACGAAAGACCATGTTTGCAAACAAGGAGTAATTGGGAAGATTGGTCGATTTGCCAGGTAGCATGACTAACTGTACTATGTTCGGACTTATCTCACATTCCTGGTCTAGGGGTTTTAGCTTCAGAAGTGCTCTCTCCATGGCCTGAACTGTCTTCAACCGTTTTGAGATTGGCAAGCCATCTGTAGTGAAATAAAAGGGTATAAGATTGAGAACAAGCAGTCACTGGTGATCATAAATGGTTTATCTGAAATACTTTTGACTTTAGATTCATAAGCATCTGATTTCCACCACAAGTAGGGTGTGTAATGATGTCATGACGTTATGATTTGGATTGAATTTGCTGGATGCATGATGCTGACACTTTTCGCTACTTGTGGCTTCATCTTATATATGACATGAAATTTGTGACCACAAACAAACCAACGTAAGTTCTGACCCGGACTGTGGCACAAATATGAAGGCCTTTTTTTTTTTTGTTATACTAACATTTCTAGAAAATTGTTGAAGGTTTTCAGAGGCGAAGAGCAACTCGCATGACAGAGCTAAGTGTAATTTTTCAGAGAGATGCGCATGTTCCCGCTGTCAGTCACATTCTGAGTATCATAAAATGAGCATAAAAACAACAATCCCACCCCATGCAATAATGCCTAACGGCAACGCAAATTTCTTCATAAAAAACAGAAACTAAATTTTGCTTGTTAGTGTGGTGCTGGTTAGAATAGTTAAGCAACTCCTTGATAGCATAGGACAGTGGTGGCCAGGCTGAACCGGCCTAAGAGCTGCAAACAAAACCATGAAATTTCTAAGAGCCGCGGGGAAAGAGGGGGGGGGGGGGGGGGGAGGGCAAACGCTTGTTCAGTGCAGATGACAAGTATCACCGGCTAGTGAAAAAGGCCGCAAGACAGAATATTTCCTCGACCCCAAGCCAAAGCACATGCAAGGTTTGATAGTTTCTGTCATTGGTGCCTTTCCCCCTAGGGTTCGGCCAACTCTGTCAACAATAAATAGAAAAGGGTCAGTGAAAACATACGAATGAAAAGCGGTTCGACTGTACGTAGACTGTACGTATGGGGGCACAAGGCTGCCAAACCTCTAAGCTGTACTTTATTCTGAAACCTTCACCTCCTTCCCTGGGGAAACGCGAAAAAGAGTGGGGGGAGGGGGGGTGGTTCCTTACGAGGGATCCGCGAGCCGCACTTGGACCAGCAAAGAGCTGCATGCGGCTCGCGAGCCGCGGTTTGGCCACCCCTGGCATAGCACATCAATCATATAGCAGTTATGAACCATGTTGTGGAAAGAATGTCAAGCCAAACCAGCATGGTGTACCACAGCCTTTGAGGAGCACATTCGGGCTTACTATAATCTGTTTCACCATAAGTTGGCAAACAAAAAAGGCTGCACCCCAGGGAGCCAATTGGAGCATTACAGCGAGGCATGTAACAAAGTATCGTTGGAGTGCACTTCTTCTGCTGAGAGCTGTCGCATGCTTCGCTCTGTAGCTCTGACTGGCTCGAAAGAGCCCTACGAGTCAATTCCGAAAATTCTGGGATTGTGGATGATTATTATGTCAAAACTGCTAATAAACGGTTCTATGTCATTCGTTTTCCGAAAAGTTAAATAGTTTCTTTGCAAACCTCGTTTAAACGAAAATCACAATGCGGAGCCGACGCAAGATCGGTCCTGCTTGTCAACTAATGGACATCACGTGGTATGGAGACATCGGCTATTATGTCAGGGGTGGCCAAGCTGCTGCTCTTCACGTGTTAAAGTGCAGCTCGCGGCTCGCGGCTCCCCCCCCCCCTACCCCCCCCCCCCCCCCCCCAACTCCCTCCCGGTCACAAAAGCACTTCCCCAAAAACTGAAATGGAATGCGTTTTAAATAGAAAGACAGGTTGCAGTTTGGTAGTCTTGTGCTGCTGCTACCTTACATACAGTTGTACTGCTTTCGACTCGGATAGATTGAAAGTAGTTAGAGTTTTGTTTACTGCACTGGACAAAAGTTTGCCCCCCCCCTCCCCCTTCCCCCCCCCCCAGCGGCTCTTGGAAGTTCCATGCTTTTGTTTGCGGCTCTTACGCCGGGTCAGCCTGGCCACCTCTGGGCTATGTCATCAACAAAAACGGCGGACGGCGCCCTACACTCTCTCTTCTCTCTCTCGCCCTCGCGCTCTGCGCCTCGAAAAGTAAGAAACAAACAAAACAATTCTTCTAGTTTGTGACGTTCTGTACAGTGTTGACTGTATCCACACAGCGGTGTTGACTGTACTGCTCCGCACGTGGCCCGCTAGATTGGGCGGATTTTGGTGACCGTGGAGCCGATCCAACTATGTTGGCCAGTTTAATAAACTTTTAGGCGGAATTGCGCCGCAATACTTTACGAATGCGTTTTTCGAATGATACGACGTAGGACTGGATTGTTTTCTCAACATCGAAGCTTGTCTGGAGTTGCCCTTTAAGCTATGCTAGACGGAATATAGAGCAGCATTACCATTACTGGTACGTGTGGAAGCAGGTTTGCTTCTATCCCCATTTTTGCAATTTCAATCTATTGGTCACTATGTCATGATTAGTTTCTGGCCTGCAAAACACTGCTTTGACTGAAATATCACTGTGATTCGTTCATTTGGTGATGTTTGTACTTTTTCAAAACTTTACGGCATCTTTGGATATATAGTATATGTCAACAAATTATTCATTAGTTACTACCGCATGTCAGCTTTTTAATGCTAGTTTCTAGGTGTAGAAACCCACCATTCTTACAGAAAAGACACAATAAGCTTGCTTGAGTTTTGCACCATCTGACCTTCGTATTTTCATTGCACTTTTCGGGTTGTCGATTTATCACTTACCCATTTCTTTCGCTTTCGTGTAGACTTCTCGGACACACTGACCGGTGCCACAGGTGCCCTTCCCGGGCAGGCGTACACGAGTTTCTCCGTGATGAATGACGACGACGAAGAAAGCGATGAGGTGAGATTGTCGATTGCCTAATTGGTTGGTCCCTTAGGTTCTTTCACGAAAACTTAATTTTTTGCATCCGATTGGTTGCACTGGAGTCTCTTGATGTTGTCCAGAGCATCCATTGGCGAGGGAGGAAAGTGCATGTAATTCGCCGCTTAGTTACTTGCTACCATGGCAGTCCCGACTGAGCCAGCCGGTTTGGAGTGGGAACTTCATCAGTCGTTTAGCTCAACGGTTTCTAAACATTTTTATTCAGAAACAAATGTGAGTGGAAAAATACGAGCTACCGTAGTCTCCCAAGAGATGCCCCACTCCTGAAAGATAACCCACACCCTGTTTTTGGCTTGATTTGCTATTCTTTTTTAAATATTGAATGATAGCCCACTTGTTTTAATTGTAATGTTGGGATTGATAATGGCCTCGCCGTATCTGTGGCTACGTAGTTAGCCATGGCGGTAAAAGAGCAAACATTGCTGACTGGGAAGTACAGTCCATTGCCCCTTGCCACGATAACAAGCTTGGCAAAAACACATTACTTAAAAATATAATTTTTGTTTTACTTTTCTCGATTGTGCACGTTGAAAGTTATAGCCCACTCTTTATTTTCACCCTATTTGGTCTCGACTTTAGGTGAAGTATCTCTCAGGATACTTCACGACGTCTATTTCTTGACATTCTTGCATTGAAAGAGTTCAGAAGCTTACCAACATTTTCATCAGCAACGCATGCGCTAAGAAGAAAAACAGCCGCGCTTAACTCACGCGTAAACTAGATGAAATGCTTTATGGCTGGTTCAGGCATTTGCGTTTCTACAGACCGATCTCGCTGAGCATTCATTCGGTGCGTGCGTGAAGCCGCCACAGCTTTAGCTCACAGGAGCCAGGCTGGAGTGCCCAAGACGTCTCATGCACTGCGTGCGCACGGCTACAGCGAGGTTGTCGCACGTGTGGAAAAACTAAAGTTCACTCGATGCACTGCGGCAGCCGTGGCGTAGCCAAACTGGCTGTCGAGATCGGTCCATTTGGTGCACTGCAGCCACTGGGGACTGGTTGCGACAAGAGACCACATTGGTGAAATTCATCAGTTACCTCGGGAACGCTCCAATATGCATACATTTCCTCATTTTTTTTTTATGCTCCATCTTTCATCATTGTGGGCTCGAGATAATTCGAATGACGTTAAAAGTGAGCATTCCTCGTAAGTAGCACTTAGAAAATTGAATCTCGCAACTACTGCAAAGCCTTCAGTCTAGCTTTACTCAGATCGGAAGTGTTTCCAAAGGTATGCGATAGATGGCACCAGCGTCTTCTCTCGTTGTGAGGGGTTACGAGCCATCGTAACGCGGTCCACACCGCACTCAAACGTGAATGTGCGAACCTGCCTTTATGCCTCCCACGTGTCGTATCACGTGACAACACGGATAGAGCAGCACTGGATGCCGGTAGTTCTTTGGACACCGAGGTGCAAAGCCTTTACTCTGGAGTGAGGTGGAGCAAATTTTCAGGCCCTGGACCGATGGCGGACAAGGGGGGGGGGGGGTTATACAGCTATCTCTCATTTACTCGAACCTGGCTATCTCGAAAAGTCAGTCAAGTTGAAAGATTTTTCTGTCGTGGAATGAACTATTGTAGGCACAATGCATTTACTCATTGGTCATCTCGAAAAGTTTTCAAGACCAACCTCGGAGATATCTCAAAATCTCAACGACAGATATTGCCAAAAAAAAAAAAGAATGGACAGGGCACAGCAAACAATGAACTGGTGAACGTTGGTTGACGGAAGAAACAGCGATGCGAAAACAAACCCACAAAAAATTTAAGTGGTAAAAACTAAATTGTGCATGCAGCCCATGCACCTCAGCGGCGTTTGTTGTCTTACTTTTTTTTTCTCCCTGTTGATACCGGTGTGTTTTTCTCTCCCTCGTGCTCAATGTTAATCTGCTCTCTTTTTCATTTTTTCTTTTTTTTTTTGCATTTTTGTTTTTTTGGTTTTGTCTTCGAATCTTGAGTGTTGCTTGTTGACAATTTTGTCCCGGTCATTTTGTACTCTTCACAATGCCGCGTACGTGCCGTGCCTTGGGAGCGTCAAGTCAATTGGTGCAATTGTTGGAAGGGTTCCTTTTGCACAATGCATGATCGGTGCACTGCCTCGAAACTCCGGTCATCCCGAATTTGTTTCTCTGGTTTTTATGACATTGAGTTTACAAGGGTTTACTACTAGCCACTCAAAAGGACGAGAATGGCGGGGAGAGGAGTTTAGGTTGTCCCGCTTCCAGCCTGAGCTTTCTACCTTAAACGACGCTTCAATGTCTCTTCGAGCATGCACGCACAACCGAAGCATGATGGAAGGCAGGTGCTGGAGACCGGGCATCGGGAAGAGATACCGCATCATTATCGTTCTCTCGGTGACTATAGTAATGGCAATGCGATGTAGGGAACCCACCCATCCATTTGCTCTTAACTGGTGCAGCTGCTGAACCGGGAGAAGGGGGACCCAGGCGGCCAGAAGGGCCCATCCTTCTGGAAGTTTGCATACTACCAGAGCCTGTTCGACGTGACGACAGACGACGTGCTGCGCCGACTCACGTGGTCCGCCCTGCCCCAGCTGAAGGGCCCCACGTACCTCGAGAAGCACATCCAGCCCAACCCAGACCTCTATGGTAACCCTCTCCTAAGCGGACGTCGTTTTCGTTTAGTTTGAAGCAGAAAAGTTTGCGGCAGTTTTTTGGGAACGACTTTCTTACGGCAGTCGGGCCAGAGTTATATGTACCCTTGCGCTTGTGAATGCTGAACGCCGATTGAAGCGCGCATGTGCGGTCTGTGCTCCTGAAATGCCCGAAAAGCAGTGCCCAAGTATAGGCAACTTTTCTGAGCCAGGTTTAGCCGGTGGATCATTGGTAGGGTTCCGTGTTTTTCAGTATACACTGATAATCCCCGGAGAGCAACCCCCGATCCTGTTTTTATCGGAATTGGGGAAACCGATAGACCCCTAATTGGATCTGTTCTTTGACAATGAAAACATGAGCTTCGTGCGAAGAAATGTTTATCTAAAGTTTTATCTTCAGTTGTCCTGGAACACGGCCCACACTGAACTGTCCACGAGGCTACTGCTTTCTTCAGTAATCCCTCTCATTGTCCCGTTTTCTTTTCTATTGGGGCTGGGACATTCTTTGAGTCTTGAGGTCATGTGCACATGTTCTCTGGGAGTTGTAGAATCCCGTGCTTGTGTAACATTGTTTCTTTTTAAACACGATCCCCGGTAGACGCACATTTTTTGTCCGACACTGACAATTGATATAGATAAGTATTGAATCTATAGGGCATAAAATAAATCTCTAAAAAAAACACTCCTGAATTTGTTGGAAAATAAACCCCAGAAAAACATTGAATCTGTGGAACAAAAAATGGAAGACGTTTACAACCCACTGTAATGCCAAATTAGAATGCAGCTCTTGAGGAGGAGGAGGGGAAGGTATAGAGAGGAGGGTATGCCCCTCCTTTTCTCCTGCTCCCCTCCATTTAGCAGAAAGTTTTTGCTAATGTTCCCGCTAAATTTAGGGGTGAAAATTCTTTGCTAAATTTAGTGGAAAAAAATCCCCGTTAAATTAAGTGGAAAAATTTCCCCGCTAAATTTAGCGGAAAAAATTACCCGCTAAATTACCAAAAAATTACCCGCTGACATTGCTCAAGCAGGAAACGGGCACGTAAGAGCAGCGCTTAAAAAAATTAACCTAGAAAAAATCACCCCCGAATTTGTTGGGAAAAAACCCAAAAACAGGGAACCCTAATTGTGGCTTACCAACCCCTTCTGCCAAGAGAATCGGAGGTGATGGTATTGTCGAGTCACGAGACGCTTTGGACAAGCTCTGAGGGCTGTAGAATGCCCCGAGGAAGGCATTGTCTTGCAGCATTAAAAAGGCAGTGAAACATGCACAATACCAAAGGTGTTTATAAATTTGTGAGTGTGTACTTCCAAATTGGTCAGTTTTGGAACATCCGAGAGGGTACATGTACCATCCTCCCAAACTATTACTGTTCTGCCGTATAATTGCAAAGCAGTAAACAGACTGTCCCAATCTGAAGCCAAGTAATGTGGCCATATGGGAACCACGGGTCGACGTCTCGTGGCGCACTCCAGGGGTGTCAAGTCAGCGAGTCTTTGCAATTATAGACACTTAATTAAGACCTAAGTTTGGACCTACGCTGGAATGTACTGTCCTACTGCCTCGACCCCATGGTTGAGAGAATGAGATAAGCCAGTGGCACTTGCTTTTCGCTACCATGTTGGGGACGGTGCAAAACTGGACGCTCCAGTAGCCCTGGGGTCTGATGTGTCTGACCCGGAACTCCGTATAAAAGCCGAGCAGTGCGCTCCAGTCCGATGCTTGGTGTTATTGTGTAAAATAAAAAAAACTGCCGTAGGGCATGCAAGTCGTAGTTGAAAGTCATTGTGTCATAGCTGAAAAGTTGTTTCATGGCCCCACAATGTTAAAAAGATGTTATCCTGCTGATGTTATTTGGGTAATTTTGAAAATCTGATTACCCGTTGCAAACCCAATTAGTAATTCTTCTGTAAGGTAACAGAGTAACTTTTGACGACAGTGTGTAACATGGGACGGTATTTGAGGGCTCTGACTGTGCGCTGCAGGTCCCGTGTGGATAGGGCTGACGCTGATTGTGACGACCTCCGTGAGCAGCAATGTTGCCGGCTACCTCGAGTCTGCTGGTCAGACCAAGCAGTTCTGGCACACCGACTACACCAGAGGTATGCCGGTGCTTGTCTTCTCTTCCCGCCTCAAAGTTATCCATCTTTTTTTTTCCACATTTTTTTTTCTCTTTTTTGCATATTTTTTTTCATCGCGTCTTTCCTGTTTTCATAATTTCAAAGCTGAAGGTTGGACGAGTCGGCGATTTGTGGAAGACGCAACAGCACAAAAAAAACCAGAACAAAAGAGCAGATGCACAGAAAGTGCCCTTTTCGTCTTTTGGCATGCCTCCTATGTTGCCCTGGTCCATTTTGCACTGTTCCTTCCGTAATCAAATCTTCAATTTTGTTTTCTTGTTTACATTCTGGCTTCTTTCTTTTTTTTTTGTACACTGAGCTCTCTTATGCCATTGCTGTATCTCTAGGACCCTTTCTGTTTTTATCGTAATCTAGCTGATCATGCAAGCGTAATTCAGACATCTCCAGGCTCGAATTTGTGATGACGTGGTTCCGTCCTTTAACTTCTAAATCATATGCCCAGGCAGTGCAATCTTAGAGGTTCCTGAATGTAAAGTACCGCATCTCGACTGTCCAGACACTTTCAAGTAACCTAAACTACCGAACATGGATTCGAATATCATTTGCTCCACCATTTCCAGTCGACCAAAAGTGCTAAGCAATTTGACATTTTTTTAGTTTCTAATCTTACACATATTAAAATATTGTTACAACATAGTACTAATCATGTTTTTTTTAAAGATTATAAGAATTGGTATCTGAAATTTGTTTATGAGATTCGAAACTACTCCAATGCTGTGAATCACTGAATCGGATGCGACTCTTGCTTGCTATAGTCACAGACGGGATGAGTACGCTGAAGAGGTCGTTCAGTTGTTCTGCCTCCAGTGTGAGCTTTCTTGGACCTCGGATAATTTATTTATTCCTTTATTACAATTGTGGTAGCCGTGAAACGCGAACTTAATCGCGCCGCCGTTCCGCGGCGACGCGACAGACCTGTGTGACTCATATGAATCTGAAAGAGACACAACTACCAAGATTCTGCGGCTCAGACATGTGGGCCATAGGAGGGGTGCATGAATACAAAGTTTGTTAGCATGCCTTATGGCAATCATGAGGACAATCTCAGAACAGAAGTAATTACGTCCGCGAAACAGTCAATCACGAGATTCCATAATGCTTTGGAATCTTGTGAGCTTCGAGCGTGAGTGGCAAAAAGCAGGATGAAAGGCAACGGGCACATGCTGGAGGCAGGGCATGCGAAAGAGACGCCTGCCATTCTCAGCGTGTCGGCAACCGTAGGCACGATTTCTACGAGGTCCCTGTTCTGAAGAGCGTCTTCCTCTCTTCAGTCTCGTTTGCGACCACGGCCATCCTCCTGTACATCTTCCTGGCTCCCGTGATTCTGTGGACGCTCCTCAAGTACCGCAAAGTGGAGTCTCGCTACAGCCTGCTGGAGTCCCTTTGCCTGTACGGTTACTCCCTCTCCGTTTACGTGCCCATCTCGGTGAGTAGTGGTTACCTCCCTTCTTCTTTCTTGCCCTCGCGTGTTGGTTGTGAGAAGCGCATTGCTGACGGCAGCACTTTGGGGCAGTCTTGTTTAAAGCGGTACTGTCGGGACCGGTAATAAAGAAGTCAACGGGAATCGGAAATCACTTCGCATATATTTGCTATTTCGTTATAACCGACTTTAATTAACGAAGTGCAAAAGAGATCCCTTCGCTGTAGCCGCTATCTCGTTATAACCGACTATGGTATAAGTGGTCTCAACAGTACTCCGGTGATTTTTGGAGCTACCCCAAATAACTATATCTTCGGAATCACCGGCCTTTACTCTTTCTGGTATGCTATTTAGTACTGCGAAATTCAAAATAGCAATAGCGAAATCAGCAAGTGAAAATGATGCCAGAACCAACATTCAAATATACCCGTGCTTTTCAGTGGTGTGACGTCAGGGGAAGGCAGGCTTGCAGGTCCAGTGGGCAGTTTTAAACATGGACTATGCCGAGCATTTGTTCCGTGCTGCTGCACCTGTGCTGGAGAAGCTTCTGTAGCATTCATTTGACACTGCTTGTAATCAGTTGGGAACAAAGTGTACTGACCAAAGAGTGAACCGCTTCCTTCCCCTGACGTCACTTTCTTATTGTTGCCAATGGAGACTTTCACTTTGAAAGGCATGGTGAGGACCAAGATTGTAAATTCAATAACTTTGTGAAAACATTTTGGCAAAATATTTGGGTTACTATTTCAGCAATGTCTTTTTGTGTGTTAAGCAGATTTTCAGGCAAATCATGGACTATGAAGAAAACGCTAGAGTATACCCTTGAAGAAAATACTGGAGTGCCTTTTTAATTTGGCACTTTCTTCATAATCCCTGATTTGCCTGAGAATGTTTCTGAGGCAAATCAGGGAATATGAAGTTTTCTTTTTAACTACCCACACAAATGGTATTTTCTGAATACCTGGATTTTAGTCTTCACAGTATGCTATTTATTGTCACAAAATTTGAAAAAGCTATTGAGAAAACCGTTAATGAAGACGATGCCGAAATCAACATTCAAATTTCTACGCGCTCTCCGGTGGTGTGACGTCACAAATGGTGCAGACTTTCAGGGCACACAGGTCGTAATCTTAAACAGAGCATGTCGAGCGTTTTTTCGTGCTTTTTTGTGAATAAGCTTTCAAGCATTCTTTTCCCTTCATAAAACACCTTGTAATCAGTTGGGAACATTGTTTACTGCCCACTTTGTACCATTTCTGTCGTCACACTTTGGTGTTGCCAATAGGGTCAATGATTTCACAAAATTATTTTTTCTTTTCACACAATACTTGGTGGAATTTAGATGCAGATCAGCGACCATAAAGAAATTGCTGGAGTACCGCTTTAACTGCATGGGAGCCTTTGCTGCTACAGTAATGCTATTGTTTTTCCCGTGACACCGGTGTCAAGTCGTGGTGTCACATGACACTATAACATCACATGATCAGACATAACGGGATGTCGATTTCCCCACTGAATTTTGCGGGAAGGTGCACTTCTGGGATTAGGAGGTTACATTTAATATCTTTCTGCATTTAAATGGCAGCTCCTTATTATTTTGGACTTCAGGAAGAGGTGGACCCCCAGATCATGCAATTTGTTCCCAGTTATAGCATGGGCCATAAAATAGCTTCGATACTCGAAGTAAGCGAAGTGCCACCAAGTGGAACTGTCTCTTAGAAGAACAGCATTTTTAAAGGCACTACACCAAGGATAAAATTAAGTGAGTATTGCATGCCATCAGCAAGCAGTAATAATGTTATACAATATTAGGCATAAACTCAGCTTTTTGAAAAAAGTGTCTATCAGTGTTCACTGTTTTATAAAATGTACATCATCTGCTCAGGAGATCTAGGCATGATGACAGTCCAGGTTTTCTGGTGTGAGGCACTAGGTTCACACCAGTAGGGCAACATGATCATGAGGGTGATGACATACGTGATATATTTGTAAGCAACTGTCTGTTTCAGAAGTAAACTGTGTGCACGTTCAACTCTGATGGTCACTCGAGATGTGCAAGTGTATGTGTACCCATAACCCTGGCTGACTGAGTTTTGCACTATGTACCGTGTTCACATGTCATGGGCAGATCCTATGGGCAGTGCACCTGACCTGGCTGCGGTGGCTGCTCATGATAGTAGGGGCCTCGCTCTCGGGCTCCGTGCTGGTGCTCACCCTCTGGCCTTCCTTCAAGGACGAGTCACGCAAGGTGACTCACTCTCCGCATTGCTCACTTCACACCGCCCCTCTTTTGTGTACTTTCACAAGTGATGCTACAATGAAATCCACTTATAAAGATAGTACCAGATATGATGATGTACTGCTTACAACTATGAGTTTCTAGACTAAAAAGGCTCAGTTTCTAGTCCAGGTATAACGATAATAGGTATTAACGATTGAACTTTTAAGTTTTCTTATTATCGTTAAAAGTGGATTGCACTGTACATGCTGATGTCACATCAGCGGCCAGTGTGAGCCTTTTGCATCATACGTATTGGAACATTGAGTTGGTTTTTCTTGGCCAGGACAAGTAAAGACCACCAGCAGGATGCAATGACATCACATGTGCCCCTTTGTAGGTGCTCCTCGCTGAAGATTATTACATTCCATAATATATTCTAAAGTAAAATTGATTCATAATTATGATGCAATTAAATGCAAAGGTGCAAGCGAGCTGGACAAGAATGACGAAATTAATCCCTGGAGATGGGGAACAAGAGGGACAAAGGACAAACATAAATCTCCAAACACAGCTAGGTGACTGGTGAGCGACCGAAAAAATCCGCCTGGTCCGGGTATCGAACCCGGGACCTCGGTCGCTCACCAGTCACCTAGCTGTGTTTGGAGATTTATGTTTGTCCTTTGTCCCTCTTGTTCCCCATCTCCAGGGATTAATTTCGTCATTCTTGTCCAGCTCGCTTGCACCTTTGCATTTAATTGCATCATAATTATAACTTTAAATTTGCAAGCTTCACCCTCGTTGGTGTTAGACTGGTGGCAGCTGATAAAACCCGTTTGCTCTACTGACGTCTAACCCCTGGTTAGCTCAGTTGGTAGAGTGCTCCACTTGTAATGGAGAGGTCCTGGGTTCGATACCCGGACCAGGCAGATTTTTTCGGTCGCTCACCAGTCACCTAGCTGTGTTTGGAGATTTATGTTTGTCCTTTGTCCCTCTTGTTCCCCATCTCCAGGGATTAATTTCTTTGTTGATTCATAGTTTTTTTTTTTTCTGGTAATGATAAGCCACTCAATCAGCTTTGCTAAAGTTTTATTTAACGATCAATAGTATTCTACTTTACTAAAAAAAAAAAATATTTTTTTGTTTGAGATATTTTTAAACTGTATGGCCTGATGAAGTACATATGTCTTGGAAAACTGAATTGATTAAAAGCTTCGTAAATGTCTGAAAGTAATAGAGCCATAACGTTATGCTAAAAAGTTTACAGGTGCATGTGAGACACGTACTGCATAATATGCAATGTGCCGTGACTAGTATTAGAGAAACATGACTGAAAAATGTCTATAATTGTAGGCTTTTTTATTATTTTTCAGATGGCCTTCATCATTAGCGCTGTGGTGTTTGCCCTTCATGCCCTCTTGGCTCTGGGGTTCGTGGTAAGCGTATAGTCGTTATGTATCGTTTTTATCCAGAGACTCACCAGCAAGTTTTAGTTCTCAATATAAAAATAAAGACGTATGATGAGCTCTTTTAAAAATGCAGTTGGGAAATTTGTAATTGAGTATTGGTTTAGGGACAACTAAGAGAGGGACACTGAGAAAAACACTAAAAAGACAAGCGAGATAAAAAGTCCACTTACGAAGTCTCAAGTGCAGCTAAAATACCTTCATTTGTTGCAGGAAATCTGCAGCACATCTGAAAAGAAGGCCTGAGACATATAGAGTGTATGAGACGATCTAGGACTCAGTGCAGCAACCTCAACTTTCTTTTGAGTTTGTATTTTGCAAGTTCAATCTGCACACTTAATATTTGAAAATGTGCCTCACTCTAAGTGAAAAAAAAAAAAAAAAACATTGGCAGAATTACATTTTATAAAGGAAAGTTGAAAACCAGTCAATTTCTTCTATGAAACGATACTCCACCACCGTCTAGTAATGAGGGCCTCCAATACTTTCGCTTTGTCCTTGTCTTTTAATGTTTTTTTTTGTTGGTTTTTTTTATAAAATTTTATGAACTTGCCCAAATTTTCACTTTATCTACAGCAGCACAGATAAAACACAAAAATTAGACAAAAAAAAAAAAAAAAAAAAAAACAACTTAGTATGTTTGATGTTTTTCTGCATTCTACAGTAGGCTCGTGATAATTCAAACTCGAATATTTCGTACTTCTGGGTAATTCAAATTTCAAAATTTTGAGTCTCCCGCTATGTTTTTAATGCAGGTATTCATAAGCCGCTTAATTCAAATGGCGTTTTGATGTAGTTCATTTTTTTATTATCGCGGCCCCATTGAGTGCACTTCTTTCCGAGTACCACTGCACTGCAGAGAAGCAACACCCGCGGAGCTTGCCTCCACGGGTGTTGCTTCTCTGCGATGTACAGGTGCTCGGTGAGAAGTGCATTCTCTGTACCTTTATTTTTTTATCTTTGTCGCCACTTGGTTCAGTCATACCAATCTTTGTAACACATTCCCCTTATGTAATGCCCAAAAGGGCCTTTAGGGTTAAAATTAATAAATAAATAAATAAATAAACAAGCAGGCAAACATAAGCTATGAAAACTAACACCATGCGAAAATTTCCACAACAACTTGCGCGGACGCTGTGACGTGGCGGCATGGCATAGGTCTATGTCACAGCGTTCGCTCAAGTGTTTATGAAAACTGCCGCGCAGTGCCCGTTTTCATCGCTCATGTGTCCCTTGCTTAATAATCCACATAGACAAATTCTTGGCCTGACAAACAAACTTAATTTTTTAACAGTCCATGATGGAAAACAATTTTGAGCGTTAAATAAACTGATTTCATACATTTCATAAATGTTTCATGTGGGGCATACCTGCCTATGATCAGTAGGCCTATGTAGAGGAAATCGTTAAATATCTACTTTTTATGTGTAACCATTCAAATGGCAAATCATATTTTTATCTTTCATCATATTTAGATACATTTTTGATAATTCAAACTTGTGATAGTTCAAACAAAATGCATGGCTTCCTGGAGGTGAAATTAATGAGAGTCTACTGTATTTTGTTGCGACGCTTTTCTGTTAATATTGGTCGCTCATCTCTTTGTGCAAACTTTTGCCGCATGGCCGCAGCTAATCAATGATTAAGGCTAGTCGTGGTATTGTGCGTAACATCTGCCAAACTCTTGTTTGTGTGGGGCATGTGAATAAATCAGTGATGGTGGAATTCTTGTTGCTCTAAGTACAATCCTGTGCATGAACTCAAAATGTCAATTTGAGTTGCCAACTCTTGAGAGGTCAGAAGTTATGTGGTAGTCCGTGATTTCCAGATACACTTTTAGCTTGGAGGACGTTACAGACAGTGCACTTCAATTTTCATGCACTGTCAGCCGTTTTTCAAGCTGGGCACATTACCTTGTTTTGGTACCGGTAGTTTCTTGACACTTTCTCAACCAATTGCTCTCTTAGCACAGAGTATTTAGTCGATTCACCCATTATGCTTAATGCAACATGCTCTTACCTCACGTCTCTTTTGCACTTGCCGCACCATTCCGGGTGTAGTGGTGAAGAGGTATGTCCTACCTTCTCTCATTAAGCATATGTGTGGACAGAATGCTGATTGGAGTATAACTCAACACTTTGACCAGTTCTTTAGTGTAAGCATAACTTCATGTTTCACTGTGTATTGTGCACGTGGTGTAATTGTTAGAGAGCACTTTGATATCTTTTCTGACCTGCATCATATTACTTTGCTTTCCGCAGCACTCTTTATGAAGGCATGTGCACTGGGGTGCATTCGTGTAAGGCATGTGCAAGGCATGTGCACCTTTAACTGGATATCAGAAACTTGTGGCTAACAAACGACAGTCATGATTTAGCCCAAAGTTCTATTCTGACAAAGGCTGTCCTGCAATATTGTACAGTTTCATAGAAGAATTTGCTGTTAGAATTGGGTGGCAATGCTTCGGGACTTAAAATTTGGATCAAGCAACTTTTAAAATTTTTAATGAGAAAATGGTGGCCAGCAGATTCCAAGAATAGTACAGAGAGACACTACCTGCACCCAAAAGCAAACTTTTTTTTTATGGGGGGGGGGGGGGGTATTGAAGATTAAGAAGTTTAAAAGTCCGCTTTTAACCATTTAGTCGGGAAATGTTAGGTTGTGAAAGATCAAAATTTTGTTTTAACCACTAGCTTAATTAAGATGTGGGCAGAGTCTGAACTTTCTGGTATAAGTTATACTCCGCGACAACTTTTCTTGGCAATGCAGTGGGAGGTACGTCCCGCGTCCCCTCTCTCATTTTGAGTGTACGCAGGCTCTCCTCCTCTCCCGGAAATGGGGGAGGAGGAGAGCCTGCATACACTCAAAATGGGAGAGGGGACGCGGGACGTACCTTCCACTGCATTGCCAAAAAAAGTTGTCGCGGAGTATAGTACTGTAGTTTACTTTTGGGGCACAGAAACTGTGGCTTGCTTTTCTCTTGGAAATGCCTTGTTGTGGAGGAAAAAATAATGATATGCACAATATCTAATTCATTTTTTTAAGCTTGTAAATATAGTGGTGTGCAAATATCCGATTTGATTGTAAATTGTATATGAATTGCAAACTCATCTGCAAATCAGAACTGGAATGTTTTTTTTTAAGCAGCCACATATGTGAATGTATGACAAAGTTTTACTCTATACAAAACATTTTACATGTGAATATTTAAAGGACAATGTCACTATTCTCTAAAAATTAAAGGTCCAGATACAATCGTAACCAGTGGAGGTTTAACTACTACAGCGATCGAGCAAAATTTTCTAGCTTTTTCAGGCAACTGAGGTGCCCTGCCTTGTCTATCGTTTCACCGAGCACATTGTTGTGAAGCTTCATGCGAGAGCACGAATGCAAAGTGTTGAAGCCTGACTCAGTAAATTGGGGAATTCTGAAGACGTTGCTCATAATATTTGAACATTGGAAGATATAGAATATTTCACAGAAAAAGAAGTGTGCTTCAAGTCAAATCGAATAACAAACACCATTTGTGAATGAGGAGCTCTGAAGAATTTGCTCGTAATATTTTAGACATTTGAAAAACTATAATAATCGCAAACAGTAGAATTGTGCTTGAAGTTGAATCGAGTAACAAACACCATTTGCGAATCATTCGAGGTTTGGAATATTCACGCACCTCTAGAGTTTATACAAAAGATGCAGAGATACAAAATGTGCCTACGGTATATCTCAGGCACAACAGTATATATTTGTTTATTTTAACTTCTTGCTTTGCAGAAGTACTTCTTCCAGCACGAGACCATCCATGATGCTGTTGAAATGATATCTTCAACTGCAGCGCTTCCTTCTTCAGCTGTGCCGCTGACTACTGCATCGCCCAAACTGTTCACTACCAAAAAATGATCTTTGAGAGGGAGGATATTTTTTTTTATTTATTTAAAATGTTGAATAAATGCTGTCTACCAAAAAAAAAAAAAAAATGTCAGAACTAATTGCTTTATGTGCAATTCGTTGTGGGAGATAAAATGGCTGTGTGACGTCACAAAGAGGGGCGGAAAAGGGGGGGGGGGGAGGGGGCGAACCGCCACGGGTACAGCTCTCGAGGCCGTGCAGCTGGGCAGTGGTTTCCCTACACACCCCCAAGAGAAGGAAGGGGGGGGGGGAGTTGTAGTAGTAGCACACCCCCCTTGTTTTTTTTTAAGGGGAGACACCCCCTTAGACGGTCAACTTTTAAACCCTTTGCTTAAAATTAATGAAATTTACAGGGTAGGTTGGTGGTTATGCTAGAAGGTGCGTAACAATCTTTTAGGTCTGTTGGTTAGGTGGGAAGGAAATCAGAGCAGCTTCTATCAGCAACACGCCTAGATTGTTTAGTTAATCTATCGTTGGAAAACTATCACAATATTCAAGATTTTTATTCGCTATATATCTAGCTGAATGCCTAGGAGGTGCGGCTATGGAAAGTATTTTTGTAAAAGTAATTTATTTTTATCAATTTTCTCTTCTGCAAAATTGGTCAACATTTTGGTCTTCTGTGTCTTCGACAAAAAGTCTACATTTTTTTATAAAAGACATCTGGAAAGTGACAAAAACATTCCATAGCCGCATTCCTTATTAAATTTCAGTCAGGAAAAGTGAAGAAAGAGCCTCCCCCGTATTGCCATTATCAAACGATAGATTGACTAAAATGGAACTTATACCAAAAAGTGGAACGGAGAAAAATGCGTTCAAAGTGCTCCAAACCCTACCCTTTCTTTAGCTTCGGTTGACAGAAAATAATCTATAAAAAATTAACTGTGCAGTGTAAATTAGTGAAAATTTCTGGGAATACTCCCTAGGTGTTGGTGGATGCAAATATGTCATTTTTCAAAATCAACATTTTTTGCAGAAATATTTTTTTCTGGGTAGTGTCCCCCCTTAATGCGCCCCCTCCCCCTAATTTCAATTCCTGGCGCCACTGCTTTCATATTGAACCAATTCTTTGTCAATATGTTTCTTTTGTGCGTGTGTCTGTGTGTATGTACATATTTTTAGAATGTTTGGTGCATTATTTATTTTATAAAGCATATAATATCGTACATAATTTACTGCAATATATGTAATTGTGATTATTTCATGTCCTTCCAACTACAATGTAATTATGTCGCAACTTGTGCAACGAGCAGCGTCATCCCATGCGACTAAAGTGATGCAATAGGAGAGCAACACACAATGACGCAAATCAATATTGCTGTGTCATCACGCAGCTATCGGGAGTCGGGCAATCTCTTCCATTGCTGCGTCGCGATGGCGAATGTGACTACATTACGGATAATTATTTCATCAGTGTTTAATATGAATTGGGCCGAAAACAAAATAATCCGAATAATGTGGGTTCCTTAGTGAGCAGTGCATGATTAGTCGAAAACGAAACAATTTGGCTCGGCACGCAGCAAAAAATCGCGTAAAAGTAGCTAAAAAGAAAAAAAAAAAGCTTCGGCAAATTTGCGAGGGACATTTGCGTGTAAACAAGAGTTGTTTTGGGAGAGATTTCAGGGCGGGGAAATATCCATGGCTTCATCAGCTTCGTGTTCGCGCGCCAACAAATCACGCCAACTTTCCCTTTCTTTTCTCCCTTTCTCACGCGACTCGATGCAGCGCGCGCATGCGCGGTGAAGCCCGCCGCCGCAGCTGATGTCAACATGGCGGAGGGTTTCGTGTGATCGACGTTTGCTCTCAGTTTACTTCGCTTTGTGATGCGTCCCCGTGTTGTTTTTCATCGTGTCCAGCGTCACAAGTGATCGCCCAAGCACTCAGAAATCCAAAGCTAGCAGACGACCCCAACGAACGGTGGGTTTTTGCCCCTGGTCACACATAAAGTGTTGCTGTCGTTTCCGTAAGCTTGAATATTATCCCCAAACAGTTGCTGTTTTTCGAAGGATCGAAGTTCTCGCTTTAAGAATATTCGGGAACCCTATTGTCGCATATTACTCGGTACCTTGATGCTTCCGAAAACTAATGCACACGGCAATATGGTGCGCAGAGAGCGTTTTAGTTTTGTAGAAAAGCGACATAAAACTCGCGCCTTCCGAAACTGGACTCCGTTTTGCATCGTGCACGTCAGATTTGACGTCAAGTTAACGAAACTACCTTTCTCGACGGCGAGATTTGTAGGAATGAAACGGCCGTGAAACGAAGTATCCCGGTGTGGTTATCTAAACATAACCTCGCGTACACAATTGGCAACGCTTGACGACTGCCTGTGCCATAGCATTCGAAACCAAGGTCGCTTTTCGAATAATTACGCGGCCTCACGGCATAGTCGAAATGATCGCACGCGCTTGTACGGCTTGAACGCGTGTCACCGCCAGCCGGTAGTCGCTTACGAGTTTATTAGATTGCCGGGCAGCCTGTCCGCCGCGTTGTTAAGCTTGCCTACGGTGAGCGAACCTGGCTGCTGTGCTATTTTTAGATCGTGCTAGCGATAGATACCCAGTGAGGCGGCGTTTTGTTTTCGCTGCACGGTTATGTAAATCGGCTCTAGGTATATAACGAAGGGATTATGGCGAAATACTGCTCGCCTTTGTTATATGTATTTTTTTTTATCGTGTTATGCTTTCCTGGGACCGGTTTTCCTGGGGGCTAGTGCTCCAGTTTTCACTCTTCGCGCGATGAGAAGGATATACAAAATAAAACTAAAATTTCCGTGACGGAGTAGACAGGAAGGATGTTGTGTTTGTGCGTTGATAAGGGGTTCAGTACCTGACACTGCAGGAACCCACTCGGAAACTTTACTACTTCCACATTTCGAGCGTCGTCAGGTTTTAAAACTTTGTGTTTGCCGGCGCGCACTCAGACTAGCTGTGTCAAAATTTGCTTGCGCCCGCAATATTTCACGAGGAGGATATGTGTGTATGTGTTCATAGAGACTTCTGTAGCTCACACTGCATGCTCCTCGCTTTCCTGCGTGGATGCTTGCTTTGAACGTTCAATCTTTAGTCTGAAATAAGTTTCCGAATTGATAATCGGTTTGTAAACAGTGCGTACCTGAATATCTAGATTGCACAGGAAGTGGCAATCAGGTGCATGTTGGGACATATTTCAGGCGCTTTTAAATTGGGGAACACAGATTCATCTGTAATCCAACAAAAGACTCTTGTTAAGTTTTGAATCTGAACTCACTGTCATTGTGATGACCTCATACATAAACATTAACAGTAGTTTGTCATAAGTAATACTGGAAGCAGTGATTATGATGTGCGACATAAAAAATTTGCAAGAATCAATGCGGACAAATTAGATAGCTGCACAAGTGCAGATAAACTTCACGAGATTGGTGAAGAGAGGAGAATGTACCTGAGCAGCAACAAAGCAGACAGCCCGCTTGGAATCCAAAAATAAAGGTGGAGCCGTTATGCAACAGTGAACGCTCTCTTTGTGTCGTCGGCTTGTTTTTGTTGGCACTTTTCTTGGCAGTAGTTTCAGGTAGGTAATCTCGACTTAGAAGCTTCGACTTGTTTATAGAAATAAAAGTGAAGAAAGGTCATTAAGTCCCCTCCTCCCGTATAAGAGTACCCCATAGAACAAATTTTGTATGATAAAACGGTTTTACTGGAGAGACCGATTAGATCAAGAGAGCTATGCACTTTGTGTAGGTGTCTTACTTTTCTTTTCCTGCTTTTTTTTGGCCCAGCTCCAAGCTGAAACGGGTTCAGTGATTACCGTTTCCCAGGGTGTGCTGTTTGAAAAGCGCTTGAAAAACAACAGAAATGTCTTGTGTGAGTCAAAGGGTCAAAAACAAGGAAGGGGAGGGAGGTGTTTTTGTTGCTAGTCTACTTTTTATTTTTTTTTTGTAGCATCAATACTGTTTGTCCCAATAAAATAAAAGGCAAGTTTTGTGCATAGCTTAAATGCTTCGCAAAATAGTTCTTATAGGAGACTTGCTTGTCAGAGAAAAATTATGGTTTTTGCATTTGAAACAATCCACCAGATAACGGGGAAGCTTTGTAGCGCTGTTTCAGGGCTACATACTTGTCTTGTTATAACTCTTAAAGCATTTTTTTTGTGTGTGTGTGTGTGGAAGACAATATATTAGTTAAGGGGGATCCATGGCCAAGTTTGTTAACGCTCCACAGCTTGGAGCATGTAAAGCAAAAGCTCGCGCTGCAGAACCACGAAATCCTAGGCTGAATCCGCATCCTTACCTGTTTCGATCTGGATGAGCATCACATCAACATGCATTTGTGCATGACTAATGCGAGGTACCTTGTTAAAGATCCAAGGCTTGCAGCTGTACTGCACAGGCTAAATTTCTCATCTACAGCAGTGACACCAGACATGCATTGAGGCTAAATTGCTTCTTGCTGTTTAAACAAACACATAACACAATTTACCTGCCAGTCCATTGCATGAAGGAGGAGGACAAAAGAGAGATACAAACCACAGATATAAAGTTCACCATCTTTTGTAGTGTTTTCTTTTTGTGTGTGTGTGTTTTAGATGTTGCTTTTTCATCTTAACGGACTCCACCATTATTTAAAATGTGTCTTTACATCAGTTGTTTGTTGTGCTATCAAGTGGCATTTGCACAAGGCATAAGCAACATACTATATATTCACGTGGATAGTAGTGATGTCTAGGGTGACCACCCGTCCCGCGACTCGTGGGACTTTCCCTCTTTGAGAGTCACATCCTGCGAGAAATTCACAAATCTTCAAAATGCCCCGCATTTCACACTGCCGTAAAATTCACTTTGCAACTCATGGTGCTGCCAAGCAGCGGGGCACGGGAAAGTGCGAAGGTCGCTGGTAATCGTGTGAATCAAAATTCACACGATTTGATTCACACGAATCAAAACAATCTAGGACAAAGAAGGATGACACACACAAAAGGCGCAACTAACAACTGGTTTATTTTTTTTTCTAAACAAGCATGGTTGAACGAAAACACGTTGAAAAGATAACAGAGGGACAGACATAATCAGATCTAACGCAGTCATACCAGTGTAAAAACGTCTCTTGTTCAGATCTCGTTGCTTCAGCAAATGCACATGTCCGCTACCTATAATGATCCGGCATCTTTTTTAGCAAGTCTATTTCTTCCTTGTTAAGAAAAAACCGACGGTTCACTAGCGCACATTCCATGCTTTCCTGATGTCATGAAAAAGGCCTCCATGATTTTTCGCTTCGTCCTTTCACTCAATCTTTGTAAAATAGACGTTGCTCCAAATAACGCATCGCAGTGGCATCTAGTACAATGTCCTGTGAGATTCCCTGGAGCTTGCAGCTGCTCACACGCATATTTGTGCACCCGTAGATTCTCATTTAAGCACCTGCCCATTTGCTCTATGTAAGATTTTCCGCATGATAAAGGTATTTTGTACACCATACCCTTAGCGCACTCTACAAACTGGCACCAGTGTCGTACTTGACACCTCACTTGACGCCCCTCATTATCTCCCGATTTAATGACCATGTGACACAACCCTTTAAAGGGGCCCTGCAATCATATTTAAAGGGACACTGACAGGGTATTTATGCTCGCCGAGGTTTTTAGTTTTACGTGACGTATGAGAGCTCAACTACCCAGAACAGAATTTGCGGCTCGAAATTCGGTTTCTTTCCGCCCGAAAACTGCCGATCAAGAACTGGCCGGTTCGAGTCTCGCTCACTCTCTTTTCCGCGGTCACGGGCCGTTTTCTAAGGTATCGATGCGACCACCAAATTTAATCAAAGTCGTGGGTCACTATTTGGGACTGATCAAAAGAATTGGTATTCATCCCGTACGACACGCCCGGCCACCAAGCCAATTTGCACGAAGACGTCGCCGAGCCGTCGCTCCCTTCTCGTGGCTGAAGACAACGCTCGCGCAAACGTCAAGCACGACGTGTCTACTTCGAGTTGAATATGCACGCGTACGATTTCTTTACTAGGTGCGAATGTCCCCAAAGCATGGTGCTTCCCGACTTCGACCCGGGAGTGCATTTGCTAGAGAAAAATCGACAGCAAACTTTCCAACTTACAGTTTACCGGCTGAATTATTACTAAGGAAAGAGATCCACCAGAAAAAGAGATGCCTCTGTAGCTCAGTGGGAAAGACGTCCGCTTCACACGCGGTAGGACCGGGTTCGATCCCCCTTGAAATTCTTTTTTTTTTTTTTCAAACATTTTCTGATATTTACATTTTTTTTTTTTTTTTTTTTACAATCATGACTGAAGAAAAACAAAAAAATAACAAACAAATGTTGTGGACGATACTTCGCTGAATTAAATGGTATGGGATTTCCGTTTTGACACCTGCGAACTCAATGTAATCACTTTCCACAAAATGCAAGGAGCATATAAATCAGGTAGCGTCCGCTTTCCGAGGTGCCCGTAAATGTTCTACAGGAATTGCGGCCAGCCATTGGTCCCGATCCCGTTGATCTTTCGGAAACTCTGTCGCACAATGCCACTTTTTTTCGGATGCAGGACATGTGAGCCAGCTCTTCACGCAACATGTTGGGTGTATTCTTTTCGGAGCCGATCATGGAAATTCACCACAAGCACTTGCTACTCATCTCCAACTCCTCAATGTACAAAACAACTCATCTTGGAGTACAGAACAACGGGCGGAACAAAATAACTGCAAAATAATCGCACGGCGAGCAGTTCCCGCCGCATGTCGTGTCGTCGGCGCCGCATGTCGTGTCGTCTACTACCGGAGAGGAGAAAAAAAAACAAAAAAAAACGCACGGTCGGGTGGAGCCACGTGACTTCTGCCACTCACTCTCTTCTCTCCACTTCTCCGACATCCGTCGGGTCTCGGTTTCGGTTTCGAGCAGTTGCGTCTTTTGGCTTTATTAAAAAAATACGCTACTGTGTTGCAAAATATTAATTGGGTAGTGCTCCGAGACCATAATAAAGCGCCTGGCGAAAAATAAAAAAATTTTTTTGTCAGTGTCCCTTTAAGCATCTGCCTTTTTTGCGGTTTCCATGTCTCTTGGGGTTTGGGCAAGCCAGCGGGCACGGAGAGAGTAAATAAATATCGGTGGCGTCATATTTTAACCGGACGATGCGGAAACCTCCTCCATCGACGAGGACGACTTGCCGTACCAAAAGCGCGCAAAATGTGATGTCTTCCTGGGCTTACTACTGGTCAGAGTCGCTGAAAGCTCCTTTTTAGTTGAAATACAAAATATAAGTGGCACGTATGGTTTCAGTTATTTATAAAAGTAGTTTTTGTTCATTATTTTAGATCAGATAAGAAACAAATGCAGTTCGTATAGTACGGAAACAAGAAATGACCCGTCTACATACACGCCACCAAGCGGTGGAAAAGGCGGCGCATACTGGAAAGGAGTAGTGGGATCAGGCGCCGACACGGAAAGGTCCCGTATGTACGCGGCGGCACTGCAGTCGTATGCACGGGAGGATCCGACCGGCTCCGAGCGTTCCGAAGGCCTTCGGCGAGAAGCTTTGTCTTGCGGTTTGGCCGTTCCGCGGTATGGCAGCACAAAGTGGCTCACATTCTGAACTGATCTTTACCCCATGTCTGCTGTCGTTTGTGGCCAATAAAGTGTCATGCTGAATTAGTATTTGATGGCGCAGCATATGCAATGAGAGCCGCTCTGGCTGCCCGCTGCATACAGCCTATCCAGAACATGCTTTAGTGGCGCCCTCTCGCGTCGTCGACACGGAGTGCGGCAGCCGTGAGTGCTCGATAAGCTCACTAGTCCTCCTCTAGTTCACGGCCACTCTCAAGCAACCAAGGACATCATGAGGGAGGTTATTTTTTGCTTGTTTTTGTAATTTTAATTTGCCAATAACTTTTAAAGGAATTTCGAGAAAAGAAAAGTGTCGCTAAGTTACTACGTTCAATGCGCTCAGGTTCGGTGCAAATTAAAAACCAGTAAAAAAGTCCTTGCAGGGCCCCTTTTAGCTTAAAAGGCCCCTGAAAAAAAAAATATATATATATATATTTTTTAAGTTTGAATTGGACGTGCAAATCAAAAAATTAATTTTACATGAAAAAAAAAATGTTTTTAGAGTAATATTGGTGGTGCGAGACACGATTTTGTCGGCAGCCACCTCGTTTCCACTTGTTTTTTCTTGGAATTTCGGGCGCGTGGAGGGGAGGTGGATTGGCTTCGCCTTCACGACCGATATGGTAATTCCGGAATGACCCGTGATTTCTTGCACTTCGCGCGCGCGCGCAGAATTTCAAATAAATCTTTCGTCATCAAACTCTAAAATAAAGTTTTCTTTCACGTAAAATTTATTTTTCGACGCGCATGTCCCAGTCAAACTGTTTAAAAAAAACTTTTTTTTTCTTTTCAGGGGTTCTTTAAGAGGGACAGATAACGCCACACGGATGCCGTGTTTTGATGCTATCTTTTTTAGCCTGTGTGAAATGTTGTGGATGTAAGGCAGAACTACCACGGATTTCTTTTCCACCGACCGATCCCTGGTTTTGTAGCTGCCTTTCAGTTCTTTTAGACATTTTTCAAGAACCGTCACCAGTTGTGTTTTTGAATACCCACTTGCTTCTACACGGTCAATCTGTTATCTCAGGCTACCATTCACCCTGGGGGGCATGCTTTTTTTTGTGTGTGTGTTTATTTTGTGAGATACATACCCTATATAAGTACTTAAAGAAGAAAAAAAATTGGAAAAGTTTATTGTAATATTTTCTAGATAGCCCACTTCTAGTAATTGTAGGGCCGTGGCCAAATATTGACCGCGGCAGAAATGGTGTTACTTAACCAAGACGGGAAATAAGTGAATATTGTTGATTGACCTGGAAAAGCAGTTGTCTTTGGTTCATTGCCCCCTCCCTACAATGACAAGTTTCGTAGGTCACATAACCTAAAACTAGCATTTTTTTTTACTTTTCTTAATTGCACGTTGAGCATTCGCTCATTCCTTATTTTTGCCCGATTTGCTCTTGATTTTTGGTGGGCTATCTTTTGGGACAGTACGACAGCATTTTTGAGCGCAGCCAGTAAAATTGAATACTTATAATAAACAGAATTAAAACACGGAGGACTTTCAGAGACAACCACAATCAGTAAAATTGGTCCGTCGTAATTTCGATCAAACCCAATTGCTACCTGCCTGCAGTGAACTGCCATTGGCCGCGCGGCCCGACGCCATGGAGTCCCTGTTTGGACCGGACTCCGGTTCGGAGGACTTGTGGCTCCCTCCCGAGGCTGCTGAGGGCAACGTGGAGTACAAGCTGAAGCTGGTCAGCCCTTCGCAGAGCCGCCTCGAACACCTCGTAACGCAAATGAAGTGGAGGTTACGTGAAGGTAAGTCACCTTCCTAGCCATCGTCGAGCTTTGTGTACTCTGCATGTTGAGAGGGCTTCGTTCCAAGCATCGATGCATGCCTCGATTTTCACAACAACCTGTCAGTAAAAATAGAGCCACTAAAATAAGCTGTGCTATGATTCTTAGATAAACAACTTACTGGTTCGGAGACTTCGACAGTTTCCGAACCAGTAAGGAGAGCAACCAGCTGCGGGTAATCAGTAAGCCGCGGCTGGCTGCCGTCGACAGTGATGCCCGGCCCACAGACTGTTTCCGGTAGACACGTCGGCGCAGAAGAAAGTGCTGTAAAGAAACGACGCCGCGACGCTTTCTTAATGCTTCATGTTCGTTCCAGTCCTTATTCCTCCGATAGTTGCTTGTCGTATTTATTGCACATTGTCATCGCCGCCATCTCCATTCTCGGTCCCCTGTTTCATGTCTCTTCATCTACGTTCAAATTATTCTGCGTTCTCTCGTGTGTAACGTGCCTAGTGTCCCGTGTCATAAGTGTCACGTAGTGTCATCATCGATCAAACTGTTGTCGTTAGTCTTCTGCCCTCTGCAAACATGCCACTGTTCCTGTGCGCTTTGATTTATGTCCGGTGAGTTTTCTGGGCTACAATTATTGCATGCCATAATTAGCTAAATAAATTATGCATAATGCCACTTAGCTAAATAGATAATAAATTCGACTATAAATTGAACCGCATTACTCGCGAGTCTTGTCATTTGCACATAAGTTTTCTACTAATACACCTTAGTTTATTTTTTTAAAAATTTGATTCCACTTTGATTTCTCGTATTTAAATGCGTATATGGGTCCATTGGTACTTTTTTTCCCCATTTATATCTACTCGTTTGTCTTCTGGCCCTCAAGTCTGCAACAGACACCTAATTCGGCCCCTTAGTCCTAAAGTTTGGAGACCAGGCGGAAATCGAGGGACCACGTTTTTGGCCGTGTTACGGACACCGTGTCCTAGGTCTCGAGGTATAGATGACGTTTCCAGTCGTTCATCGATGGGTCCGTGGGGTTTTTACGAAAGAGCAGACACATCCAGTGACTTTCTCCACAGTGGGTTTTCCGAGCTCACGTCCGTCCGTCAAGCTCTCCGAGCGATCTGTCGGCAGCGCATCTGGCGCTTCAATTTGGCTCTGAAGAAAACTTTCCCATAGCTTAATATATATATAATGGGAAGAATGCAAAACAGAAGATGGACGGGGCTATTTCCCAAGTGGCGGCAGGCGTGACTGCACTTTAAAGTGATACCACTTTAGCCATCTTGAGTCTTAAAATCGTTGTTGCCTGTTGTCCAAAGCTTTATCTGAAATTGCAGGAAACAGTCTTCCATCCTTGAGAAATGTTCAGAAAGTCCGCGACGAAGCAGAACAATGTCGCCCGAGCTTCCTGTTGCCGTATCAAGCTCAGAAAGTTATATTTTTTAGTGGTAGCTGTCGCCAATTGCACCCGCTCTGACTAAGCAACAAAAAGGCGGTGGGCGTAAAAATTTCAGAAAGTGCAATGCTGCTTACTTAGCTGCTGTAGGTTCGCCAATTGAGAAAGAAAATGAAATGCCGAGTCTACAGCAACCGAGAAAATATTTGCAACCTAAATTTCTGCTTTTTTTCTCGCACAAAAACCGGCGGTCGAAAGTCCTGGGTCGTGTGTGATGACGGCACAGACCCCTGAATGTTTTAGAAGCCGTCCGAGGTTCCTTCATCGATAGAAATAACAGAAGTCGAGAGCAGTGAAATGACGCATGGTACTTGCAGTGTCGCGGAAAAGGTTACCTTTGGCCTGGGTCCCCTCATCTCGTGTAGAAGATTGTGATATATTTTGTAAGAAAGAGTGTTTAAATGTTTTTTAGATTAAGGGGTGTTTACAATCACCTAAACATGCCACTAATGCCCCAAACTCCTGCGAGTTCTAAAACCGGAGCTACTCCTAACCTGACCATGTGCTTGCTGTGCTGACACTGTGCTTACTATCCCCATTAAGCGCAGACCGCATGGCGCATTTTTGCTCGCGATTCAGTTGCGTCAGCGTCAAACTGACGTCATTTCCTGCGCGCGTTTTCGCGGAAGCATTGGTTTCTAGCCGACCCAGAAGAAGACGCGCGCGCCGAGGCGTTGAAGCCGCTCTCGCCCTATGTGGGTCGGTCGAACTATCACGTGATCCTGCACAGTACGCTGTTTCGTATTCTGCACATTTCAAAGTGTTGAAAAGCGTTTTTATTTTCCATATAAAAATCGAAAAGGTGTTTCTTTTGACGCACAAACCCGTTTTATTTACCTATTTGTTCATTTAATTCTCATTTTGTAGTATTTGCGTCAACATTTACATCGCGTGTTCAGAATTCTGTTATCTGGCAACGTTGATAACTTGTGGCCGGTGGTGCTTGGCTTTGTCTGCATACGGGTGCCCCCGCGTCAGCTTCCGCACGAGCGTTCATAGCACGTCGCGTTTTCGCGTGCAGAAAAACGCGCCATGCAGTCTGTGCTTTGGGGTGGTTAACAGCGTGCACAAACTTTTACCCTTTTTTTTTTCTCCATTCCTTTTAAACCCCTCTCCTAACCATGAGTTTAGTTGCTTGTTAGAGATTCTTGCTTGGTCTAAATCATTCCACGGTCCTTCTAATGGTCACACAAATGTGTACTTCGATAGTATGAGATGTAAACCCTCCAGATTTTCACGCCTTTGATTCGAGCAAACATCAGGGGTTTTAGATTGCATCATTTTGGTCATGACTGCCATTGCCAAGCTAAGCTAAGCTGGTGGTAAAGTTCCGTGGCTTAATCCGTTGCTAGGACCTAACTACGGCTGGATGAAGGAGTTATGTCACGGGAGTCCTTTGTGTGCGTCAAGGGCGAGACTACCTGTGCCAGTGAGATCTTGCCCAGGGAGTTGGCAGCTCGTAAACATCTCTTGGCACCCTTCGAGCTGTTGCAGCAGAGTATAAAACGGAGACGTGGAATGTGGGAGCCCACACACAGGGCAAGGAACGGCGTCCCTGCCAAGTGGCCCGCATCAATTCAGTTGGCACGCCGTTCAAAGAGTTCTGGTTTTGTTGTTTTCTTTGGGGAGAGTTATTTCTTCGATAGTTCAAAGGGTTTGTTCCATCTTTGGAGTGTGTACACCGTTTGCTGCATTTAAATGTTGATAGTAACAAATATTGATGATTACAACATTACATTTTATGCAATTTAATATTTTCTTTTTATAGTGCATTTGTTTTTATTAGTAAGGCCTGTTCACACTCTTGCGACCTCTTAGAACTGGGTGTTTTGAAACCTCTTACAACGAGAGGACACTCCGGCACCATCTATTGGGTAGCAGTGTTAACTTGGCGATCTGGCACATTTTCTATTTCTCTCGCGCATTATCCTTTCTTTCTTGGCTCAAAAAACTTTTGTCAACATTATAAACGAGCCTTTCTTATAGGTATTAGGCACATTTGACCTCGGAAATCCCGCAAAACCTTCGCTCTTGTGAAATGCAGTCCCAGGGTCACTGCATAGATGGTGCTAGTGTGTTCTTGTCTTAAGAAATTTCAAGAGGTTTCAACAGGTCTCGTCTCTCTCGGTCATACTCGGTTGCAAGAGTGTGAACGAACCTTTAGAAGGGTTTGTTGTATCTTTAAAGTGTGTATGCCATCTGTTGCATTTAAAGGATAATTTCACTAAGAATGAACAATTGGGGCAATATTTTTGATGCAGTTTTTAGGAGTTTTGGTTAACTGACACTTGTTAATTTGGAAGCTTTGGGTAGGACGCCCAGCAAAAGACTGAGCATGCGTGTTCACACTGGTGCTTGAACCTACCCTTAGTTTTTCTTTTGTGCTATATAGTTGAATAGATTGTACAATGTAGGCATAAATTTCTCTCGAATAGGTCCTCAGGTTTTGTGATTTCATAGCTATCTCGGGGTATTGGATGCAGGATTGTTTATTATTTTATGGTTTATCAGGACTGTTGAGAGAGTTTGCAAACTCCTGCGATATGTCTCCCCCCTACCAGTCCTTTCTGAAGAATTTAATTCCCTTTCCTCGGAGCAGAGAGCTTCACCTCCTCTCCCTTCTTTTGCTCCTTTGCTACCCTTATAGCTTGGGAGGGGAGGGTGCTAAGAGGATTGTCTTCCCCGCAGAAAACGGGCTGTGTGCTAGTCTTTAAGCCTGTTCCAAGAAAAGGCCTTGTTATTACCTAATTTTGAATAGCCGATACTATACCCATTAAATTACATCATTGAAAGACATTACATACTGCTTTGCCTTGTCATGGAACTTTTGCATGTTAACTTTCTTTTGAGATTTCCATAATTGTAACTTGTTCCCAAAATTGGTTAATATTAAGGTTTTTAGTTGTAGTAATTTTTAGATTTAAGCAAAAATAAAGCAAGCCCGAAATTGACAGATTTTTTTTTAATTCTAAAATTGTTAAATCTGGGCTGAATATTATTTTGATGCATTGGTAAATTAAGGGGAAAGACAGACAAAGTCTAATTGATTGTTAACATTGAATTTTATTTCTGGTATCAAATGTATTTTGTGCTTATATTGATGTAAGCACTAGTGTGGTGATATCAGCTTTCTGTGGGTGTGCTATCAGAAAGCATAAAGTATAATCAAACTAAGACGGATAGCTTGTTTTTCTTCTCTTCCACCTTGTTTTGACTTGGAGCCTTTTTTAGTCACTTTTTTCATAAATTTCAGGGACTTGAGTTGCAACCATATTGACAAAGAAGCAAGAATTGCCATTTTTACCTTTGTGGAATACATGTCAACTTACCACATCATTTTCCTCCACAGGGGCAAATTTCAGATGAAAACAAAGTGTTTCCTTGAGTGGTCTACACCATTGTTGCCAATTTATTGTTTTTCCCCACTAGATTTAGTTGTATTCTATGCTCTTCTAGTGGCTGAAAATTCCATCTAGGTGCTAGCGGAAAACTTTTTTCTTTTAGTGATACCTACTTTTAGTGACTTTTTTACTTTTACTTTTAGTGATACCTAGCTACTTTTAGTGACTACTTTTAGTGATACCTAGCAGATTTCATAGCTCTTTCACAGAAATGCTTTCGTTAAAACATGAAGTATATTCATTGTAATTAAGTGTGGTTCTTTTAACTAAATTAGCAAGCTCAGATAATAAAAGTAAATGTTTCATTGAGTGAGAGCTTAGTTGTACCGAATTTTTTCATTAATTTTGAAAATGCCCATGCTGTCGTGACTACATGAAGGCAACAAGCGTGAGAAATGCTCTGGCGATTATGTATTTTTAGACATAGACAATGGGCCTTTAGTAGAAAACAACACATGCACCCAAGAGTGAAACCCAAACAATCTTGCTGATATTGTATTAAATTGCATGTGTGAAAGGCGATATGTTAATAACCATGTTTATAAAAAATAAAACCACCATTGAATTTTTTTTGCTTCAGAATGAATGAATAAAGGAAAGAAGATAACAATTTTGAGGTTGATTGTTTATCATAGTTCTGTTGCTGGGTTTACAAAGGACACAATGAAAGATTAACAATATCTTTCCAGTAAATCATTTATATAAACCATATTTCCCAGTCAATGAAATTAAATTAAAAAAACAATGAAATTAAATTGTAATTTTTTAAACCCGATACACCAAATATATTAATACTTTTTATTTTAAGAGAATCATAGGAAATGTCGAAAAGTAAGAGCAAACAGAATAATGTACACAATTACATAAGTCAAAAAGTTTTTGGTAGTTTTGTTTTTTACGAATATAAAGCTATTGTATGCATTTCATTGTGGAAAATGAAAATACAAATGTAACACTAGTGTTTTAACTAAAATAATCCATTCCTTCTTTTTTATTTTTAAGTTTTGTGTATAGATTGTTTGCCCAAAATGAAAAATCTACCTGTGTTCACCCCAAATCTAGCCTGTTTTAGACATCCGACTAGCAGGAAATTTATTTGAGAGATGGCACACTGGTCCACATTCAGTGTATAGTCTCTGCCTGTGCATGGTCCACAGGTAAAGAATTCTCATACACAGCTCACTTTGACAAGTGCCTACTTCATAAGTCCAGAAAGAAGCTTGTAGTATCATACATAAACAATCATTAACATACTCTTTCATTCACAAAATTCGTCACGTCCCATCATTCAAAGACCTCAACAAAGCAAATTCTCGTGTAGTCCACATCTTTCTATAGTCCATAAAATATGGTATAACCCTTGAAAATAAACACTGAAAGTATGAAGTTTAGTCAGCCCATAGAAAAAAAAGCTGAGACTGCAAAGAAAGCACAGTGGTCTTCCTGGTCTGGGCTTTGTCTTTGAGAGGAAAGCTCAGCAGCTTTCCTGTATCTCCAACACCTCGTAGGATTAACTTCTGCAAACGCTTTTCCACAGGACAAGGGGAAGCCATCTACGAGATTGGAGTGGAGGACGGTGGCCTGCTGGTGGGGCTCAGCCCCCAGGAGATGAAGGCCTCCCTGGGGACGCTCTACCGGATGGCCGACAAGCTCGGCGCCACGCTCACCGTCCTCAGGGAACGCACGGTCAGCCGTTCAGGGGATCAGCCTCCCCGCAAGGCAGCCGAGGCACGTTCTCTTACCAAGTTCTACTTACAACGAGGTTCCTTGAGAACGGCAAATGGTGGCTGTTTAGCTTATATTGAAGTCACTGGGTCCTGAGAAAGTAGCGCCAAGCTCCCCGTGTGGTCGGCATATTGATCCATGGAATGAGCAGTTTCTTTTTCACCTCCTTTCTTGGTGAGCCAATCCCAATTCACGGCAATGTGTTGTTTTATAAAGGCATCTTTTGAATACCGAGATTTTCTTATCCGCGCACCGGCAAAACAAGCGCACATCTTTGAAATCGCCACCACGTGCAGCTTAGGTGCTTGGCGGCCATGAAAAATAATTTTCTTATCCTGAAATTTGAGAAAACAACAATTTGGCGGCAATGAAAAATAATTTTCCTATCCTGAAATTTGAGAGAACAACAACACTACTGTAAGAGATCTGTATAGATAATCATTGTTGATAAGTGGACTGCTTGAACAGTGACAGTGGGCGCTCATACTGGCGAGGAACGCTTTTGGTGTGGCGATGCTTCATGGCGATCTTGGCGTGACTCGTTCAGAATGACTCTTTCAAGGCTTCGAAAATTTGAATGGACCGAAATGGCGATTGTCGTGGCAACTGAGACCGATCATCCAATCACCTTGCGGGATTTGGCTGTCTGTATGTTAGTATCTGCTTGTGTTCGGCTAGCAGGCGGGGAAGATGACTTTGGCTTAAGCATGGTCTTTAGATACATCTAACTCAAAGCAAAGCTGGCACGTGTGTCAATAAAGCAACATATTAAATGCAAATGCACAAACGGTAACGCACGCCCGACTGGAGATAACGAGGCAGGCGAGCCGAAATGCTGCAGGCATTCTTTGATGGCGGGAGAAGCAAGTTAAGGAGAAGAGCAAAAGTGGAGAGGGGCGCGCAACATAAGCGCCACGTGCGCGCACCAGCCGACGGTCATTGGCTTTTGAAGTCTCGCAAAACGGCAGAACGCGGACGTTAGAGCTTCTCGGGGTAGTCGCCAACGATTGGAGACGCGGGAAAGGAAAGCTGCTTTCTGGCAAGAGCAAAATTGCCACGATCAAGTGAGCAATTACGGTACACTGCGGGCTTGACGTTTCTTCGTCCTTTGCTTTGATTTCGCAAATTTAGCGCCGTGGAGGAACCGCAGTTAGCGTTTTGTTCATACTTGGAGATTGAATTCGGCATGGAAACTTTGCAGGCGGATACTTTGCACTGTATGCAACCCAAATCTGATTTTTGAATAGCCGAAAATATAGCATTTTGTTTTTTACCATCTCAAGACCCGCGTATCCCCTTAAATGATATACGCGAGCAGTTAGTTAAAGCGTGTAGAGTTTATATCAAGTTACGTATCGTGGTGCTAAAAAGTAGTCGTACGAGCTCATTTTGAATATCCGTTCAGGTACTGGTGCGGAAGGTGCCGGAAGACCAGCAGACGATTGAGATCCGGGTGGCCGTGCTGGGCAACGTAGACGTGGGCAAGAGCACCGTCCTCGGGGTCCTCACTCAGGGAGAACTGGACAACGGCCGGGGGAGCGCCAGGCTCAACCTCTTCAGGTGGGGACGCGTGGAGTCGCGGTGCTGCTATGATGCTCACAATGCCTCTTTGACCGGTGCATCTAGCCTCCTGTTCCGCCCATGCATCGAGTGTGGTTCTGAAGTTGCAGCCAATGACGTCACAAAAGCCGGTGTGTCACGCTGCCAGATGTCGGCTTGTAGCTCTCTTCTGTGAGATGATTGCTGCATGAGTGGGATCCTAGCAGTTTGTCTTGGAAGTTCTGGAAAAAAAATTGGCAGTGACCTTTATCTTCAAAGTTTTATAAGGCTTCAAATGCAGAGAATTGCTGTGTCATGTGACATATATTTTCTTGCTAAGCTTAGTGGGGAGATTGAATGGTTGTGTAGTACGCGCGACGTTGGGTCACATGACGTCAATTTCCCCCGCCAAATTTAGCGGGGAAGCTGGATCAGTGTTTGAGTCACGAGACGTGAATTTAGCGGTGAAACTGAATTTTTGTTTTGGCCACAAGACGTGAATGTTTGTGTTAAATTTAGCAGAGTAAACTGAGTTGACTATAGGTGGTATTCACTGAGCCTGCAGGTTCGATTTTGCCAGGGAGCGCTACCGTCGATCCGCCATCTTCGAGGTCTCGGTTTGACTGGCTTGGGTACGCTACGCGGTCGTCCGCTGCTAGTGTGTGCTAATTTCATATCGTTGAAGCTTCGTAGAACAGAAGAGAGAAGAAAAGATGGTCTCGGGGGCGGGCCGTTTTCTTTGTTGCCGTCCAGTACCGTGTGTAAAGGCTGAAGCACATGTAAGCAATTTGGCGAGCGACGGGACGAGACGAGCGACAGCGACGAGACAAGCGACGACGACGACCCACTTCGCTGTTGCTCGGTCACTCGCGCGACGTGGCAAACCGCATGAAAGCGACGGGAGCAAGCGACGAAGGCGATAAGCGACCCTTTCTATAAATCTAAAAACCGAGCGACGCGACGACCGACCGCGAGAAATCTCCGCCGCTCGTCGCCGACTCCCGTCGCTGTCGCCATCGCTCGCTAATTCGCTTACATGCGGTTCACCCTTCTCTGTCACTCGTCGCGTAGCTCGGTTTTGGGATTTCTAGAAAACTTAGCGCTCATCGCCTTGGTCGTGTGCTCCCGTCGCTTTCATGCGGTTTGCCTCGTCGCGCGAGTGACCGAGCGGCAGCGAAGCGGGTCGCCGTCGCTTGTCTTCCCGCTCGCCAAATCGCTTACATGCGGTTTTTAAATCGCTTGAGCTAATGAAAAATGCGCCGCATTTTTCATAAGCTGCGCACTCTGTGAGCCGCACGGTATGTTTCTGCACAGGAACGAACACCGAAGGCACGACGTATGTACGACACAGCGGCGATGGAGCAACACGGTTACACGGCCGTAGTACAGAAAATCCGCTAGAGAAAAACAATAAAGAAACTAGCAAAACAAAACACAGAGTAATCACACCGTGCTACAAAAGCACCAAAGCAGAAAAATTAGTTCTTGCAAGAGCTACCGCCGTCGGCACGGCGGGCGACACGGAGCGCTTCATGGAGCCGAGGGAGCAACGCGGCCGCGGTAAACGAGTCCGATAGCGACAAAAACGAACTAAAACACACAAAAAATACTCCCACGGCGCTTCAAATGCACCAAAGTATAAGAATAACCCTTAGTTTCGATCAAAAAGACCCTTTAAAGTTGTAAAATACTGCTAAACCACGCTCAAAAATTCCGGCCAGATGGCATTCGCGATAGCAAGAGACCTCGAAGATGGCGACCGTGGTGGGCGATGCCAGCGAACCTAGCGAGTGACGTCAAGTGAATGTCACCTATAGGTGATATGCTGTCAATTTCTCTAAGGTGTATAGGTCGCAACGTCGAACGAGGTCAAGTGACGCCAGGCGACGTCACATGACGCCACTTTCCTGCTAAATTTAGTTGAGAAACCAAATTCATGCATAGGTCTCGTGACGTGAAGTTCCCCACTAAATTTAGTGGGAAAATTTTGGGATTGGAGGGAGCAGCGTTAAAAATGCATTTCACACGTTGAAAGGCGTGAGAAAATACGAGTGTTGCCGCCGTTGCAACGTCTCAACTCCCGTTTGCTGAAGCTTCCGTGGACTGTCAAGCTGGAGAGCAACCCGCATCGGAACAGGCGTAAATTTCACGGGAAGGAAATCCTTATCAGCAGCTTTATTTTGCGTCGAATCGAAAAAGGGCACCCCACTAAACTGTCCGCGAGGCCGCTTCTTTCTTTGGGATTGCGGCCATTGTTTTGTTTTCTTCTCTCATCGAAATCTGGGCGTTTGCTAGCATTCGGGTTGCGCCCACGTTCCCCGTAGGTCGAGGAATCCCGTGCACGTGTCTCACTTCCTTCGACCTGATCCCCCGATAAATCCCGATTTCTTGTCCGATGCGAAACGATTACAGTCGCCGACCGATTATTCGGACTCGGAAAGGACCCCCGAAATGTTCCGAGTAATCAAGCAGTCCGAAAATTCGGTAGATGAAAAAACTTGCCTTTATTACGCCTAACGCCTAAGCAGGCTTTTAAAAGTCATCAATAGTGGCTCTCTTCATGTTACGCCCGCTCGCGATAATGTCAGCTTGCATTTGCGCGAGCGTCGTGTTCTCGTCGTACACATTCAACAGTAATGTTAATGCGTTCGTAATGTCCGCTGTCAATGGCTGCAGGCAGTAGTCGTTGTCGGAGTCGCATTTTCTGCTGATGCAAGGTACGAGATGAGAGATGCAAATCCACAAGCGCAAAGTGGCGACCGGTGACTCGAAAGTGGCGAAGAGATGAAAGGAAACCAAGCAAAATGATGATGATGATGACGTGCTGCTAAATGGAAAAAAGGGCTAGCATAGCGTCACCTAGCGGTAGGACTCGGGAGTACTCAAGTAGCGCTGCCAAATCAAGCCAATCCATTTGCAGCCAACATAGAATTCAAAATGGCCACTTGGTGGTGTTTCCCACTGATCGCTCGCGACGATTTTGTTCGAGTAATTGAACTTTCGAACTTCAAGCTGTCCAAAACATTGGTTGTGAATATACACTATTTTTATGGGGTAAGTCACGGTTCCCCGTTTAGGTCCGAATTATCGAACAAGTCCGAAAAATCGGTTGCCACTGTACACCAAAACGCCGAATCTGTGGAGAAAAAGAAACCTGGAAGCACGGAACTTCAAGCATGACGAAACCGAGGGCCGACCGAGCTCGTTTGCGACGGGCTTCCCTCCGCAGGCATCTGCACGAGATCCAGACAGGCCACACATCGTCCATCAGCCGCGAGATCCTGGGCTTCACCAGCCAGGGGCAGCCCGTCACGTACGGCCAGTGCCGAACCCCAGAGGAACTTTGTGAGCTCTCGTCCAAGCTGATCACCTTCATCGACCTCGCGGGGCACCACAAGTACCTCCGAACCACAGTCTTCGGTCTTACAGGCAAGCCCCCCCACTTTAAAAGCGCAGCTCTTGGCTTCTCTTGGGTTTCTATTAATCCTTTGACGGTCGTCGCTGTCCACGTACAGCAGCGCTTAGTACACTTCCTCCTACCCGCAAAACTGTGCGTGCCGTAGGAGGTGTGGCTATTTGTTATGTCTAGGGCGAAGTTTAAACGTTACCGTAATACCCCGAGAGATAGCCCACCTAAAATTAAAATCAAATTGAGAAAAAACAAGAAGTGGGCCAACTTTCGGTTGCAGTCAAAAAAAGATTGAAAGAATGGTAGTTTTAGAATTTGTGACCTGCGAAACTAGTGATCGCAGCGACGGGCGATGAACTAAAGATGACTGCCCCTCCCAGCTGGCAATGTTTGCTTGTCTCTCCCCGCGACTAAGTACCACCATTTCTCTTGAGGTCACCATTGGTCAGGGCCCTGCGATTACTGGAAGTGGGCTATCTTTCGGTGTTATTGAAAAATAGCAAACATGCCAAAAATAAGGATGGGTTATCTTTCGGGGGTGGGCCATCCCTCGGGATATTACGGTATACCGTATTTGCTCGCATAGTGAACACACTTTTTTTCGGAAAAATTTACCCATATTTGGGGGGGGGGGGGCATTCATTATGCAGGGTAAAATTTTTGCATTTACACACCTTGTGCAAATATAATTTTAGGTGCCAATATGACATGGCAGGGTACTGTGGCTCGTCTCCACTGACAAAGGCGCACCCATGGCTGGTCGATGGCGTGCCACAGTAATCATGCTGTATAAAAGCAGACGAAACGCGGAAGAGAGGAGGAGGTGTCCCCCTCTCCTCCAGCGTTCCGTCTGCTTCCTCCTCACCGGCCTTCCTTTCTCTCACCCTACCTTCTTGTGTTGCAATGAACTATCGACCTGAACAGCTTGCAAGCACTGTTTGTGCTCTTCTAGATATTTAAAGGGCAATTCCGGTCAATATTTTTTAATTTGGGATTATGACTGCTCTCAGCTGAAGCAGTGTCTCTGAATTGCAAGGTTTAATTCTTTTTCGATATTCTGTGTAGTTTTATGAATTTGGTCTCTGGCGTCTACGGCAAAACCGAAACTATCTAAAGAGCAGCTGGTCGCATGGTTAAACTCGGTTTTTGTGGAGTATGTGGCTTCACTTTGACATAATATTTCAAGTCACTAAAGCTGTACCAGTCATTTATTTTAGTGTTTTAAACCGGAGTTGCCCTAAAGAGAAAAAAACCTGCAGATTCACACTTCTTTTATATTCTTTTAGAAACAAAACCTGAGCACTGGGAAATATCTTTTGGAAAAAAGAGAACTCGACTGTCGAAGGGTTGAAAGCGATTAGAGTTACTCGAGCTGAAATGTGATTCAGTTATAAACACAGTTACTGTATGTTCTCGACAATAGGTCAACTTTTCTAGGAATGGAAGCCATGTGTCTATTTTCTCGCAAAGGCCACAGAAAGCGAATTTCAATTTGGATGAACATCATACCAGCGCGTGTTCGTGTGATTGCAACTTGTTAAAAAAAAAATGAATTAGCAGCTTTTTTGCCAGACACCATTGTAAGGGCCAACTACCCATCTCGGTTTTCTGCAAGGAAGATAATCCTCTTGACATCCTTTTTTCCCAGCCTGCAAGGGTAGCAACCCTCGCAGGAGGGTTCCTACCCTCCGGGTTGCTGCTCTCCCTTACTTTGTTTCTTGTTTTCCTTATAGGAGGGACTGAGGTTGTAAAGCAAGGCTTCATGTGTCCCCCCACTCCCCCCCCCCCCCCCCCCTTTCTCTAGGAAAGGGTCCAGACTCTGGGGAAGGGATGGTGCGGGGGAAAGGGAGAAAGCTAAAAAGTGCAACGTGTGACTGCTTTTTTTTTTTTTTTTTTTGTCATCCGCTTCCAAAATTTTTTTACCATCCGTCTTTTTTTTTTTTTCCTTATTCTCGAGTCTTCCCATCATATATGTTGGGAAAACTGCTAGGGAAATTTGGCCTCAAACAAAGCCATGGTTTGGTAACACCGAGTGGAAAACATTGCCTCGCCACACACTGACCCCCCACCGTCGCCTCGTGCAGGCCACTCCCCGCACTTCGTGATGCTGGTGGTGAACGCGTCCAGCGGCATGACCGGCACGGGCAGGGACCACCTCTTGTTGGCACTGGCGCTCCAGGTGCCGCTGGCCATTGTGGTCAACAAGGTGGACACCGTAGGGTCGGCAACCCTGGCCAAGACCCTGGCCCAGCTGCACACCCTCCTCAAGGTGAGACTCACTGCGAGGGCGATTCTGGCGCAGCCAGTTTAGCGGAGAGAAACCGAAGGAGAGGAGGAGAGGAGATTGTGCAAGAACGTCGGACTGCCGAGATCCGATTGGAAGGATTAGTACGAAGATGCAAAGGCCAGTTGCCTCCGTCCAATCAGAGTGACTAAGAGCATCATCTGCTTCTCGCGCAGGGTTCGGCGTTCGAACACTTGAATGCCAGACGCCATCAACATGCACGATGAGGAGACAATGCTCTTGTTTGCTCTGAGTGGAGGGAGACAGAACGTAAAGACAAAGGCTGCTAGCCTTTTCACATGGCAAATAGAACTACTATTATTATTATTATTATTATTATATCTACCCACAAACCTTCCACTCGGAGCTCGTCATTGTGATGTTCTTGCGCACTCTCATTTCCTTTTCTTTGGTTTCCCTCCGTGTCCGTTTGGCTTGTCAGGTGTTATGTTCTAGTTTACGTTTGCTACGTTGGTTCGACTGTCGTCTCATCTGGCAACTGTGTTGAAAGAGTCTCCTTCTCACCACAAACTGTGAAGAGCGTAAGGGGTACTCTGGCATTTTCTTCGTAGTCCCCAATCTGCCTCAAAATTTGCTAAACACACCAACGAACATCGCTGAAATAGTCCCCCAAATATTGGGGAAAAAAGATTTCTTTTTCACAGTTTTGAATTTACAAGTTTGGGCCTCACCTTGTTTTTAAAAGTGAAAGTGTCTACTGGCAATAGTGAAAGAGTGGCATCAGGGGAAGGCAAGTGTTCACTCTGAACTGTAGACTTTGTTTCCAACTGATTACATGCAGTTTCATGACATCAAATGAATGCTTTGGAAACTCACTCCAGCACCCGCACAGCAACACAAACCAAATGCTCGGCATAGTCCATTTTTAGATGCCCGCTCGACCTACATGCCTGCCTTCTCCTGACATCGAGGCACTGAAAAGTGCGGGTATATTTTGAATGTTGGTTTTGGCATCATTTTCACTTGCCGATTTCACAAAAACTATTCTGAATTTTGCGATACTAAATAGTATACCCGAAAGGGTAAAGGCTGCTTATTCTGAAAATATAGTTAGATAGGGCAGCTCAAAAAATCGCCTGAGTACCTCTTTAATGGGGAAGCTCTTTATTGTTTGAGACGAGAATGGGAGTGTTTTGGACAAATGTGTATGGGGCTATTTTTCGAAAGACAGACACGTTATGACCACGTGCTGTAGTGATAGTGAGACACCAGGACATGCGGTTATGAAGAGCCGGGGCTTTTGCCTGCCCTACCCGAAGGGGTAACAAATTTGGCTGGAGTGCAGGCTTTCGCTGGCGAGAATGGAACAGCAGAGGAGAAAGGGTTACAATCACACGGACGAGTTAAAAGATTGGTGGAAAAGGTCTAGACAAGCGTGGCAATACACAAGATCGGTAGGGTATACGACACAAAGGGTATAGCAGACATCCTCCGTCCATCCGCCCGCGAGATCATACTCGTGAGAAAGATGATTCGCTCCTCCCTTGTTGGGTTGATGGTTCTGTTGTCGCCTTCTTCGTGTCCTCGGGACACCACTTCGGGAGCATCGCCGAAGGGGAGGGTAGGACAGGGCGTCCCTTTCAGATACCCGTAATCTAGTATGCGCTTGTTGTCGTCTGCCGCGCTTTGGCTGCATGTGCATGCTCGGGGTCACGAGACGCTCGAGAGTAGCTGGAGGTAGGAAGCTTACGCTGGAAGCAAGACAACCGAGAGACCTCCGTGCCGTCCTCGTCCTTTCGGTGAGGTCGTCGTAGTCGTTTGAGTGGGGACGTGCAGTCGTGCTAACGACATCCCCATCTTGTAGACCCTGGGATGGGGAACGATAAAAAAAACCGGACGAGCTGCGTTTGAGATTTTGTTGTGTTCGTCCATTTTTTTATCATTCCCCATCTCAGAGTTTACAAGATGTTGATTAATTACCAGCTTGCCTGCACTCTATCACGTTTTAAAAAACATCCCCTTTCCTTTCATTCTTCTTCTTACTCGTTACGTTACACGAGCATGGGTGAACAGCGTTGGTAAAATAAGCAACCGCCAACTGCGACGTCTCACTCTGGAAAAGTTGACGAAATGCGGCGACCTTTCTGAAACTGAGCGTAGCCTAGAACGCGTCCACGGGTTCTCTTCGCAACGCGGCCCCCCTGAGACTGTGGTGCCCGCAACGCGTTTCCGACCTGCGCATTTGGCATCTTGTACCGCCCATACGGCGAAAGCAGTCCCAAAGTGGCAGCAAACGACGTCGCAGGAACTGGCGTGTCTCTTGTGGTCGGGCGTCACGATCCTGGTGGTTCGTCGTATAAGTTGCAGCGAGAGGTACAAGCCAATGCAAGTGTCACTGTCGTTGCCGCATCCCGACTCCCGCCCGCCGAGCCAAAAAGCAACCTGCGGCCGAACAGGTGTCTGCCACGTCGACCACCGTTGGCACCACATCGTGAGGATTGCAGTCGGCGACGGCGCGACACTGTTATGATGTCACCGGGTGTAAACGGATTGAACACTTTCAAAGCGATAGCTTCACCGGCGATGCTCTACGAGGATTTTGGCGTCAGCATCCATCGTCGTGGTGGAGATGAAAAAACCCCTCCTTTTCTCCCCTCGCGGCGCAAGGAGAGAAGTCGGGTGTTCCCACTGCCTGCGCCGCTTTAAGGTGGAAGAGTTGAGAGCCTTGACGACCCACTGATGACAGCGCAACGTCGAGGAACCGTCAATGGCGGCGGACGATGGGAGAGGCCCCGTCGTCCGCCGGCGACGACGTTGCAGAAAGGGCGCTTTCAGACGTTAGTCGCGTCATGCGAAATCCTACCTTAGCAGTATCCCATTGCTACGCATAATGTCAGAGGGTTCCAGACACTTCCATCATGTTCCATTTCACTCAAACGTCTCTATTTCTTGAACGCAACTCAAAACGTAAAATGCATTGTCTCACAACCGTTTTTCACGCGGAGCTTCGCCTTTTTTCTCTGCGAACGTGCCCCTCCTGCTCCTCACCGAATGTCAATGTTACCCCCTCCTGCGCCGACGTGTCTTCACTCACGTCGGCGCAGGTTTTCTCATTGACCTCTGCGCATGTTTTCTGTCAATCGCTAGCCCGTTCGCTCGACGGGGGCGAAATGGTGTCACGTACCATCCTCAACGCCGCCATTTTGCCCACACTGCACGAACGTGCTATGGCTATCGCTTTCACTTCTTTGCACATTGTGGGCAAAAAGGCCCCTTTCTTTTCTGGACCCGGTAAATGCATTGGAGGCGCATCCCAGACACCCTAGGAAAAGCTGCCGCCCTCTCCCGTCTGCAGGGTCCTGCTTGCAAGAAGCTACCCCTGGAGGTGCTTACGGAAGACGACGCCCTGACGGCGGCGGCCAGGCTCCGCGAGGAGAGCGTGGTGCCCGTGTTCCTGGTGTCGTGCGTCCACGGCGACGGGCTGCGCCTGCTCTACACCTTCCTCAACGTGCTTCCGCCGGGGCACGGGCCCAAGGAGCGCGACGGACTCATGCGCATGACCCCCGAATTCCAGGTCAGCCCTCCCGACTGAAGTGAACTCTCTGATGTGATTGCTGTGCCAAACTGTACCAAAAGCTATATCCTGTTACATTTAGCCCAAATGGGAGGAATTTGCGTCAGCATTGCACCAGAAGTTGATTTCGATTTATTAATACCGATAATATGATGGTTCGGGCCCCGCTACACGTCTGGATCGTTATAATCGGTTTATTAAAATTTTTTGAACTTTTGATTATAGCTGAAAATGACATACTATTCTATTTGATCTCGCTGTCTGTGTCAAACACTGGCAGTACTTGGAATTTTCGCAATGTATCTTACATTCATAGTCTGCTCTGGCAGGTAGCATAGATTTCTTGAGTGCGCTTCTCACCGCACTCTTGTGTACTGCAGTGAAGTGACAACCGCGAAGTAAGCGTCGCGATTTTGCCTATGTTGCTTTGCTGCAGCGCATTCGAGTGGAAAAGGGAAAGCACTTGTGTGTTTATTGTACCAGAGCGGGACAATAAACATACAGGTGTTGGGTATAGAGTGGAATCTTGTTAATTTGAACCCGGAGTGACCAGGACTTTGTTTGAATTACCAGGAGTTTCGTTCCTAGAAACACATAGGATGGGACCTGCGTGTTATTGTGAATTATCTGCGAGTTTGAGTTAACGAGATTCCATTGTATTGAAACAAAAAGAAAAAAGGAATTTTTGTGTGTTAATGTAACAGCTCTTAGTTGCAATAAAATGTGAAGCGGCGGAACGAAGCTTGGGAATAACCTTAAAAAGTTCTGGATTGTTTGAAGAAGTCATACTTATTTCTCAGATGCTAATGTTTGCCATCATGAGGTTCCACATACAAAATGTCAGTGGTCATTATTCAATGACAAATGTTTCCTTTTTAATCAGAGTTAATTATAGAAAAGAAAGCCAAATATTGAATTGAATACCAAATAGTGGTTTTATTTGTGGGAATTCTTCAAAGTATGCTGTGAATGAGAATATTCTTTGTGCAGAATATGCGCCTGGTGCATACTCTGCAGAGCAATCTGATGCAGAACAAAAGCTCAAAATGTATAAAAGATCTGGTAAAAAAAGAAGCAGTTGTTATGTGATTTTGAGATTCAATTTTTAGGTCGGACAGATAATCTATCTACCCTAAGCGTCATTGAAAACCCAAGGCTAGAGCCATGCATGGCTTTTTTTAATGCGAAAACATTAACTGTCCCATGGAGCGAGCCGACGTCATCAGCTTTGAAGCCGCACCAAATGGCACCTTAAACTCCTTTCTTCAAGTGAAGCTGCGATCTCCCTGCTTTGAAACCATGCAAAAAGCCTAGCCCAACGTCACCTAGTTTCCCCGGTCCCGAAGGAGCGGTGTGAAGCTGAGGGATTTCGGCTTCGGTACCATTGGCTGGCGCGTGTCATAGTTCCAAGGAACGAGGCTCCTATTGGCCGCTGCGCGTCAGTTTCAATGACCGCCACCCTGTGGCGCTGCATGTCCGCACTGCGAGCGCGCCGGTAACACGAAGCGGCTAAGGTCAGAGCGGCGAGAAGAGCTGGGAAAGCGTGCACTCATCCGACGCAAATGCACCACAGACGAAACAAGGGAGCGGAAGAACGACAAGTATGCTTTTGCATTCACAACTCATAAGAAGCGCTTAGGTGTACCTCGAGCCTGTTTTCCTCGTTAAAAGCACAACCTAACACCGCGACACACCCTCTTTTTTAGATATGTCTCTATATCTCAGAAAAGGGGCGTACCACGATGTCTGGTCCCAAATTTAGACGCGAAAAGGACGCGCACGATTTTGTTTCATAAAAATAAACGGATAGACATTAAATTTAATTAAATTGGCTTAAACAATATTTAATATGCCATAAAAAAAAAAAGAAGCACATGTGGTTAGGTGGTGCAAGTCAAAGTCCAACAGCCAACATGCATCCATTCTCTGTCCATCTATACTGTTTCAGAAAGCCTAGATTTAAAAGAGGACGCAAGCGAAACAAACCACGAAAACGGCTCCCGCACAGATTGGTGGTCGTAAGTGTGCATGCGTTGTATTGTTGGTGGAAAGAAGGGAAGCAAACAAAAGAGCGACAACTCCTGCATGCGATCAACGCTTTCGTTTTTTCGTCACCTTTGCGCAGTTCGTATTTCAAACGCAGCTATCGGGCAGTTAAAGACACTCTCAAATCTAGGAACATTATTCTCTTTCCGTTCCATTTCTCTCCCAATCCGAACTTGCGGCTCCAAAACAACGACGACTCAGCTGGTTTCGTCGACGTGGTTAACATGGTTTCCTTTCTGTGATCTTGCGGTTGCCGATTTCTGCGAGTGTGCCAAGTCTTTTCTGCGTCAACACTTAAATTTGAAACGAAGGGCTTTACCTGGGAAAAAGATGGACAAGGCATGGAATTCCAGCCTTTCAACAATGCTTATCTGCAAGCGGCGCAGACGGGATGTTTCGGTTAGGACCTGAGGTTGGTTTGCGTCACGATCCTGGTTAAATCTGCGTGCTATAAAATTTGTGGCATTCATTTTTTTTTTTTTTTTTGTAGTTTGTGCGCTAGATTTTTATAGAATGGTGGGACTAAGAGGTGTTTCTCGTACCGTCTGTCCAATAGCACTGCACTAATGTCGGGGGAATAAGGAGCTCTTTTGTCGGCTCCACACCGACCTCGCATCTTTCGCCAAACATATTGAATATTCGAGTGACCGAATACTAGGAATTCGATTCGCGAATCAAATTATTCGGGTACTTACTATTTGATTCATGTATTCAAGTATTCGCACACCCCTAGAATTAAGAATGTCATTTTTTTTTTTACAACCTTTAAAACTTGAATGAAGCATCAATTTGTGTGCTCAAGATTATTCTAACATTATTTCAGTGGAATATTTTATTTGGTTTACTTTTTATTTCACACCTAAAATGACCATTCACGGCAGTCCATACTGTCCTCCATTATTCAGCATCTTGTTGCCATGTCTAGTGCTGTGTGCAACTAAATGGCTAGTTTTGTGTTTGAGGGAATCAAACCCTGCTGTGCAGTTGATGCTAGCAAAAGGTTGAACAGAAGTGGGAAGGCAAAGTAGGCATTTTCTTGAGTTGGATAGGCCGACATGCAAATCTTAACATATATTATTCGCTGTTGTACGAATAAAAATAAAGCGTGTGCTTGTGCTCCATAACTACTTTATGCTGCTTCCTAATAGCCTTCTGGACGCTCTAAAAGGTGCTACGAAATTACTCAAGTCATTCGCGTCACTGTAAACCGCCGTCAACTGCCGCCACCCTAATTGTGTGTTCAAGGAGCTCGGCAGACTTCAAATGGTAGGATCATTATTAGACTGGTTGACTAAAATGTGTTAACTTTTTGATTGCTGGTGTGATGGGTCATATTGCAAATGCAGTATTGATGGTAATTGCTATTGGTGGGACGAGCAATTTAAAAAATTTTCGAAAATGAAATTACTTTTGAGATATTCATGCCAGTCCTCGTGCTTGATTTCAAGATTGGTTGAGAAAGAGAGCCGGGAGTCCTGCCCACGTCGGCACTTAGAATTGTAATGTAGTATTTTAAGTCGCATCGTCACTACCTGGAGAGCACATCCACGGTGTATACATTGACGGCACTCTGCCGAGACAGTGATGACGTAACTCTTCTGGACATTGTGGGCAGGGCTACCCCGGCGCTCTTTTTGTGACCCATTTTGAAATCTAGCAAAAGACCAGGAAACTGGATCTATGAATATTTAAAAAAAACCATTGCCTTTTTACAAACTCTTTAAGTTGGTGGAGCCTGTAATGGCAATTCTTTTTAATACTGCAGTAGCAATATAAGCAATTGGACCAATAATTAACATTTTTATTTAAGAGGTTTCAGTTAACCAGCCTACTAACTGTGACGTTTATCCTCCCAATTAGTGTCCGCCGAGCTCGAGAAACGCTTAATGAAGACGGCATTCATGTAGCAATGAACCCACTTCTCTAAGGTAGATGTTTCCTTTAAAAGAAAATCACCCTGCATGTTTCATTTATGATAAAACCATCATCCCAGTTTCATCATAAGGCATCGTCGGTTTTTTCCCTTGCAGATTGACGAGACCTTCCAGGTGCCAGACGTCGGCACCGTGGTCGGTGGCCTCCTGACCCGCGGAGTGCTCCGAGAGGACGACCGACTGCTGGCGGGCCCCGCCAACGACGGCACTTTCTATCCCGTCAGGGTAACCTCCCCTTTCAAAGCGATAGCTTCGTATGGGAACCCGGCACGAACCGTGCTTGCTCGTGTCGGTGTTGGTCGCACCATGACAGGGCCGTGGGAGGGAGTGTCGACAGCAGAGAGCAGCTTTTGGTTCGACGTCCAGCTCCTGCCACAAGAAGCAAAGTGTCACAAAACTTCGTGATGTCACAAAACGGGGTGGTTGACATCACAATGTCGTGTTGCGGTTCTTACAACACGTCACAATTTCCCCCTAAATTTAGCGGGTCAAATATCTTTGCTAAATTTCAATGGAAAGTGCTGTTATCATGAAGTGCCATCACACCATTGTATTTGATGAGATGTGTAAGCCAGGCGATTTTTCCTTCTTGAGAACTCCTAAAGGTGTATTCCCTGCTTTAGGCATATACCGATACCCCCCGAGAGGTAACCCCTGATCCCTGAATGGGAGCTGTCCTTGAATTTAAAAGTAACGCATGCTTCATGGGAAGAGACCTCTGTCTGTGACTTTATTTTGTGCTCATCCAAATTGGTGGGCATGAGATGTAGTCGGCAGTGTTTTGTAGTAGGGAGAGTGAAGCCTCTTCTATTTTAGAAGGGACATTGATTGGACGCAAATTAAACGTGGCACACTAAGACGGATCCTCTTCGCTTTTACAGCAAAGCTGTTTGTGGCTAGGGTTCCATGGATTTTTCGTGTGGAGTGACTAAAAAACTACACTCGCACCGCCGCACGCGCACGCTTTCCCTGTATAAAAGATTCTAAATAAATAACCAAAATAAAGCAATGTGAAACGCGCGTCCAATTTGCCATTTGTTTGAGGCTTTTGCTTTAGAACAGTTGCTGCTGCAGACGCTGGCGCATGCGGTGCATGGAAAACCGTTCCCTGCATTCTATTTGATGCTTGGATAATTTAGCAATAGGTCTATTCAGTAGATTATTTATCAATAGGCACCATTTTCAATATCAGTAGACTCTCGGGTAGATAATAAAGGTTTCTCAAAGATTTGCCGCTATGCGACCCGCTTCAACAATGTCTACACTCGCACCGCCCTCTCTTTGTCGTCGTTCCAAGCACTTGCGTGCCTAGTTTCCTTTCCACTCTCCCAGGGTGGCGTTTCTGTCGCGCGTGTCTACTTTCCGCCGGATAGCGGTCCCGTCGCCATATCTAGTTTCCTCCGGCTCTTCGGTGCAGGTCTTTGCGTGTGCTAAACAGCTTCGCTGGTCATGCACCTTCACAGAGTGGAATAAATAACAATTTTTTTTTTCTGTTGTGCTCCCTCGCAGGTGCTGTCCGTGCAACGCAACAGGGTTCCGTGCCGGTTAGTGAGGGCGGGCGAGAGCGCCACCCTGGCGCTGGCTCCCAGCGCAGGTGCCGTTCTTCGGCGAGGCACGGTGCTGTGCCACGCGGACTCGCGCCCCGTGGCTGCCCGGCTGTTCCGCGCTCGAGTCCGCGTCCTCAGCCATCCGGGGCGCCTGTCCGTCGGATTCCAGGCCATGGTGCAAGTCGGTGGGTCATGTCGTGCCAAGTCACACCGTGCCTCTTATTCAAGTCATGCCCATTCGAGTCATGCCTATTTAAATAATGCCTATTTATGAGAAGGTAAATTTTATGCAAAAAGAAAAATGTCACACATGTGACTGATTAAAAGAAAGGCTCGAGGTACACCTAAGCACTTCTTACGAGTTGTGAATGCGAAAGCATGTATGTCATTCTTCTGCTCCCTTATTTCTTCTGCGACGTATTTGCGTCTACGGCAGATTGCGTGCTCTCTTTGCTGCTCTGACCTTGGACGCTCCACTGACGGCACGGGCACGCAGCGCCATGGGGTGGTGGTCGTTGAAACTGACGCGCAGCGGCCAATGGGAGCCTCATTGCTTGAAACTATGACGCACACCAGCCACTGGGATCGAAGCCAAAATTCATCAGCTTCACTCCACTCCCTTGGGATCGGGGAAACTAGGTGCCGTCTAACTAGGCTTTTCGCATAGTTTCATAGCTGGGAGCTGGCTTCACTTGGAGAAAGGAGTTTAGGTGCCGTTTGGCGCGGCTTCAAAGCTGGTGACGTCGGCTCGCTCCATGGTACAGTTAAATCTTTCATATTAAAACTAGGGGTGTGCGAATACCGAATAGTAGTTTTCGAATCGAATACCGAATCGAATCAAGAAAAAAAAGCCGAATATCAAATAGTGATTTTATTTTTAGGAATTTTTCAAAGTATGCTGCGAATGAGATTATTATATGTGCAGAGTATGCACCTGTTGCAGAATATGCATCTTGTGCAGAACAAAAGCTAAAATGTAAAAAAATCCTGGTGAAAAAAATAAATAAATAAAAGCAGTTGCTGTTGGATATTGGGCACTAAAGATCCAATTTTATGGCATAAATATAATCTATCTTTCCTAAACGTCACAAAAAGACCAAAGTTACAGCCACGCATGCCTTTTTTAAGCCCAACCTAACACCGCAACTTTTTTTTATAAATGTTTGCATATCTCAGAAAAGGGGCATTTTGCGATATTTGGTTTTCATTTTAAGGAAGAAAAAGGGCACCCGGGATTTTATTTCACGTAAATAAACAGATAGGTGTTAAATCTTAGTAAACAGGCTTAAACAACATAATCTGAAGTAAGAAAAAAAAAGTGTGGTTAGGTGGCGCAAGACACCGTCCAACTGCCGCTATGCATTCATGTTTCCGTCTATCTATCCTGTTTTAGAGAGCCTTGATTTAAAAGAGGGAGCAAGCGAAACTGAAACCACGGAGATGACTCCAGTGCAGATTGGTCGTAAGTGCGCATGTGTTCTGTTGTCGCGAGGAAAAAGGCGAGCAAACAGAAGGGCGACGACGCCTTCTCTCCCTGCCCTGCCTCCCCGATCCCGATCGACGCTTTCGTTTTTTCGTCACCTTCTCGCAGTTCGTAATTTAAACGCGGCTATCGAACGGTTGGAAACCCTCTCAAATCTAGGCACACTATTTTCCCGTTCCGTTTCGTTCCGAATCAGAATTTGCGGCTTGAGGTTCCAAAAGAACGACGACGATAACTCGGCTAGTTTTATCGGCGTTTTTAACGTGGTTTTCTTTCTGTGATCGTGCAGTCGCCGATTTCTGTGAGTGCGGCCAAGTGTGTTTTACATCGGTGCTTCAATTTGAAACGAGGGGCTTTACTCGTGAAAAGAATTAGGCATGGCGCGGGACTTCAGCCTCCCAACAATTCCTCTCTGGAAGCGGCGCAAATGGGATGTTTCGGTTGTGATTCAAGGGTAGCTTGTATCACGATCGTGAGTAAATCTGTGTGCTATAAAGTTTGTGGCGTTCGTTACTTTTCTTTTTTCTAACCTGTGCGTTAGATTTTTGTGGAATGGTAGGACCAAGAGCTGTTTTTCGCATGGTTTGTCTAACATCACGGCGCTTACATGGGGGGAAAAACGGCTTTTTTTGTCAGCTCCTCGCCGACCGCGCGTCTTTGGCCGAATATATTGAATATTCGAGTGACCAAATACTAGGAATTCGATTCGCGAATCGAATTATTCGGGAACTTTCTATTCGATTCGAATTCATATATTCGAGTATTCGCACGCCCCTAATTAAAACAGATGAAATAAAAGGTCAGTCAGTAAAAGTAAAAAGTTACAAAAAGGAAACAAAAGTACACAAGCGGTGGCGGGTTGGCAAGCCACAATACAAAGTTGAAGGTTGTGTCGTGCAGCTGCACCAGCTTTGTGCAGAATCTTTTTATGCGGGTGAATGCAACACGTCAACGTAAAAGGAAGGACACAAGCGGAGGCGGGTCGGCAGGCCATAGCAGAGTTGGAGATTGTGTGATAGCGCCGCGCAACCTCACTGACTTTGCACCATCTCTTTCCGGGTGCAATAGTTCTGTCGATAGGGCGCCAAAAAGGAGCAATAAAATATGTTTTGTTTTTTTTGGGGCTTAGGGAGCAAGTCTCACATCAGTGATAACGTGTAGAAATAACTGGTGAACCGGAAAATAACACGAGCCAGATATAGCCGATAGCCGACGTCAGCCATAAATCTATATCCGAATCCATAGCACCTTGGCTTTGTGCTCACGACGACACACGTGCTGTTGCAAATCATAGTCGTTCATCAAATCTATCGCAGCGTCAAATCTATCGCATTTCGCCTACTCTGCAATCTAGACATCGTGGCAAGCAAAGGACAGATCGCGCTATTGCATCCAAGTAATTTTCCAGTACTTCGTAAAAAAAAAAAGGAACTTCGGTTGGCTTTTTGGGTAACTGCATATGCTCCGCTTGCGGAGCAAAGTATCGCAATGGTTCTCCCGGGGCAGTAATGTTGGATCCAAGGCCGCATTCTGGGAAGCAACCTTCACTGCTTCAGGAGATCTGGAGGCGCGGATGGCGTGGTCGTGATGGGGCGCACGGAGCGGAGGATATATAGTGCGGCAACACGCCGCGCGTGCACCTTTGTCTCATCATTTGTCTCCCGTTTTTCTCTATGCCATCAGAAGAAATATAGTAGCCGACGAGAATGTCATCCCTTTTGACATCCGTAACTATCCATTGTTGTCTGGTTCGAAGTGCCCGAATGTGCTGGTGGCGTACCCCTCTCCAAGCACCGCAGATGCGAGCAATGCGGTCGTCCTCCATATCGTCTGCTTCCCAGACTTTGGACACACATTTTAAAACATCGCTCTCGTTATAAAACAATGCGATTATACTCTACCAAGTGGCCACAAGTGATGTTCAATGACCAAGGAACTTTCAAGTTCGTTCGATTTTAGTGTATGATGTTGTTTTTTTTTGTAAACTCAAAGCGAGAAACTTGCTTTGCCCGAAACTTAGCACCTGCAAGGTCGTTGTCCCTCATGAACGTTGGATTCAGTTTGGCGCACGTGACCGCTTCTCCGTCAATGCGGAGTTGGTGGCACAAGGAAAAAGAATGTGGTACTCTGGCTCTGCAAGCAGAACCTATATCAAGGTGTCTAGCGACCGGGAAAACCGGGAATTGTCAGGGAAATTTTAATTACCGGGAGAAATCAGGGAATTATCAAAAAGCGAGCCCAGTCAGGAAAAATGAGCCGGAAACGCCATTGATTACCCTGAGCGAAGACTTAAGGACTTGGGGGCAGAAATATAGGCAATAAATACTGCTCTGAGTGGAGTGCAAGCTCTGCCCCCCCCCCCCCCCCCCCCCCCCGATGTAGAGTGTGCTACCCGATGCAAAGAGAATCGACAAATCCAGTCGAAGCCATGGATTGGATTGAGAGCGAGACACTGAACTAGATCCAGTTAGAGCTAACAGATTTAGTAATAAATGGGGAAGGCCATAGACATCAATCCAATCCAAGCTTTAAGCTGAAAGTATCCGAAAGTGCATTTGGCGGCCATGTTGCCATTTGGTTATTGATGTGTGTGGTTGAGCGTCGTGTTTTCATTGTGTTTCCGGAAGTGGCCTCTTCACTGACGATGTCAGCGGCAAGAAAGTGCTCGTTTAATCCGGACTGGACGAACCCAAATATTTCGGAATATGCAAGTTAGATTAGGCCCGTGCAAAATAATCCTCATTGTGCTCAATGCTCAATGCCTTGTGTTGTAATGGTCTTATATATTTAACTGCCTCTAGAGTGGTCAGGGAATTTCACCTGAAATTGCCAGGGAAAACCTGGAAAAGTCGGGGAATTTTAAAAGAATAATTTGCTAGACACCCTGCTATATAGTTAACTCTAGTGCGTTCTCTCCTTGTAGGCATTTGCAGTCCCCGACCAATTTTTCGGACATCGAAAATTCGGGCTTTCTCATTATTTGGGGCATCAACTAGGAACCGTGACTTACCCAGTTGAAATGGTACATAATTAACAACCAATTTTTCGGACAGTTTGCAGTCCGAAAGTTTGATTTTTGGACTAAAATAGTTACACGAGTCATGGCCGCCAAGAGGCTGCTGTCTTGGATTTTTCTCTGGCTTGACCGGGGGCTTGGCTCGATGTTTAGTGTTTCAGATGGATCGGATAGGTTTGGCAGCACTATTTTAGCGCCGTTGAACCAGCCGATAGGCGTGCTATGCTATGCATTTTGTTTTTGCTACGTATGATTGTCGTTGTCTTGGGTCTTTGGTCGATTTTCCATCTCAAAGCCAACCTTTTTGTTCTGTTTTTGTACCACTCGCCATCCGTTATGTGTGGAGTACGTGGTTGACAGCTTCTAAAATTTGGACGTGAGCGTTTCGCGGTTTCAGCGTTTTTGCCCTGTGTCATTACGTGCTTTGGACCTCGTGACCCCTTTTTGCGCCTCCGCCGGGTGAGGACATGATGCTAGCACGAAGGCAAGCGGACATGATTGCCTGCAAGCGTAACATGACACAAGGTACTCTTAGCAACGCTTAGAGTCCGTTTAGGCTCAATAAAGCAAACTTTTGCAATCTGCAGATTATTCAGACACTTTCAGTCTCCACAAAGTCCAAAAAATTGGTAGGCAACTGTAAAAGGGAATGCAGCGGCACACTCAAGCATACTCAAATGCAAATGTGTGAACCAGCCTCTATGTGCACATAAACTTAGGAGTGTGATTCTTCTTTTGATCTCCGCCGTGGAAGCTACCATTTGCCAACGAGCTCAACGGTGGGGCCTCGCGTGCAGGGAACGTGCAGCAGACGGCGGTGGTCGTCGGGGTGCGTGGCGGCTCCAGCGCCACCCTGGGCTGCACCGACCGGGGCGTCCTTCTCTTCAAATTCGTCCGGCAGCCCGAGTGCCTGCGGCAGGGCTCCCGCCTCCTCTTCCACCAGGGCCAGGCCAAGGGCATCGGGAGGGTGCTCCAGGTCTACCCCCTTCAGGTCTCCACCTCATCCGCGCCCCACTGAAGCTTCGCAACCCTCTTGTCACTGAACCAGCTGAACCAACCCCACCGCTTCACGCTTCGTGATACAACGCATCTACAACACTATTTGCCGGGATCCACTAAGTCATCTCCTTCGCCGGGTTCGTTTTAGAGGAGGCGATGACGTACAGTGAGCTGCTTCGTGTGCCGTTTCGTTGCCGCTCTTTCTCACATTGGGGAGAAGTCTTTATTATTTTTTTTTACCTTGTCGAGACTCGCGATGGCGCGACATACGTCGTCTCGCTGCCGGTTGCGTCTGCCGTGTTGTTGGTTCGTGGTCCCCCCCTCCCGCAGCTTTGTCATTTCAAGTGAGAGCCACGGAGTTTGGTTGCCTGCGTCGTCTGCTCTTGCGTTGGTAGCGGTGTGTCATTTTTGGGAAACGGCCATCCAGCAACTCGTTTTATCAATGTCGTCATCTGGTTGCTCTGTTGCTGGTGTCGAGCAGACGGCGGTGCGGGCAAAGTGGACAGTGGTGTTCTATACTCTGTTTCACCTTATAAAGGACCACAAAGGACGCTACTATGAGCCGTTTAAACCAGTTGAATGCTTTAGGAGTGTCATGCGGCCCTCGTCACGTAATTGCGTGATAGGTTCACAGCACTGGATTATCTGGGATGGCTCGTAGCGTGTGATGCAGTTCATCGTGAGCCAAAACGGAGAATAGCTGCATGTGTCGTCTGTTCTGGGGCTCCAGCTATCTCATTATGTTACGAAAAACTTGTTACAAACCAGTGCATATTGTCTTCACAAATTTAAAAAAGGCGTGAAAAACATAAGGACAAGCAAAGATGAACACAGATGCACCGTTGTGTCTGTCTTTGTCATCTACTTCTGATTGTGTTTCTTGCACTGTTATTTTTTTTTTTTTTTTATATTATGAAACATGTGCCTACTTGCCCAACTACAAACAGTGCATCTTCTCAGAACCATCTTTGAATGGATTGTTCTTTGATGTCTTTAGCAGACGACGGTTGTGCATGTTTGTCATATGGCCTGCTAACTTTGGGGACTTCTGTTTTTATCCTTTTGTGTTTTCTCGGTCTCTAAGTGGTTTGTGTTCCAACTGTTGTCATCCGCTCGCCGTCTCATTCTCTCTTTGCAGATTTATGGAAACTATGGAATGTTCTGTGCCATCCGTGTGATGCTTCCACCCTCATTTTCTTGCTGAAAAGAGACGGCTTGCTTTTTTTGTTCTTCTTTTTTCATCCTACCCTTGCTTTTTGAACTGGCTGATTATTTGTTTTTGTTTTGATCAGTTTCATGTTCATATATTCTGACTTCATAGTTGTCTGCTTCCTTCTGTTGGTAAACTAACTAGTTGTGTGCTTCCTTCTGTTGGCAAACTAAAAAAAAAAAAAAAAGTGGAAAAAATTAAGCATTTTTTATAGGCATGGGGGGTTCTAGTACCACCTCCTTTGCCTCTTCCTTTTCATGACTTGTAAGAATGCTACTCATATCTTGAAAATAACCATTTTTTTCTCCTTTCCATGCTTTTTTTTCGTTGGCAACAAAGGAGCACTCAACAGATTTGTGTTTGGAGCGGGCGGTACTATTTGGTAGGGAGGCTTTTGAAATTTAAAATCTGGAACAACCCTTTTTTTGTGCTCTGTGTTCGTGGGCTAGGACAGTACTGTCATGGTCTATGGCAGCTTTATTCATTGCTTTTGACGGGAAATGATGAAAAGAAACAATCTAAAAAAGTGATGTCCTGTGAAGAGGCTAAAGAAGTGTTTGAAGATGTCACAATTCTTTGTGGCTTATGTTGGGAGAAGTTTTTGCTGGGGGGTGTAGCAGGAGAATAGGCGATTGCAAATTATTTAGAACATTGGATCTTCCATAGTATTTCTCTTGTTGTTCTTTAGGAGACTGAGAGATTACTTTTTGGTTAGTACTTTTTAGAATGAAAGATTGCCCTTAACACAAAATAAGTTTTTTTTTTTTTTTTTGTTAGATTGATGGTTTGGTGCAGTGGCATCACTAAGGGGAAGGGGAGGGGGGGGGGGGGGGTCGTCGTGGCGGGCCATTGCCCCGGGTGCCGCTGTCCCTAGTAGCACCACTGGTTTGGTGTTTTTAAGCATAAAAAGGTAACCACCTAATTCTTCACCACCATCCATTGGAAGACAAAGCATGATTGTGTTTCTCCCATGCTGGCATGGGTTTGCATGTTGTGCTAACGTCCTATGAGGGTTGTCGGGAATTTCCTGCAATTTGACCCCACTCTTGTCAATTAAGCTGTATAAATAATTTTCTTGAGAGTAGGTGGGTTGGGGTGGGGGGGGGGGGGGGGTAGTTACAGCCTGAACTAACTGCTTTGTGTCATTCATAACCAGGCTTTTAAAGTGATTTGGAATGTTGCAATTCTTGAAAAGGTAAAGACAGTCTTAAAGTATGCTGCTGTTCTCCTCTAAGCTATGGAAACATTGTAAGTGGGGTAACTATGTGTAACTTCTTAAGTTAGTAGCATTTTTGCCCCCCTTGAGGTTTATTTATTTTATGCTTTGCTCAGATGGAGTGGACACTTGGTACTTTTTAGAGTTTGTTGTAACACAAGCAACAAACTTTGCTGTCAGTATGCATGTTAAGAGAGTGTTGAGCTTAGGCGAGTAGCAATTGCAAATTCCCTCAAATTCTAATGCACATTCGAATAACGAGCACCAAGAGCTGCAACCTACTTGTTGTCAGTGTGATCTCCTCTGCCTTAAAGGGGCACTGACACCCCAAAGGTCGTATTTATTTTTATTGTCTAAAACGATGCAAGTTGCAGTCATAGACACGCAAAAAAAACCGCATCGCGAAAAAAAATTTTCCCGCGCGCGCGCGCGCCTTTTTATTTTTGGCGTTTGATTTTCCCGCCTCTCGCCTCCTCGCTTCTTTTGATCGGTGACGTCAAAACTCAGGAAATTTAGAAGCTTTGTAGGCGACATCTCTATAACATTTAATTACGGCAATCCTAAAACATGTTTTTTAACGCAATTGCGAACGCACTACGGCCCTTCTTTTTGAAATACCAAAAATCGGGAGTTCGTTGTGGTGCCGTCTCCTGGATTTGTATCCTCCAACGGAAAACAGGCGACACCGCTCAAAACCGGTCCGCCGCAACGACGGGCGCTCGCTCCTTTCCTCCTCGCTTTGGGTCGCCATGGCAACAGCAGGGAGTGGTGACAGGAAAGGGGACTCTCAGGTCTCCGCGATTTTTGACGTCAAGGCACCGGCGCCGATCGCGCGGGAACTTCGAATTCGGCATTTGGAAATTGTTTTTTTACTTCACGAATACTGAATTCCCAAATCTCAAATTTTGAGGGTAATGTCCCGGCATCGTTTTCAATCGTTTCGAATAATAAAAAAAAAATATGATTTTGATGTGTCAGTGCCCCTTTAAATTTGCCGTAAGTTTTAGGCATATATTTAAAGAACTGTGATCAAAAATTCATATTTTATCAAATACACTACTTTAAACCTACTAAAACACTTGAAGCTCATATTGTATATTAGAATAGATCATATTGAAGTATGCTACGGTCGCGAGAGCACCTAGTAGAAAGAATAGTTGGGACAGCAAAATGTAAGGCAATAAACAAGTAGAAACATCGTGCAGTATTAACGTAAGAAGTTGTCGGAAGTGTCGTCAGCTTTAACATGCAGACAGAAAAAAAAAAAAAAAAAAAAGGACAAGTTTCAGCTACAGAAATGTTTTTGACCAGTGCTGGAGCGGTGAATGACTTGCCTGTGAGCTTTTGCAATGTTAAAAAGTCTGCGTCGAAACACTGCTGACCACAGAAAATGCTTTAAATAAGCGAACACTGTATTGCCGCAGTAATGCAAACGCTGTCAAGAGCTCACTGCCAAATGCTGTAAGCACATTAAAACGTTTGCTCATCGACTACGCTATCGGCGCTCGAGTTTAAGGAACTGCGGGCGGGAGGACGCGATAGTGCTACTGGGCACTGCAAACGTTGTGTGTGCAGTTTTTCAACGAGATTCTCATAGATAGGCCTGCAAGTAGCAGGCTCATTGTTTGCTTCTTATTCTGAGTCCCGAAGAGGGCTTGCCTTTGTAAATACTTTACTATAGTTCTGAAATGCGTGCAAGGCATAGGGTTTATCCTTAAGAATGTCTGTCTTTCGAAAGTCGAAAAGCAAAAAGTGTCTTCGGTCTGACGAGATATTTGTATGGAATGGTGGAGCGTTCTGTTTCTCGTGTTTGGTTTTGAAAACATTGGCGGCTCTCGACGGAATATGAAACGTTTGGACATGGGCAGTAAAGCTTAGAAACATTCATAGTGACGGTTTTTATTTTTTTTTTTATCTTAGCGATTTTACTGAAAGTTGATTGCTATGTGTTAGTTTCGTCACCCCTTCACTGAATGTATAAAGGTTTTATTGGCTGGTGCCTCGTTTATGATTTTAGTATTTTATCCAAAAGTCATGGCAAATTAACATGGATTATTCTTTGAATTGGTGATGCCTTTGTGCCATCAGGTTTATTGTGGTTTTTGGCCACCAGATCTAGGCCACCAAATTTATAGTGAATACAAAGAAATAGAATAGCCATATGCTTTTAATGAAAATTCATGCCCATGAGTGGCCCCATTTGTAAAATTGCACAATTCATTGCTAATTAAAATATCAAATGGCACTGTTTATCCTCATTGTTTTTAGACATATCTAGATCTGAAGTTTATATATTTTAAAATCTGAAAATAAAGGTTGGGTGTTATATTGGAGGCGTCACTGTGATTAGGATACCCTAGTCATTACCAGGATGGTGCTTTATCGTAAGAAGTGCAGTTGCATAGATGGCGTACTGCTTCATTCGGTTGGAGGTGGTGTGGAGACAAATGAAAAAAGAAAACCAAAATAATGTATATGAAAGGAAATAAACAGTGCACATTTTTACAATTATGTGTTGTGCTTTCTTTGTTTATTTTGACGATTTCCTAGACACATGACTCATGTCTGCAAGGAAAGAAAAATTATTTATTTTTAATCAAATAATTTATTTCATATAGATCCGATTTATTTTATTTAAATCAGGTTAATTTGGTGTATTCAACATGGCAGATTGATTAATGAATCCGTCTGATCACAGGATCTGCCTGGTCCGGGTCACCTAGCTGTGTTTGGAAATTTGTGTTTGTCCTTTGTCCCTCTTGCTCCCCTTCTCCAGGGATTACTTTCGCCGTTTTTGCACATGCACAGGTCGCTTTGTCAGAGTACTCACCAAAACGCTGACAAACGGCGAAACGATGCTTCGATGCATCGTTTCTTCATTTACTAAACCTTTTTTTTTTCTTTTTTTCTTTTTTTGCACAGTGGCATTGAGCATGACTGAGTGTATTCGAAATACCACACACACGCATTAAATTGCTGTAAAGTCTCGTACAAACGCCCGCAGCAGAAAATCGCACATCCCGTGTTTTTTTTTTTTTTTTTTTTTTTTTTTTTTATTAATTGCATTTACTGCGTGATTTGCGGTTTCCCTCGTGTTTATCGCACCGTTACACGTGATTCTGCGGCATCCGTGCTATGCGGGGTGTCCCTTCCTATGACATGCAAATTCCAAATTCGCTCCCGCATTTTTTTATTTTTTTTATTTTTGTTTTTTGTCTGATTTTTGGGCGCGATAACGGTTCCTGTGACACCCGAGTTTGAGGGGGCCGGGTTCTTGCGTTTATATCGCATCCACTGTGAAGCGCGAATCGCTGCGTCCGCGTTCTGCTGCCTTACTCGTGACTGCAGGAAGTTCATAGCGAATTCCCACATACTGCACACGCGAGTTCGCCGTGTCTGCGATATATATATCAGTAACGAAAAGACAGTGAGTGCGCAGGCGAGCTGGTGATACTTAATCAGGATGTTTAAAACCTGAGACTGTGGTGAGGGAAAAGTTAGAAAACTTTGAAGTTGAAGGGTTCACGTTTCATATAGCTTGTAGTGCCCCCACCACCGACACACACGCGCACGCATGCACGCGCGCGCGCGTACACACACACACGCACACACACCATTTACCTTTTTTCATTTTGGGTGGGCATTCTTTCAGGACCTTATGGTATATAAATGTACATAAGAGCTTGCTGGCATGTGTTCACCCGTCACCTAATTTCTGGGAAAAGTAATAACTACAGGGGTGGAAGCGCTCCTTTGCTGCGCCATCCTGCTCCCAAGCGCACATGTTGCGCCAAACCTAGCCAAACAAGTTTTTTTTTTTTTTTTAAAGTATAATTATTACGAGTTCTTTTTTTTTTTTTTTTTTTTTTTGCGCCATAGTGGTTTACCATGTTGTCTTTGTTTAGGTAATTCTGAAAAAAAGAA